AGATTTAGTAATCCTATAACTAGGATTTAATTTATCTAAATTATTATTTCTATTATATTAACTTATAATAGTTTTATTACTAGTTTAATGAGTTTTACTTTTTTTTAGGTATAATAGAGAGGCTTAATTCGTTTTTACTTATATTATATATATCTTTCTTTTTCTTTATTAAAGGCTTTTTATTATATATAAATATATAGTTATTATAGTCTAGTAAATCTAGCTCTAAAAGAGTATTATAATTATTTTTATAATTAAGTTCTTTTTTAATTACTATATCTCTAGTAATTATAATTTTATTATTTTTAGATAAATAAATAATAAAATTATTAAAGAATTTAAATTCTACTAATATATTTTTTTTAGACTTATTACTAAAGTTTTTACTACCTCTAGTTTATTTAGGGACTAAGATATAGTATAAAGAGCCTAATATCTTAATATAAGATAAATTAGGTTTTTATTTAGTTATTAATTTATAAGAATTAGTATTAATAATATTATTATAAGTATAATTTTTAATATATATAATTTTTTAAATTAATATAAATTATAGCTTTAAAAATATATAATAATTAATTATTCTAATAAATACAAATTAAGCCTTTTAGCTTTACTATTTTAGGCTTAAGTATATATACTATTATATTCTAGTAATAAGCCTTTATTCTTATAAAAGATATTTAATTTAATAGATTTAAATTTCCTTATATTATTTAAATATATTCTTTTAATCTTAATCTTAAATTAAGTTAAAATTATATTATAATAATTAATTATAATATTATAAATATTAGATTTAAATTTAATTATATAAATTCAAATATATTTACTAGTATAGTAAATAATTATAAATATATAGTTTTCCTCTTTTAATTCTTTAATTTTAAAGAAGCCTAATATATTACAATTTATAAATTCTAATATATTAATTAGGCTATATGGTTTTTAGTTAATTATTTCCTTAAATTTATTATAATAATAATTATTATAGTTATTTAATATATTATTAGAAATAGGAATAATTAGCCTAATAGAATTTTTAGTACTCTTAATTATATAGTTCTTATTAATATATAAAAATTATTAATAATATAAATCTAATAAAGTATTCTTTTTATTACTCAGATTTAAAGTAGGATTTTTACTATTACTAATAAAGAACTTATAATTAATTATATTATAAATTATAAGTTCTAGTATTTTATAGTTTATATAAATTTTATCTAAAAAATAAATATTTAAATACTACTTAGTATTTATTATAATATTTTTATTATAACTTAATATAGCTAAGTTCTTTTTAAATAATATTTCCTATTCTTTATTAGTTAACTTCTTAAAGCTAATTAAGATAGTTTTTATATTAGGAATATAATTAATATTCTTAATTAAAAAGGTATCTTTATTAATAAAAATAGGGATATGGCCTATATCTTTAATAAGTAATTTTATATTATTAGCTATAATTACTAATTTATTATAAATCGGCTTATAGTTTATTAAATAATCTTTATAGGAAATATAATATTTAGAAGTCCCTAAATCCAGAATTAGTTCTCTATTATTAAAATTAGAGCTCTTTTTAAGAGCTTTTTTTTTAATAATATTTAAAAACTCTAATTATTTCTTAGAGAAATTAAAGTCTTTAGTAATTTTTAAGAACTTAATTTCCTTAAATATTTTAATAATATTTTTAGATTTAATAATATTATCTAGTATAATATTATTATTATTTACTAATAAAGTACTTATAATAGCTTTAGTAAATTACTTTTTTTAAATATAACTTTAGGCTTTTTAAGCCCTTTTTTATATTTATTACTCTTATTTCCTTTAGAACTAGAGTAGTTATTCCTTAATTTAGGATATTTAATAAAGCATTTATTTTCTATATATCTCTTTTTATTATAATATTTGTAATAGGACTAATTATTATTAAAGGAGGCTTTATTAGCTTCTAAATTAGAAGTAAGCCTTCTTTTTTCTAATATTAAATTAGTAATAAGTTTACTAATATTAATAGCTTTAAGGCTATTTATTAATTTCTTATATTTACGAGAAATATAATTATTATAAGAACCGGAAAAACCCTTTAATATTAGCTAAATAATAATAGAATCGGGTATAATTTGCCCTAATTCCCTAAGATATATAATAAATAACTAAATATTACTAGTATATTTATTTATATTATTAAAAGAATTATAATTATTATTTATTATTTTATTAAAATAGTAACTAATTAATTCTAAGCTAAATTAGCCAAATGTTATAATAATAGCTTTATATAAGTCTTTAGTATCTGCCTTATTTTTAAATTAATTATTATTATTTATTAATATAATTAATTTTAAGGCTCCTAAAGCTCTTTTATTATTATAATTAAATTCGGAAACTTAATTAGTATATCTAGCCATTAATTTAGCTAATAAAAGAATTCAAATTCTAGACTCTTTTCCTTCTTTATTAGACTTAGTCTCTATTTTATAATATAAAAACCTATTAGATATAGCTTTAGTATTATTAATATATAATATATAGCTATTTATTTCTAGGAATAAATTAGTATTAGTTTTCTACTCTATAAAATTAGAGCTACTAACTAGCTTATTATTCTTAAAAAATGAAATACTAGTATTAGATATCTTTATAATTCTTTTTTAGAGTTTTTATTCTTAAGTTTTAAAGGAAACTAATTAGTAATTTGAACTTTACTTATATATTTAAGACTTATAATATAGTCTTAAAATCCTAAATTTAATAATTTAGGTATAAGTAATAGTTATAAGGTTATAATAAAAATTATAGCCTATTTGGGATTATATTTTCCCTTTTTTCTTTAATAAATCTTTAAAGATTTCTTAGTTATAATTTATTTTTAAAAGTTTTAACTAATTAAAACTAAGATAATATATCAAAAATTCTAATTTATTGAATTTGTATTTAGTAAATAATAATAAGGCTATATTATGAATTATAGCTATTATTTATTAATAGATAATTTTGGTTTAGTTAAAGAATTTAAATTCTTTAATTAAAATTACCGTTTTTTTTTACGAACTAAAAAGCTTAGTTTAATGGCTTTAAGAGTACTATAGACTATAGTACTAATATAATACTTTGAGTCATAAATTATAGTTTATTAATTCGTAAATTAAGTAAACTTATAATTTTTATAACTAAGATTTAAATTCTCTTTAACTTAAAGAATTAAATTCTACTTATTACTATTATAAAGAACTCTTACTTTCTAATTTTAAACTAGTAATAAGACCCTTATTATTTCTATAAAAGTAAAAGGGCTATAGCTAAAATAGGTAAATATATATAAAGTAATATTAATTATTTATATAATATAAAAAATTATAAAATAATTTTTAAAGTCTTAATAATAGTAATTTTATTAGTAGTTCTTAATTCTTTAAGGGTTATTCTCGTAATTATTATTATAGGTAATAATAATTAACTTTTTAAAGTATTATATATTTTAAAAGCTTATATTTAGAAAAAATCATATATATAATATAAATATTATATATTATATAATTAGACTATATTTACTCATATAGTATATTATACCTATATATAGCCAAATATATTAAGAATTATACTAGAGATATATTTGAAATATATATTTATATAATATTATTAAATATAAATATAAGAGCTAAGACTAATTATATTACCTAAAGCTAATTATAGTTATACTAATATATAGCTAAATACGACCTAATATAAGTAATTATAGAGAGATATAACTTATTCTTCGAAATAATAAGCTAGAATTCTTTATATAAGAACTGAATCTTTAATTACTAGGTAATTAAAAATCAGGAATTTATATATTACCCGCTATAGGTAGCGTAATTACTTGTTCTTACAGATATATAGTTAAGAGGTTATAGTTTATATATTTACTATAACTTTATCTCAGGGACTTAGGCAAGCCTATAATTATTTATATTTATAGATTAGTTTAATTAAAGGGAGAATTTTCTTACTTTTAAGTAAAAGTAGAAGAAGTATTAATTTGCAATTACAAATACTCTTAGTTTAAAAAATTAAGGGTATTACTACTATATCGGAATAGTTAGAATTAATAAGGAAATAAGGTCTTAAAGACTAAAGTCTTAAAGAGTAAAGTAAAGTAATGATTTAAGATTATAAAGTAAAAAGTAAAGTAATTCTAAAGTACTATTTGAGTGCTTAATTTTCTGGTTCTAAGAAAAGAAATCTAGTTACTTAAATAATAAAATCTAGCTATATTAAACCACAAGAATAACTCACAACTTTACTAATTATAATAAGTATGGCCTATAAATCCACTAATTATTAGAAATCAAATTATAAGACGGCTAAATAAATGTCTCATTAAATCATAATTATAGCTTAATAGATGCCCCAATCTTATAAATCAAATCCTTAGTTCCAAATCCAAGTCACGTTCTTAATTAGCTAAGAGCTTACTAAGAAATCATGTTCTTAATTAGCTAAGAGCTTACTAAGAAATCACGTTCTCAATTAGCTAAGAACTTACTAAGAGATTTTAGCTACTTATAAGAGAGCTCTCTTAGATAAGAGATAAAATAGCCTAATAAAGCTAGTTTAATTTTTATAATTTATAGTTATTAGTTAACTATTTAATATAAAAATTTAAGTCTTTATAGAATAATAATTCTTAAGTTAAAGACTTTTTTAAATCTCTTAGTTACTACTTTAATTTTAGAATTTAATAATTAAAGTAATTATTAATTAAAGTAGATTTTGTTTTAAATATAAAATACTATATATAGTAGTATACTATATAAAAAGGTTCTAGTATTTTTTATTTAATATATAATAACTTATATTATTAAAGAAAGTAATATATAAATAATTATTTAATTATTTAAATACAACAAAAATGAACGGCGAGTAGGTGAGATCACTCGTCTTAGGTGCAGCATAAAAGATCGTAATTTAGTTGACATTGGTGAACATTCCTATTCCGTTATAGTACCCCTTCACAAGAGCTGTTTATTGCTTTACCGTCATCCAAGTACTAGTAGCTGTCGCTATTCCTAACATCGTGCCTCCAACCCACTGAGCTGCTCCACTAATAGCAGCAATACCATATCCTCCCGCCCCAGCACTTGTTAGAGTTGCGAACAAACTTGGCGCAACTACATTGCCGATTGTAGCCTGAGCTGAAGCGGCTGTAGTGCCTACCACGAGCTGATCAGTACACTTTTCGAGAAGAAATCTTTCTTATAGATGCCACAAACCACCGATAATTCCACCTACTCCAAATCCAGCCCAATGAAGAGCGCCGATTACTGGCGTGGCGACAACTGCTGGCATAGCAACTATAGTTAAACCGCTTGTTCCTAGGGCGATAATACCAGCCTTGGCTGGGTTATTCTTTGCTGACTCAAGAGCGACCGAAATCGACTGGCTTGCCACGTCCCACCCATGGCGAAAATATCCTGTCCAGTTGGGGGCCATCGATTTGGAAAGTCTGTTCCTGGTGGCGAGTGAAGTAGAAATATCAAAGGTTGACCTGGAGAATGTGTAAACGAAAAATACTAGTGCAATGCTATTTGTATCGTGGAAGGTCATGGAATAATGTGGAAATAGGTTAACGTTGTGCAACGCAAAGTACCCCCCCTAATTAAATGTAACAGTGGGTCCCCGCAAAACCAGCCTGGCACGGTCCAGTTGCCATACCAAAAAACCCCTGCACTTGGACCCACTGACATTTAATTAGGGGGGGGAGAGTACGCAGTACAGCAAGCCGAATAATACCCCTGCAATGCGCCTTGCTGAAAACGGCAAAGCTGTGTGCAAGGATTACTTCCGAAAAGTGGGGCCAAACTTTTCATAAGAGAGTGTTTGGGAGAAGCCGGTTTTCGAAGCTTACTGTAATCCCTCAACCTTTTCTCACAGTAAGAAGGCTTCGTGCGAGCCGCAGGCTAGCACTTTCGTATGCCTCGTACTTCTTAGCTTGCTAAGAGAAGAAGGCTACTAAAAAAAAGCTTACCGAACACTCTTTCCCGGGCAAATTCTTCACGCTAGTACGAATGAAGCTACTCAAAATTTTACAGAACGTGAGTATATCTCATACCTTGCATGTACCTTCGTACTTCTTAGCTTGCTAAGAGAAGAGCTAAGAGAAGAAGGGGCTAAAAAAAGCTTACCGGAAATTCCCACACCGAAACCCGGGCATAAGTTAGTCCGGTCCGAGTCGAAAAATTTAAACCCTGCAAGTGCTTTCACGTGTTCTATTAAGTGGGATGTATGTGCCTAAATTATAATCTTATCTACGCATGATCTTTCTTGCGTCTTCCAACTATATCTCGAGCCAACTTTGCCTGCTAGGCTGTTATTGTGTCTCCTTGATTTTGGAAATGCCTTCTCCTCCTGAACCCCTTTTCACTCCTTCTGCGTCTCAAACCAGTAGTTCTCAGAATGCTGAGGTGCCAGACTTGAAGGAAATGATTCGTCAGGCAGGGCATAGAAGCTCGATAATGCTGACGATAATGTTTAGCCCAACCATCTGTCTCACGTGACCAACACCGCCGTTTCTCAACCCTGGCCCATCAGTAGAAGCGAACTTCTCACTGGAAAAACAAAGGTGCATATCCACAGCCCTGTCAAATCCACAAATGCCCGTACGAGTACACGTGGCCCTGGTGTGGTTTTCTCTACCTTTGATTAGTTAGCCAGCAGGTTATAATTTGTGGCCATTGTGGCTTAGCTCAAAATCTGGAAGAGTTCAAGGCAGATGCCGATTTCGCTGCCTAATTCGCATTCTTCCCTTTTGTGTCCTCTCCAGACATTAACATTACTTTGTATTCACTAAGAGTTGGTATTAAGTAGATACTCAGACAGGTACATTCCATGGCTGCTAAAATTGCTGCTTCTCCTAGTTCTCCAGTAGAGGTATGGGCGTGCTACTGGTCCCTGAATGCCTCGAGAATGATGTACGAGGAAATCTTAGGCACGGAGATAAGGTTTTTTAAGCCTAAGAAATCCTCGGTCAAACACGATGAAATTCATACGCTGCTCTGGTACGTAAGTAGGAGAACTCTCAGTCACGTCTTCTAGATCATTGATAGTTTCAACATTGACTAAGACTACGCAGCCTTGTGAATTATCCAGGCAATATGCGGGTGATCTGGAACAACACTAAGGGATTTCCACCCTCCTTGATCACCTATCTTGGGTCTGTTGGTGCTTTTTCTCCAGGATCATCGACGGTACCGGTGTGGAGTGAGGATTGCAAATTGTCATTCGTAGACAGTTACGTACGGCTGGTGAAGAAGGCTCACCACAAGAAACAACAGCCAATGTATCCCCTAGGCAGTTCTGAGATCCAAAGTCACCCTTTCGCTGTCTGGACTGGCGGAACTTCGGGCGGCCGAGAAGTAATCATGGTTTTCGGGAAGTGGAGTGCGGCTGATGTTCTTCGATTGTCCCAACACTATTCCCTTCGACGCCGATGGGAACGACTTGTCGCTTGCCATGAATGGATTTACCATGATTTATTCACTGTTCTTTCAGACTGGGTAAACATCCGGAATGCTGCTGCTAGGGAGCTGAGAGACCGAAGTATTGAGGTCAATCAAGAGACTTTCACTGGCAATGTGCTTCAACGTATGCGGAGGTTGAATCGGGCCATGGCAACCAACATCCTCTTACGGGAGTCCTTGTTGATACAACAGAGCTCACTTAAGGAAATTATAGCTCTCGCGTCCGAGAGATATACTGAATTTCGAGGCCTGGGAGAGGACGCTGCTGAGATAAGCTTTATTTCCAGGTGTATCCAGGTGGACAAAACTTTGAGTCACGACCTTTCTGTTATTCAGGGAATTCTTGAGCAACTGCAGAACCTGATGACCATGATAATTTCGGTTGAACAAATTTCGACTGGCCAGTCAGTGGCTCGACTAACTTACTTGGGCTTTGTTTTTCTCCCACTTTCTTTCGTCGCTGTAAGTCATCTTTCTCAGTACCTTACCGAGCTAAATATCCGGTAGGCCATATTTGGCATCACGACTTTCACTGCCAGTCCCAAATGGTACCCCGTTGGAGCAGTCTCTGCACTTCTGGTCACTATCATAGTTGCTCTATGTACGCCATATCTGCTGTCAGCATGGAGCAGTAAATCAGCAACTCTGGGAGGTTATTTGTCTCGAGCAAAAGAGCCAGAATATCTGGACGTGGCCGAAAGGGGGCGGTCGTTGAGCAGAGTAGCCTCATCCAGGGGATCTGAGATCCTCTATACTCGCCGTGACGGATCATGGCCACGTTCTGGTGTGGATGGATCCTATGGCTTGTCGGTTCCAATTTTCTCCGAGGCACTGCATCTGGACAAACCTGATACTGTGGTCTTACCAGCAATATTGGTGGCAAATAATGGGAGTAAATCTCCTGAACGGGTCAGGTTGTCATCGACTAAGACGGCCCACACAGTCTAAACTGTATGCCTAAACGCAGTCCGCCTTGGCGTTAGGATACGTCAACGGAGAGTAACCTGAATACTTTTTGAAGATCGTCAGGAAAAAAGATTCAGAAGCTGAAGAGAGGAAGCAGAATATGCACTGTAATAAGGATCGGCTCCGTTGAAAGTGTGACTTCAGAAAAGACACAGAAAGGTCATTTTGAATTGGCTTCTTGTAACTGGGGCTTACCACAATATGTATCTCTGTCCAATTAAGAGTTCCAATTTGATGGAAAACAACATTTCATCTCTCCCCTTCATTTTAGCAAGATCTATAAGGAGCAACCGCGCATATACAGAAAACCGCTCACGCTACATTACATGATCCTTTAGAAACAGGAGCTAAAACTTCGTAAATCGGAGCAAAGCTATCATCTAGAGAAGATTCCGGGGAGATCAGTGTCTTCAAGGGACCAAATAAGGCCCTCCATATTCTCAAATAGCTTTTAATGCGAGCTCGGGCTTCCGTAGCGCGTGCTCAAGCTGTGCTCAGGAATGCTCACCAATAGCTCAGGCTAAAGCAACATCAGCTCAGGTTTAAAGACGGAAATGGAAAAATATCATGAAATCATTCTAGTATGAGATTCCCGGCTACTGCGCGTATTGAGCCACGAAGAGTAAAAGACCGAGAAAGAGAACAAGAAGCTACTATCCGTGGGAAGAAGACGAGGTTTAATAACCTTACTTCTGAAAAACAAGCCCGGGAACTCTGGCGTTTATAAGACGAAACGCGGCTATGTCTTATAAACGTTCTAGAGAAGTTCATGTTATAGATTAAGTTCGAAGGCTTCATGCGAGCCTATGGCTCGCACTCTCGTGGGACGTGCGGGATCGTTTTGCTCTAACCCAAATATCGTTAGTCGCTTCGACTCGAGGTACTGATCCGCGTGGCAACCTTACCTGAATTTACACGCCATAGCAGCCACAAGGCTAATAACGATATCCTGCATAGTGCTGAGGCCTTAGAGCTCGGATAAGACCTCTTTATAAAGTATTAGAGATAATATAAGCTCGGTGGTAGAGCTGTGGTGGTGAAACTTTCTAGTGGGAGGGGTTTAGGGTATCCGAGAGTAGCTATGAAATATAACTTATAAAAATTTATAGGAGATATTAAAGTATGCACAGATTTTAAGATGCTTTAAGTCTAAGTACTTATTATATTTTTCGGCACACCGGTTTTTTCGGTACGAAGGTACACAGGGATGGACGTTAGTTATTTTGAAGTCAACTTCTCTTGATTACCTCTGAATGTACCACAATATTTTCGTACAAGGAGCGCGATGCTCAATCGGGAAGATATCTTTTATTTGAAACTAAAAAACTAAACCTCTGCATGAGCTTGACAGTCTTCAACCTGGTAACTCAATTTGGCAACTTGACCTGGTCGGTGCATTTCACCTGATCCACTTTACCTTTGGCTGTTCACGATGGAAGAACGGATATAGAAGTAAAATTTACTAAGTAAGCCATTATACCAGGTCAGAACGACGTGCAACAAATGTGATGGCGGGATCAATGTAATGGTCGAAGGCTCAAAGTTCAATGAATCTCATGTATTGAAAATACTAAGCTGGGAAGCAAAGAAGGGAGGAATGCCTCGACCTTTTAGTATTATCTCGCCCAAGCATTCCGGCTTAGCTCCGTTTTGCACCTGTTTCCGATTCCCTATTCCCGGCAGATCATGCCGTTATGCCAGCCGTCACAACAAATCTCTATCAAATACGAAATCCTCTAAGGGGATCATCACCGGGTCAAATACGATAGATCGGAGAGAGCTACTCTAATGCAACAGGTCGTATGCAGATTCAAGGGGTACGCCAAATCTGTACAAAGCTTCTATTCCGCTCCACGCCTTCTATGTTACAAGTTTAGGAAGACACAGCTCGAAGAGAGGAGAAGGTGTTATCCGCCAATAATCTACAAAAGGTGCATTGCAAATCACAGCGAGCGTGAGCAAAAAAGCGGAACGGAACTCCATTTCCATTGCCCCTGCCTGTCATAAAAGCCATGTATACAAGAAACTGGCCTCCCACTCAATTCCTACAAGCCATCTTATTGCTTTCCATGCCGGTTTTGATTTTGGTTTTGATCGATGACTTTACTTGATGATTCTGGTCACCAGGCCGGTAGCAACGGTGCGTCCTCCTTCTCGAATGTTGAAGCGTTGCCCGACATCAATGGCAACAGGGTGCCCAATCTCGCACTTCATCTCCACGTTGTCGCCTGGCATAACCATTTTCGACGCCGCATCCTCGGTTCCCTCAGGCCAGAAGAGTGCAGCTGCCTCATCGGCGGTTCGGATGAAGATCTGAGGCCGGTAGTTCTCGTGGAAGCCGGTGTGTCGTCCTCCTTCCTCCTTGGTCAGAACGTACATCGAGACCAAGAACTCGGTGTGTGGCTTTGTTGTGCCGGGGGCAACAATAACCATTCCTCGCTTCACGTCCTCGCGCTTCACACCACGGAGCAAGAGTCCGGAGTTATCACCTGCTCTTGACTCGTCGCAGGACTTCTTGAAGGTCTCGATGTCGGTCACTTTGGTCTTGATTGGCGTCTCACTCTTTCCAACGAGCTCGACTTCGGAATCTCTCTTCAAGGTACCACGCTCGACTCGACCGGATGCGACTGTTCCACGACCAGGGATAGAGAAGACGTCCTCAACGGACATGAGGAATGGCTTGTCGAGGTCACGCTGAGGAGTTGGGATCCAGGTATCAACGGCAGCGAGAAGCTCATCAATCTTCTGCTCTCCAATCTCTGGTCTTCGGCCTTCAAGAGCACACAGAGCGGAGCCCAAGATAATTGGCGTCTCATCGCCCTCAAATCCATAGGTTGTAAGCAATTCTCGCATTTCCATCTCAACCAATTCCAACATTTCCGGGTCCTCGAGAGCATCGACTTTGTTAACAAAAACCACGATCTTCTGGACACCGACCTGCCGAGCAAGCAGCAGATGTTCTCTCGTCTGAGGCATTTGTCCGTCTGAAGCTGCTACGACAATAACAGCTCCATCCATATTTGCGGCACCGGTAATCATGTTCTTGATGTAATCTGCGTGGCCAGGACAGTCGACGTGGGAGTAATGTCTGGCATCGGTCGAGTACTCGATGTGTGCTGTGGAAATCGTAATACCGCGCTTCCGCTCCTCGGGTGCCTTGTCAATCGAGCCATAGTCGAGGAAGCTTGCCAATCCCTTCTCTGCCTGTCTCTTTGTGATCGCGGCCGTCAATGTGGTCTAAAAATCACGTTAGCTTGTGCTTCTTGCCTGTCTCGAGTCTCCTGTGCCTTTCCGTGATCGACGTGACCAATTGTACCTAATACAGTCAGTGGAATCTCCAGAATTTTGTTGCAAGATGTACACACCGATATTAACATGTGGTTTCGTCCGCTCAAAGACAGTAGCATATGTGCGCGCGCCATTCAGCACCGAAGCTCCACTTCGATGAGCTTGCAGCAAGGGGCTCACGGAATTGCCTTGATGCAGCGCAGACCGAGCTGTCCGCAGGAAGGGAGCTACTGACCGCACAAAGACCGGCATCTTGTTGGTACAATTGGGAGGTAGGGAAGAGAGGAGATGAGGAAATAAATGGGCCGTTGTGCCACTGAAGATTGAAGATTGAAGCTCGCCCGACATTTTTCTTAGCGTGGATTTTGGGCCGGGGTTGTGGTTTGCACGTGATTTGCCGGTCCCCCTATTAGGAAAAGGGGTGTAATTGTTTGGTCCTTCAACTTGATTGTGCCAAGATTTCCAGGTTCATTCGACTGCTGAAATTACATTTAACTGTACATCCATGTTCATTATTCACGTGCTAAATACCATTAACTAATAAGTCGAGGTTCATTCGCCACTTATTATTTTGCAAATGTACCCTAACTTGAAGGAACCTAGGATTGTATGTGACTATCAGGTTTCTGTCTTCTTGTCACAGCAGACGAAAGCAAATTACTCCATACCACCATGAAGATGTACCTTGCAGGTCGGCAACGATGCTACTGAATGAACCACCCCAGCCATGAACACCCAAACACTCCTTGTCACTCTCCTCCCTCCTCTTATATAACCTGTTGTTATGCTGAGCCGCAAATTATGAGTTGTTTGACTTAAGTATTAAAGTTTAGAGGCATCCTTCGTGGTTGTTTGGGGGCATTTTAGGTGGGGTCGCTGACTCGACTCGCTTGGGCGTTCAGCGAAGTGAAGATATACTTGTAAATTGGCTCTCACGAATTCATATTCGCTTTTGTAAGTTGCCAAGTGCGGACGCCCGCACTTAGCTTTCCTGCACTTGACAGATAACCTTGCATCGCCTCCCAAAATTTGTTTAGAATCAAATAAGTGTTTCCATTACTAAATCTCAAAACCTCCACGAACATATATCCAAGAAGTCTACCCATCTCTTTCCTTATCAACTTAAAAATCACTCACAAGTATCCTGAGCATCCTCACCCGCCTCTTGTACAACAGTGGTACCGCTTCCACGTCATCTAGCCTAGGCTTAAATTCAAGCAATTAGAACTTGGCATTTGAATCTCGACTAAATGTCTTCCTCTAAAAACATTTTATACCTCGCAGATTCGTTTATCTTTTCCACAGACTAATACAAAACAATGTACAACCTTCACAAATTGATACCTTTCAGTCGAAGCCTGACATGGAATTATCTCAACCTTTTTTCTAATCGACGAAAAACTCAAATCCCGAGCCAATACAACAAACCTCGAATTATATCCGTTATCAGCTATTTCGCTCTCCATGCTTACTTCGGAATCCCCCATAAATTGTGAAATCCTTCGGCATCATATTTGGCATCCCGTTCGCGGTACTTTCCACACTTTGTCCAATCGCTTGGAGTATCCGCCTTGTACTTTACGTGAAGAAACGCCGAGCGCCCCAGCTAAGCCTAGCAGTTGAGTATCAGAAGAAATTTGACTAATTCATCAAGTACATGAAGATGATAGTGGATTTGGCAAAAGATCCTAGTTGTGGTGTTGACTATGATGGTGAGCCCTGTCTCTTCTCTTTCACTATTTCATTTACGAGTGCGGAGTTCGGCTGATTCTTTATGGAAATTTAGTGAATTGGACAGTGAAACGCCACATTGAATTCTGTTTGAAGCATATCGAGAGATTGGATGAGAGCGGCCTTCTGCCGACCGAAAGACTGCTTGGGGAGGAAGATATTGGAGTTCCCGGAAAGATTGGGTTGAAGTACCTGTCCTTTACAAAGTTGTTGTTAATTAGTCGTCCGAATCAAGCGTAAAAAGATAAAGCAGCCCTAGCTAAGGAGAGCAATAAACTCGAAGCACAACATCTTTCTCACCGCGGATTCTAGGCTGGTGTTGTGGCTTGCACGTGATCTAGCGATTACCCCTATTGAGAAAGAGGGTTCGCGTGCACTGAATTTCATTTTTCCCAAGTCAAGTTAGATGCTTTTGCATCCTTCAAGACGAATGTATCGCTTCGTCCGACAAGAACGAATGAGTATTTGTACAGAACCCTAACGGATACAACGGTGCAGAACGTAAGGATTCGTATAAACAAGGTTAATCTCGGCCCCATGCGAAGTTTCGTCCATGAACTAGAGGATGTCTGAGAATTGAGAAGCTTGGCGAAGGGCATTCCGCTTTGCGTGAGCCTCCACGTGAGTATTTTTGAAGTGAACACCACTTGAATGCGCGGAATGACAATGAGTCTTAGAATGGTGAACTCTACTCCGATGATAGCTAGCTATGATTGCACAGACAAGTGTCCTCCAATACAGACAGGAGGGCTAAAGGCCCTCGAAACTGGGAACAACCGCGTTGGCGATGACCAGGACCGAAAGTGATATAAACAGTATGGAAAGACCTATAAGTTAGTATGCCGAATAAGAAACGGCTGTGCGAGAGTGGTGGAGTATATTGATACCCAGCACCTCATGAGCTTGGAATGTGAGAATTGCTCGTTGGCTAGACGTCTAACCAGGAATGAAGGAAGCATCATTATTTTTTACTCACAATCGAGATTCTGATAACTATTTTTACCCGAGATCATAAAGAGACTGTGGAAGGGGAGATATTGACCATTTAAAACCTTGACTGGACCATCACAATTGTCTCTTCTCAATGCCTTCGATGGTTTTGCGATTCGTACACGGCGACCAATTCCTGCATTGTAGGAATCCAATCCAAACTTTGAGTTCCCCAGAGCTTCACTTTGCCGAGTTCTTGCTGCACCTTATTCAAGGTTTTGATCCTTTCAGTTTCCGCCCTTGCGTCTTCCCCTTGTGCTTCGGAGGACTCAGCTCCGTAACTCTTCCATGGATAACCCTCAGCTCGACATTCGACCCATTTCCCATCGCCTAAGTCTCCCACCGGATGCGGTGGCACTATGCCTGTTTTGAGGTATCCTTGGATCCAGTCATTCGTACATCTCGAAGGCGCGGAAAGTGAGCAGTGTCCCTCAGACTTTTGTTCAATCAGGCCGGCGTCCACAAATTTTTTGGCCATTTTTAGGCCAGCGTGCAAAGGAGTCTGCGCAACGGGAGAGTTAGCAATCAATCGATCCAGATTGTTCCAGGGAAACTGGGACTATCGCTGGGAGCAATCACGAGACTGTCAGAAATCGAAAGGGGATTCGCCCATGGCACTTACGACTGGATCTGCAGAATTGCTAATAAACAAAATAGGGAAGGAGGTTCTGATGGGTTCTGATCCGTGTGCTGGGTTATCATCCCAATCCATGGTGAGGCCCTTATTTTTGATGCCATAACCATCGCAAATAAGTATGAAGCTCATGTAAACGTCAGAGAAATACGACATATTCGACAATGACTCGAATTCTTTTTCAAGATTCGGGAGTGATTCATTGAGCTGATTCTCGGCATTAATATCCCTTCAAAGATTAAGGACGAAGGGCACCTACTGGGTGGCGTTTATCACTACACATCACTGCAAGTCCTGCTTCGTCTCCTGGGTACGAAAACCTTGAGAGAGGCGCTCCACAAAAGGGCTGGCTATTAAAATATGGAGAGTTTCCGGCGAGCTGCTTGATAAGCTCATCAATGATACCTTCATGTAGGTTGCTGACGACGGATGCGAGTATCGGAAACATGATAGTTGGCCCATAGAGGGATTGGAAAGTAAGACCTCTCAAGTGAGTGTTGGTGAATGAGGCTGGCATTTTCGACTGCTCATCAATCCAAGTGAGGGGCTCATTCCGCAGCTTCATTTCAACAGCTTGAAATCGGTTTGCAATGTCTTGCACTTCGTCACCCTAATCTCAAGAAATCGGAGTTAGCATGCTTCTTTCAGGTATGCTTGGGAGTGGAATGTACTAGGATCCGTTGCAAGTTGCTACAAGAGAGATTAATAATGCAAGAAGTTGGGACCCACATCCTGGTATAGATCACAACGCTTGGCTGCCTTGTGACAGTATGTTGCGAAAGAATCGAAGGTTTTGTTGGTATCCCACGAGCTTTCTGTCCAGAGAGGTCCCACAAACCCGTCCGCGTCGACTAAAAGGACGGATCAGCAAAGTTTCCGGAGCCATAACTCGAATACTGACCGACTCCATCGAGAATCAATCTCCCGACACGATCGGGGAACAAAGAAGCGAATGTTGCACCGAGCATGGTCTACAAATCGATGTTAGACTTTGGCATCAAGGTATGCAAATTGGAACTCACGCCATAGCTAAGTCCCCAAAAGACAAGTTTTCCTTTGGTATCTGGGGAATATGGTATGCCACCATCAGCAGACGAGTGCAATTCCTCCTCCTTCACTTTGACCGGTAAATCACAGACTGCAGGCTCATTGCTCAAGGTGCTTGTCCACTCGTCCCAAGCGTCCACAATCGAAAGCATGTCTCGGGCAACGTTCGGAGTGCTGACATATTGTAAGATACCGTCATCACCATACAACTCGTCCTTTGTTTGGCAAAGCTTGGCAGTGGCTCTTATCCGAGTATCAAGTTTCTGCAATGCAACATCACTAGAGTTGATGAATCCAATCTCCCTGCCAGATTGAGCCCAGAGAAATCTGTGAAAAGAACCTTGGACATAATCTTCATCATCAGGCGATGGCAAGCTTGAAGAGAGATTGTCAGGCGGGAATGAATAGCAATCTGCACGTGGAGTTGTCATCATGATTCCTCGGGGATCGAAACCAACCACATCTTGATCAGGTACTCCGAAAAGTTGTTGGATAGCGCGTCCAGCACCAAGGGCGAACGTAAAGCCGGATCCACCTGGTCCTCCGGGATTGATCAGCAAAGGAGACTTTGAGGCTTTCTCAGATCCAGTATGAATGCCAGGAACAAGAATCAACCCAATGTGAACCCTCGGATTATCCTTTGAAGCATTAAGTGGACGATTGTAGTCCATGGGTACAGTAAGACGAGCACACCGGAAGGCCGTGAAGCATTTGTGCCATTCCAGCTTCTCACTTGGGGTGATCTATGGAAGTTAGCATTGTGTAATGTTATATGTGAGAGCGGGTAGTAACCAACACTCTCAAAATCGTCGAATCTATATCCCTCAACCCCGTCTGCATCAGCCACAGTCTCAGTCTTTCTGCATCCGATGAGGCCCGGGACGGAATGATATGACCACCATAAGAACAGAACAGCAGCAATGGACAAACCTTTCGCAAGAAGGACACGTCTACGGTGGTGTTTGGTAGTATCTGGAGGCTCAATCTCCCTCCATACGAGGGTGTTCTTCTCATTGGTCCGATAGGTCGTTGAATTCATGATGCTGGTATGCCTATGTGCTATGGTTGAAGAGACGACCCACCTTTCTCTTCCAGATTTACTTTTATATCTCTCAGTTTAACTGTGGTTGGAGGCGCAGTAAAGGAGGGGCAGATGTGCGCATGCTCAAGGCAATAGCAGATCGTCGAGCTGTTCTTTGTGGCCAGCACCTTAACTGGCTCATTGCCCGATAGTCCATTTCAGCCGAAGAGCCGTGCTGGTTTCACCCTTCACCCCACGCTTCAAACCAACCTGGAGGAGTAACGCGGCACAGTATTTCTATTGCTCCATTGAGGCATTTGGGCCTCGAAGTCGGGAGACGATTTTCATATCAATTTATGCAAGTTATGCAAAAAGCTAGCTTCCTATTTTTTCATTGGCCAGAGTCATGGCTTCCTTCCCCTGTCGATGCGAGCAGTGTCTCCACGAATTATCAATGCACCCTCGTCTTCATGCCTCAAGCGAGAGCTCTCCTTGCTCACCAGTTTGACGGTTTCATGGCTTCAACAATAAGAGCAGGTCGCTCCACGCGATGTCACGGTCAGAGACAACGTGGTCCCTTTCAGCTTATTTTCAAGTCATCGTATTTTTGGTCCTGTTCGCGAATTTCTTTCCGTCTCTCATAAGAGTCTGCATTTTCGATTGCTAATCTGCAAAACTCCTCCATGGCTTCACAACCCGCGGAACCCGTCTATCGAACCCCAGTACCCTTCTTCACGCGCCTGGTCTACGCCAGCAAGCTCTACCTCAGCAAGTTTGCCATCAAAGTCGTCTTCTGCGTTCTCAACCTACCTGGAATTCGCAAAAAAGCACACCAGCCAACCTTCACGAAAGTTTACCCCATCCAGCCCTCCCTCCGCCACCGAATATTCGTGCCGAAACAATGGAAACATGGCGATGCCCCACTGCCCCTCTATCTCGATATCCATGGCGGAGGGTTTGCGCTGCTCGAGGCATGTTGTTGACCATCGTTTCTTCAATTCTCCTGGAACATTACTTTACAAGCAATTGCTGACTCTCCTGGTATCTAGCCTCGGGCCGACGACGCATTCTGTGCGAACTTCTGCAACGAGAACAAACTCCTAGTTGTCAGTCTAGATTACCCCCTGGCGCCCGCGAGCCGATACCCAAAAGCTGTTCATGCTCTAGTAGATGTTGTGAAGGCTGTCTTGGGGGATAAAAGTCTGCCGATAGATACAAAGAAGGTTACAATTGGGGGATCCAGCGCTGGAGCAAATTTATCGTTGGCTTGTACCCAAGACCCGAGTCTACAAGGGAAGATTGGAGGTCTCGTGGCATACTATCCACCTTGTGATATCAGCACACCTGTTAAGGTGGCAATGGCGACTAGACCGGCAAATGCTGGAAAAGACATGCTGGAAACAAAAGCGGATATGTTTAATTGGGCTTATTGTACAGATGACATTAATCTGAGGGATCCCCAGTTGTCTCCAAAGTATGCTGAGCGAGCAAAGTTGCCGCCCAAGCTATATATTGTTGGGTGTGATTTTGATCTGCTCTGTAGAGATTCGGAGATCATGGCCGAAAAGTTTGCAAGTGTGGGGAATGGTAAGAGGACGGGAACGGATGATTGCTGGGAAAGGAACGGGGTGAAGTGGGAGAGAATCTTGGGCGAAGAGCACGGTATGTTGCCTGAGGAGCTTGTAAGAGCGTTTGTTGCTGACTTCAGTCATCAGCCTTCGACATTGTCATGGGTTCTGGCGAGATCACGGCCAGGAGGATTAAAAGACGGGCGGAAATGTACGCGAGCGTCGCTGAGTTTCTGTTCCGGGAGGTGTACATCTGACGGAGTCGACAGCTACTTTGGGAAAGCAGTTAATATTGCTGAATCACCACCCAGAAGACATGGCTCCTAGCTGAATGCGGCTGAAATTGGGAATTAATCCCCAAGATCTTGCACGGGAATCCTGATGGACCCCGGAGCAGAAAGTCGACTCTAACCATATCCCGTGCGCTTGTCTTCCACAATCTCAATAAAGCGAGTTGTGATTAGACTTTTGTTCATTTTTTGAGCGTCTACTTCGAGCAAGTTCGAGATTTCTGTCTTTTTTGGCCAGCAAGACCAAGAATCGGGTGTAAGGAGTGCAAAATGATGTTGTCCATCCTTACGTTTTCTTTGGTCCTATTGAAGCTGATTGAAACTGGTTTCCTATGTTCGAGGCACAATTCCATTGAGATCTAGACCACCATGGGCGTTGAACACTCTGCAGGGACCCCGAGGGTCCGTACATGTGACTGCAGCTTCATCCCAAGACACGCTCAGATGGTATCTGTCTGACTGAAACACCTTTTAGGAGAATATCCTTATCAGGAAGAATAGCTCTGATTAATGTGGCGTTTTCTAGTCGATTCACACATTAGAGTTCCACTTCTGAAGGCCGTCAAGTGAACTTTATAGGTTTCTAACTTCTCTGAGATCAGTTGAGATCAGCGAGACAATTTCTACACATGTTGGCGTTTGTCATTGATAAGCTGTGGGCAAGGTCAAGCTTGTGAGGAATCTCGAAACCATTGTATCGCATCGCGAAGGATGTCCTCGACTAGTTGACTCGGTCTCAAGTGCACAGGTCTAACTAAAGGCATTTCAACAGTTCGGCATACGCTGACTGGTCAGTTTGCTCTCACGATCTAAATATAAGGGGCACTTGCTGGGACCTGTCCAAAACGAATACGGATCAAAAGAACGGCCAAGCCATTGGCAGGTATCAAGACTACTACCAAGAAATCTTGAAATTTTTAACGTGGCTCCAAAACAACGTTGCGACCTCGGTTGAGCAGCCAAGATACATCGCACAGGGATGTCCGTGCTGAGGCTCAAGTGCATCTCCATTTTTTGCCAGCGCCCGCGTCGATCGTATCACTTGGCGTTGATGAAACATTGGCACTTCTCCGACGCCCTAAGCCTTTTAACACCACGACCATTCAAAGGCCAGGAGATTGATTACCACGGCAATTGAGCCACCAGATATGGGGACAGGCCAGGCCGTGTAGGAGGCAGGGACTTTCCTCCCCGGGGATAGGACCAACTTGAGGCCCCTCGATCCTTTAATATAAGAGACATGTCAGTCATGCGTCCTTACATGTTCCTGCTTGATCTCCAGCTGCGCTCAAATTTTTCACTTCATTCCATTCCGATTTGCATGCGAAGCTTGACGCCTCGATCTGGTTCTCTTCTCATAATATTTTAATTCCATCTTGTCTTTCCTTCCAAGCATATCACTCAGAAGCCACTCAACAACAACAGCCATGCATTCCCAGTTCCTCGTCGCTTTTGCTTTGTTCGGCGGTTTCAATGCCCTTCCGCTTAACATCAACCTCGGAGCATACTCGCCAGCCCTGGTAGTCGGTGATGGCGAAATTTCATTTGGAGGTAAACAAGATGTCTCAAACCTGATGAACGCCCTGGAAGGAGCAGCGGTATCAGGAGCGGCAGCAGCAGCCGCACCAGCAGCCGCCGCTCAACCCGCTGCTGCTGTCGTTCCAGCTCAAGGTCAGGATGCAACCCAGATCACCTCCCTCCAAGGCATGGGCAAAGAAATTGCTCCCCGTGTCGTCAAGCTGGTCCCTAACCCAGCATCAGTGAAGAGGGATATCGCTGGTTTCAACGCAGCACTGAACTACGCCACTGGTGCCTTGAAGACGAGCCCTGAGGTCCAACTCGGTACTGGCGAAGGTGGATCTGGAGTTGGTATCACGCAAAAGCCTGGTATGTGAATTCGCCGAGCAGGGACCTTCCTCTCTAAGCCGCCCCACGAGTCATTCCTACTCTGCAGACATGCCGCTAAAGGAGATGACTCGCGAGATATTTTCCCAACCGCAGAATTTCTTAAGCATTTCTAACTCCGAGATCATCTAGGTACCGCAGCCGCCCCCCTTACATCCGCCAGACCAGCTGCCAAGGCGCGGGAGGTTCTCGAGCGGGACGCCGACAAGTTGATCACCAGCAACCTTGTAGCAAGAGACCAAGCCATGGCTAAAGAGGCTATTGCTCGGGATGAGCTTTCCCCAAAGATGAAGACCACGGTTACGACGATGTTTGTGCGAGGTGGGCCGGCTCCCGTTGGTAAGTACGTCTTCCACGCTCGATTGATAAGAACCATCAGCTGACAGTAGTTACAGCACGAAGTGAAGACGGCACTCCCCTCGAGAAGCGTGAGACGACTAGCACTGAGAAGCGCGCACCAAGCCCGGGCATCGATGGTGTTAACCTGAACATGGCAGAAGGACAGGTGGCTGAGCTCACGTTCGTCGAGACGAGAGCAATTAACGATGATGAATGAGTGGTTGGATGAAATGAAATTGTTGGTGGCTTGTAAGTTAGACAGAGATGAGAGTTTGCAGTGTAGCTCATTGAAGCCTTTATTCTATTATTTTTTGGGGTGTAGGAGGATCTTTCTTGTCCAGATAGATCCCCGAGGGAGACTTTTTATAAAAATACATACAAATGCCCTCAAGTTGTCGCTGCCTTTTCCCTCTCGCTCTCGACACATAGACGTTGAGGATGTGGTGGCGATTAGAACGATGTTTCCGTTTGAGTGAAGACTTGGCGAAACAAAAATAAGTCGGCATTGTGAGGCTGGGCTTTCCAAGCTTTACGCGAATACGCCCATCACGCAAAGTTCTCCACTTTTCTGGCTAACCATTGAAGCACGGAGCTTAATGCCAACACTGTCTAGAACTCTCTCCTACACTTTTGAAATGCCAAGTTTGGCAGGGTTTTCGCCACTTGGCTCCTACACTCCTCGACCTCCAACTACCGATATCTCTTTCTCATCACAATGTTACTTAGTGATTGCTTCAGATTTGCACTCATACATTTACAGACATCAGTCTCAAGCTTCTCCGTCTCCCCAAACTATGGCACCGCCTTATAGCCAAACCCTCAATGAGGTCGGAAGTAGTTTTTGATTGTGTCTACGTAGGAAATCTTATTTTTTCTTCTCCTCGGAAGTCGATTTTAGCCCTTTCCGCTACCACGTTCCTCCGTATTCCCTTTCCTGGCACTTCCTACCTATCGTGGGACCTAGTATGCTCATACATCCTACATGTCTCGACCTGCTCAACCCACAGCCCCCAGGGTCGGTCCTGGCTCGCATCGTTCATTTTCAAACTGCCTGCCACTTGCTCCTCATTTAAAAAACGCAACTCCCCCTCAACACTAACCCCTGCTCCTATTGCTGCGTTTCGTAGGGTGATGGCGTTGGTTTGGACGGAGGCGTTGACATGTGTGTATACGGCCCTGTAGACCGCTTGCTTGATGCTTGTACCAAGGGCGGTGAAGCCGTGATTGGCCATCAACACCACGTTGTGGTTCGGAGTTGAGGATGCTGAGGCGGAGGTGGAAAACGTCGATGCTAGGCTTGCCCCAAATTTCTGGGAGTTAACGAGCATGTCCTGCTGATCATCTTCAGAGTACAAAGGCACGATATCGTAGATCGGGACATGAGTCCCCAGAAATCCCGCAATGTGAAAAGTAGGCTTCATGGCTACTCCACTCATCGTGTATGGTAGCACAGCTTCAGAGTGGCTGTGGATCACACTGTTGACCTCAGGAAAGCATTTATAGATCTCGCTGTGGATGAAACGCTCCTGATACCCTTTTTTGGAGCTCGGATCAACTGGAGAGCTGTCTGAGATGTTATATTCGATTAGGTCGGACTGAGAGGAGACGAGAGCCGGGGCTCGGTCCCCGGACATGATGAAGACATCGTGTTTTTCGGGGTGCCTCAGCGAAATGTGACCGTAAGCGTCGAGGACTTTGTTGTAGTGGAGGATGCTGCCCAACAGATCAGCATTGCAAAATCCAGAAAATACTGAGGCAGTTGAGAGCTTCGGGGCTGTTTTGCTCACGAGACGGGCCAGAGCTCTCGATTTTCCCTCCACAGCTTTGAACATTTAGGAGCCAGGGCCTTCAATTGTTTCTCTATGATTCTGGTTGTTCAGAAGCGAAGAGAGCGAAGGGGTCATCGCGGCTCTTGAAACAGCCCCCGAGGTTCCACATAATAAAACAGCAAATAAGTATAGAAATAAGACATACTGGTTTGCGGTTATGAGAGCATCGAGCTAGAAAACCTTGGTTCAGAAATGTATAATCTGTTAAATAGAGGTGTTTGTTTGGTGTCTTTAAGCTCAGACTTCTGGACACCATGATGCGATGCGGGAAAAGCTTACATCTTCGGTATTCAGCTTGGGACTTGGCAATGAAGACATCCCTACCAAATATAAAGCTGAACAAAAATATACGGAAACACCAATAAGAAGATAATGACGGATAAAGTTCATCTGATCGGGACGTGTGTTGTCCGCAGTTCCGGCGAGCGCCGTTTTTGACGTCAGGCGAGGCCCGACAAACGTTCTTTCCACTCCTCCTCCATCAACTCTCCTTAACACCACACAACACTCTTGCGATGCATCCTTCGGACCTCGTCGAACACGGAAAGCTATCAAATGCTCCACGGTCTCGCATTATAGGAGGACATACCGTAATGCGCAGATCTCAACAGCCGCTGCACTTAGCTTCTGCAATGTAGTGCAAAAAGTGACAACATCCTCTGAGAGACTCGAAGAAGAAGGTGGCTTCTACCTCGGCCAACCTCTTTCCAGAAGGACGGGAGCGTGGCCGCATTTTATGCAGACCCATCTGCATGACATCGGATTGGAGAAAGCTGTCCTCGAGAGAACCGGCTGTTCCTGATGCCAGATTGCGGGTGTTGATGAATCAGAGGGTCTCATTCGACTGCCGATCAGGGACAAGGATTAAGCATCCCTTCTAGCTCGCTCAAGAATCGGAGCGCCTGCACCTTAATTCTATCATCAGCCTATGGGGAGGTTAAAGGCGCTGGCGCTGGAAGCTATCGCCGCTATCTGTCATGGCCTTCTCCTTTTGAAATGTTCTCCGCCAACGAAGTCATGCACGCTTCCTAGCAGCGGCTTGCCCAAGTCAGTACCTTGGACGATCGTAGGTCTTGGGATATAAAATCAAGGCCATGCCATAGGTATAGAATCTCTTGATCTTGTTCTGCGCAGAGAATCAATTGTTTTTGACTTTAATCTTTCATCATGGCCGGTTTCTCTTCTCAAGTCGTGGCAGCCTTCCTCCTAGCCTTGCCAGTTGTCCTTGCGGGGTCACCAAAGACATGTTCAAACCCTCAAACGAGTTGTAAGAACACCACCGCAGTATCTGACCTCTGCTGTTTCAATGCCCCAGGAGGACAATTGGTTCAGACTCAATTCTGGGACACATCTCCTTCAACTGGGCCGTCGAACTCCTGGACTATTCACGGCCTTTGGCCTGATCATTGTGACGGGACCTATGACTCGAATTGTGATGCTAGCAGAGCTTACACAAATATCACGGCAATTCTTCAGTCATATGGAAAGACGGATTTACTTTCCTACATGGTAAGTACCAATTTCTCCGAGCAGTATTACCTTTTTAGCTTTTATGGCGAGCTGTTTACTCCCTTGATGTTATGTCTTACGAGTAGACTGCTCACAACTCACTATCTCATTTTTCAACTATATCCATCAGAGGAAATACTAATCTGAGATTCTGAGGTTCAGAATACCTATTGGGTAGATATCAATGGCGATGATGAGTCTTTCTGGGAACACGAGTGGGCTAAACACGGAACTTGCATCTCAACGCTTAAGCCTTCTTGCTACACCGGCTACACAGCACAGGAAGAGGTTCCTGATTTCTTCCAGAAGACAGTTGATCTTTTTAAGACTCTTGACAGCTATACAGTAAGCCTCCCCGCCTCTGACAAATACATCTTTCTCATACCCTTGTTAGGCACTTGCAAACGCAGGCATCGTCCCCTCCAGCTCAGCGACATACACTTCTACTCAAATCAAAGCAGCACTGAAAAGTGCATACGGCTTCGATATAACCATCCAATGCGCATCTGGTGCGTTAGACGAGATCTTGTATTCCTATGACGTCCAAGGCTCTGTGCAAACCGGCCTTTTCGTCAAGGCTGCACCAGTAGGACAAAGTTCCAGCTGTTCATCCACAGGAATTAAGTATCTTCCAAAATCTGGAACCCCGGTCTCAACTTCCACCGTCAAGACAACCATGACTACAAGTACAACTAGCGCCAGTTCGAGTTCCACGGGAGGCAGCGGGATATTCTCTGGATCGGGATACCTGAATGCGTTCACGAGTGGAAGCCAAACTGGATGCCTGATCAGTGCTGGGACTTGGTACACCAGTGGAACATGTGCAACATATACTGCCACAGCTTCAGGTGAGAAATGATCATCTCTAGTTGTACTGAAGCTAACGTAATCGTGATAAAGGTTCCGGATTCACCTTGACATCATCGAAAGGATCATGCGGAATCTCAAGCTCAACCTTCACTTGCGGATCCGGCGTGACTGCTACCGTCTTCACGGTAAGAACTCCCCCCCTTTTATGTGATCTGTACTGATTAGTATATAGGCTAGCGGAGGATATCTATCCTATGGCGGCAGTACGACATTTTACGCTGCTGCAGTGCCAAGTGGCTCGACGCAGCAGACTCTCTACACAACCTCCCACAGCGTAAGTGTTAGCTTTCAGTGGCAGGCCCTGTAAGCAGCCGAGGACTTTTTTGTTAAGACGTATCTGGTTTCAATTTGATCTTTCATGACTTTGATATCTATATAAGCAAGGGATTAAACCATTCTTGAATTTTTTATTTTTTTTTGGCACGAGGACTCTCATCACGTGATCCAAATCTTCCCATGCATGTACCCTCCATGTCTCTGTGCTTGCAAGTGCGGGAGCAAACCAAAGATTTAGGTTTACTAGGCCATGATCTCATCAAACAATGTGAATGACAGGATTTGTGTTCTGGTCCCGATTCGTGTCTGGACTACACCTTTCCACAGCTATTATCCCAAGATTCGGAACTGCTAAGTTCTTCCAAGCCAGACAACAAAATCCGGTAAACTAAAGGGCATTAAAATGCTTCATAACTGGACTGAAAAGCTTGCGGTTTAAGTTTAAGAAGTTGCCACCTTGATCTTTTTTCCTTCACGATTTTCCAACACCACCCGAGTCTCAAATAACCACAATCAGCTCTCTTTGAAAATATAGAGCATCTACCCAAGCAAGAAATCATTGTAACTTACTCAAGAAAGCAAAACTCACATGTCCCAACCCATCAGCTCAGACCCCATTTAAATCCCCATCCAAGACCCCCTGGAAGTTGCCTGTGCAATTGGGTACGCAGTCCTAGTACTGGGCTTTTGCTTCTCTTTGCTAAGGATTATGTGGATCGATTTCAAGGAGAGAAGGGATGAGACTAATAAAGAGTGGATGGTGATTGGGCAGAGACGGATTGTGTGGGAATTGGGGAGGATGGGGAAGGAGAGGGTTTGTGGGGAGGAGAGGTGGGATGTTGGGATTCAGGAGGAGGACGAGGACGAGGACGAGGAGGTGGACTTCGATTAGGATACCGGTACTCCTTTTAATACGCCTCCGGAAAGTCCTTCGGATACTCGTTCGGAAAGCCATCGGAGGTTCACCTACGATTCTTGGCATTCGTCTGACGAATCTTTGGATGAAGAATTGCGCTTTTGGAGACACCGACAGAGGGGACAGTTTCCCATGCTGAGTTTCCTGGGATTCGCTGAGGTTAGTCGATCTGTGGGCGAAGCGCGGGTGGAGACTGAGTCACAGCAGCATCAGATCCATGCTGGTAGGGCAGTTCGGTCACGGGAGAGGAGAGATGAGGGGCACGCGACTGCAATCAATAATGGTTGCTACACTAAATCTGAGCATGAGGAAGGTGGCCCTGCTATTTCTTTCCACGCTTCCAGGTCAAATTAGCTATATGGCGTTAGTAGTTCTTATTTGGACCCCCAAATTTTTGAATGGGAGTTCTGTTTTCAACTGGCTTTCGTAGAATGTCAAGATTGATCGGGCCATCTCAGAAATATATATTCTCGATCCTCGACCACAATTAACTTCATTTCAAACCTCAAAGCTTCCTACAATTGATTCACGTCCAGCATGGCTTCTCTAAGCCAAAACGTCTCATCTCCACGTGACTCGCAGGCCTCGAATATGGATCCCGATTTCATCACAATAACGGTCTCGGAACACCGCCTCGGCTATTTCTTACTCTGGAAGTATGGAGAATCTTATAGACAGGGCTTGCGAGATGGAGAAAAGCGTGGGTGGAAGAGAACTTTGAAGAAGTTGGGGGAATAAGGCGAGAAATCCTTCTAAGAGAGAGTTGAGAGACTCTATGAGGTGGAGGGAGTGGAGGTTATGAATAAATCGCAGAATAGAGAAGCTGAGGAAGATCAGTTTATCTTGAAGTCACTTCATCAAAGTATTGATAAGCTTTGTGATAGAATCACGGAAGTGGAGAAAGAACTAGGATGATGAGGGAGAGCGCCAAGGGGTGTGATGTTGATAATGAACAGCCACAGGTCTCCCTGTGGAATCCAGATTAGTTGTCAGGGCAGTGTGGATGAACTTGACTCTAGTGAACAGGATGGCTGTTACTAGAGAGGCATTCAAGACGCATAGAAGAATGGTGTTTTGTAGAAGACTGGCTTTCAATATTCCATAGACAAAGAAACAAGAACGAATATCGCTATGCTTCTGGTGCTAATTCTGAGAATTTCCAGAACATTGTGATAACTACCAAGGAAATACCACCCTGATCAAGCTCCAGGACAACACACACTGTTATGGTTTGAATGTCGTTTGCTAACAAGGCACAATGAAAAGCAAGGGAAGATCCTTGTCCCTCTGCTAGAAATGTGAATGTGAATATCAAGACTTCCTACAACCCCTGTCATCGCCCCACTGCTCGGGCTTGAACCGACCCTGGCACCAGTCGTATGTATCCAATTAACGGCTTTTTCGTTAAAATAGAACTTCTGAGGTCGGATAGCTCAATTGGCAGAGCGACTCCTTGAAATGCAGAACTTATAGCCCAGTCAGGAGGTCGCTGCCCCTGACGTCCTAGGTAGCCCCGAAGACATTTTGGGGGTTATAAGGGAAGTAACTGGTAGGAGGAGGTTGCAGGTTCGATCCCTGCTTTGGCCAACATTATAACAAACACTTTTTTTTGCCTTTTTGGTGGTGTGGCTAGTAGAAAAGGTGAACTTTTCGCAACCCTTTTTTACTTGCTAGAGTTAAGCGAAAGCGTTGCAGGAATAAGGAGGCTCTGAATGAGCTCTTTGTTCATCTAATGACCTCAGTCGGTTCTGTAGCATGGATTTGCTGACACTCAGAAAGTTCAACTTTTATGAAAGAGAAAAACAACAGACACTGATTTGCAGGGATTGAAATGAGAATTCGTTGTAGGCTTAAAGAACAAGACAAGAACGAGAATAGAAGCATTCATTGACTCAAATTGAAGTATCTCAACGCTCCTTGGCAAAAGCTTGGTCCAAGATGACAACAGGAATCCGTGCAGGATTTGATACTCAATCATTCGTGCAATATTGTATGAACAGTGGACGAAATCTCAATAGGATCTTTTTCGACTTTCTCTACCATTCCAAACTGTAGAAGATCTGCAAATTCCCCCTTCCCAGCTACTCCACCCTTGCTGTCGTACTCTATGCTACATTCCCCAACGCCGTGTCTGTTGTACAATTTCCCAACCGGGCTACCAAATGTCAATTGAAGCCATGTCAACGCAAAGCAGAAGAAAATACCATCTGGACTCATGTTCTAATCATTTCCATTCTCCGCCTTCCATCGCGCAAGGTATGCCTCTCCACTTAAAGCCCCCTTTGGATCTCCCTCAAATCGTCCTTTAATCGGTTTCATTTTCCTCGTAACGAAGGGTGTAAGCTATCAACCACCCATCAGCATCACCTTGGATTCTAGTTCTGCCACTGATAGCGTACCTTAAAATCCTTCAAGTCCTTCGGCACAACATATGTTCTGACCTTCTCCCACTCGATAATGTAGCCTCCGTGCTGTGTATGTCGACCCGTCGATCCCGTGCCTGTTCCCTTATAGTATCCCTTATTCGTCTGCTTCGTGCTCAGAGCATGCCGCGATATCCTCTTCAAGAGAGGCGACGTAGCCTTCATTGTTGCTGTTCAATGAGGATGCTTGAATTAGGGAAGTCTCTCGAAGTCGAATTAAGAACACCAAATGGCACTAGCGGCCGCACATCCAAAAAGTTTATCGACCCAAAATTTTCGATAAGAAAATCATAACGAAATTCGCAGTCCACCTCCAGACACATTGGGAAGTTGAAAACATGCCTGGAAGACAATCCCATGGCGGACCGCCGTCGAAGAAGCCACGGGTGAAGAACAATTCGAAAAAACGAGCTTTAGACGCCTTCGCGATCGCCTCGCACACGAATCCCGATAAAATCAAAATCCGACAGCATCGTCTGGGAGTACAAGAGGGAGGGAATAGGCCTGGGAAACGCCGAAGGGATGAGGATGACGAGGAGGGTGAAGAGGAAGAGGATACAAGCTCGAAGAAGCAGAAAAAGGGACCTGCGAAAGGCCGGTTCGATGAATTGGATATAGATGCGGGGAGTGACAGTGAGGGGAACGAGTGGAGGCTTGGGCAGGTCGACAGTGATGATGATAGCGACTTGGACAGTGATGAAGCATTCGGGGAGAGCGATGAGGAGCGTTTCGACGGGTTTGCGTTCTCGGGGAGCTCTAACAAGCAGGGAAAGAAAAAGGCACCGCGGACGAAGGATGTGAACCTCGACGAGGAAGACGAGGAGGAGTCAGATTCCGAGCTGGAGGAGGGTGATCTGGGAGAAGATGCTGTGGATCTTGCCACGATGTTGGATATGGCAGAGGAAGAACAGAGGGAGGAGGCAGAGGCTGGCAAGCAAAAGGGCAGCGAAAAAGATGCCTCAGAATCTGCCGAAGAAGAGGAAGACAGTGAGGAGAGTGACAACGAGTCGTCGATGTCATCTGCAGACGAAGATGACGAAGCCGCCAATCCTGCGAAAATTGCACTTCTCCAAGATCTTATTGCGAATCTACCACAAGTTGACGAATCGAGTCGAGGTCCGGCGAAGCAACGGAGTGATGGTGCCTGCGAATATGATAAACCCCGAGATTCTGGTCTCAAGTCTAAGACGCCGCTCAGATTGGAAGATTTTGGGTTATCTACGATTAAAGACCCACAGATGAAGAGGTCATTGCAGTTTCTGGAAGACAATCCGACAGGATCCAGCAAGAAGAAGGTTAATAAAAGGCTAGAAGTCCCTCTTGCTAGACGGCAGCAAGAGCGCCTGGACCGTAGTGCTGCTTATGACAAGAGCAAAGAGACGTTGAACAGATGGACAGACACAGTTGCACACAACCGCCGGGCCGATCACCTCATTTTCCCACTTCCAGACAATGACATGGCATCAGCACATTCTAACACGCAGCTTGTGCCAACCAATCTCACCAAGCCATTTAATGAGCTCGAGGCTACCATTCAGAGCATTCTTGAGGAAAGTGGTCTGGCAACAACAGATGGGAAGGATGACGAAGATCACATTCGAGAATTCGAGGAATTGGAGGCAAACAAACTCTCAGTGGCAGAAGTCAAAGCGCGGAGAGATCAACTACGGATGGCACGAGAGCTACTTTTCCGGGAAGAGGCAAAAGCAAAGCGTATCAAGAAGATCAAAAGTAAATCGTACCGCAAAGTTCACCGGAGGCAGCGTGAAAAGGAGGAGCGTCAAAATAGAGAGGCCTTGGAAGAAGGTGGCTATGTCCCATCCGAGGACGAGTTAGAAGTGCAGGATAGAAGACGTGCGGAGGAACGCATGGGCGCGAGACATCGAGGCAGCAAATGGGCCAAGGCTATGAAAGAAACAGGCCAATCAGCTTGGAACGAGGATGCGAGGTCTGGAGTCAGTGAGATGGCTAGAAGAGATGAAGAGCTAAGGAAGAGGATTGAGGGCAGGGCAGTGCGAAAGGAATTCGAAAACGAATCAGAAGATTCGGTTAGCGATTCCGATGACGATATGAGTGAGGACGACGAGCTTGTGGAGAAGAAACGACTTTTACGAAAATTAGAAAAAGTTGGCGGCACGCCTCTATTAGACGAATCCCTCCCTGGGGCGAAACTGGTCAATATGGATTTCATGCGCAAGGCAGATGCGGCTCGCAGGAAGAAGAATGACGATATGGTAGAGGAAATGCGACGCGAGCTCGCGGGTGAAGAATTTCCAAGTGAAGAAGAGTTTGATGGAGATGTCGGTCGAAGAATTTTTGGTCCTGGGAGCAATGCAGCCCAGGAAAAGAAGCAAAAGTCTAACAATGCCAACGAATTTGAAGAACCAGCTGGCTCGGAGGGTGATGAGGGTGGTGCCGAAACCGAATTTCGTGGGTTTGACATCGGCCAGAATAGCGCAGCAGAGCGAACGCGGAGCAAGGCTACTGATCGATCTTTGAAACCCAACACGTTTTCAAAACCCAACAACCAACAAACACTTAATTCCGAGGGTGGAGCATGGTCGAAGGTGGTCTCAAAATCATCATCAATCAGTGATGCAGAAGCCAAGAGAAGACGACACAAGAAGAACGATGCCATCGATTTTGAGGAATTGGATTTGTCAAAAGCCGCTGTCATCGCATCACAACCGAAGTCTCGAAAATCATCGAAGAAATCTATCATACTGGAAGTAGATTCTGATTCCGAAGAAAACAGTGATGAAAACAAAATCCGCTTGCCGTATGCTATCAAGGACCAGGAGCTCATCAAGCGAGCATTTGCTGGAGCTGATGTTGTTGGCGAATTCGAGGCTGAGAAGAAGCAGACTGTCGAAGATGAGGATGAGAAAACCATCGACAACACCCTTCCCGGCTGGGGAAGCTGGGTTGGCGACGGTGTGAGCAAAAGAGAAAAAGCAAAGAACAAGGGAAGGTTTCTTACAAAATCCGAGGGTATCAAAGCACAGAATAGGAAAGATGCAAAGCTCGAACGGGTGATCATTAATGAGAAACGCATCAAGAAAGTATGGTTCTTTTTGATTAATCTGAGATCGCACTGGCTGACAATCTACAGAACGGCAAATATCTTGCATCGAGCCTTCCACATCCCTTCGAAACGAAACAGCAGTATGAGAGGTCATTGCGGCTCCCTCTCGGACCTGAGTGGACTACAAAAGAAACCTTCCAAGATGCGACGAAACCCCGGATTTTGCTCAAGCAAGGCATTATTACCCCGATGTCGAAACCCTTACTTTAATAGCCTGAGAACGCTTCTAGAGGACAATACACTAGACATGCAATCACAATGATCACGACCCCTTTTCCACGTGAAATGCTCAGCCTACTTAGCCACCATCCGATCTTAAACAGTGCATTGGAATTTACCCACACCACAACACTCCGTTTCCCCAACCCCTGGTTCGTCTGCGAAATGCAGAATAAACAGTTGGTCAAAACATCTCTCGCTTCGTGCATTGTTGTTGTGCCGCCTCGGCTCTGGTGGCTGGATGACAACAGCTCGGCTCTGTTGATATCCAACAGAAGGCTCAGCAGTTGGTGATAATGGTAATACGCCCGATATGCATCTGATAACGCTTGCCGGAGACTCTTTTGTGATTTAACGTTTCGTCTGAAGTTTCAGGGAGATTTCAGCTGGTTGGAATGGAATAGCTAACGAGCTCCTTCAGACGAACTGGGGAAGTATATATCTGTAGACTTTCTATTTAATTTTCTATCTTGTCACTTAATTTTCTCCCTTGCACTCATTCCATATATCTAGAACACTTTTGGAGTCTACTAACCTTTGTTGCCCTCTTTCCTATCTCTATGTTGGGCCCAATCGTTAGTGAGTACTTTTTATCGGTCATGAATAAGCCATTAACAAACACCCAGTATCGATTACTTTCCACAGACAATCCGTCTTGGCTCCGTGCTTTCCTCAATATGAAGACAATCACCACCCGATCACTCATCCAAGTAGTCATCTTGACTCTTTGCCTCACAATCAAACAGCGCTCCCAACATTGCTCACAGAGCAGCGCCTCCCGCACAGAAGTCGATACCAACCCCGTTGGGGCCTCATTTGTTGCCACTCTTCCAGCTGGTGCTGGTGTCTAAGGCTCACTTAGTGGAACAGCCAGCGACGGCGGTCACGGCACTGCGTGGGAAGCAAGCTTCACTAACTTGCCCAGCGCAGGTGGTCCCTTCCGTATGTTCCTTCCTCTCTCACTTCAATAAGCAGCTAACAGTGTACTGTAGTATGGCACATCCATTTCAGTCCAGTCCCTGCAAACGGAGACTGCGCAGGCACCAGCGGCCACTTAGATCCCTTCAGTGTCGGTGATGTTCGTAACCTCATATCCACTTTTCCTTCCCCACCAGTGTCAAATGATTAGGTTTGATTTGATTAGACCCCCCTACTCAAATTAAATCAAGTCAAAATCAAGCTAATCAAATCATACTTAATTATAATCAAAGATAATCAAAGATAATTAATTAGATTTATCACGTGATTACGCACATGACTCTGGAGCTTCAGAAGCCGAGATAAGGCTAAAATAAGGTCTGTGCTAGCCGTATTCGGTATTACTAAAGGCGCTCTTTACTAAACCAGGCCTAGCGCTAATTAGTAAGCGAAGCCAAAGGCGCTAGAACCTCCTTGATTTCCAGTGATTCCTTGCCACTAATAAAAGAGCTATAAATAAACCCTTATAGTAATTAAAGAAGAAGAAATAAGAAAATAAGAAAATAAGAAGGAAAAAGAGAAAGAGATTTCTAAAAAAGAAAACTATTAAGATAAAGTAATGTTATAGTAGTAGTAAAGAGCTTGAATTGAGCTATTTGCCAGGCTAAGTCACGTGCAATAGCACTACATAACTGGTACCACGTAATAAAAACTAGTTTGTTATTTTAGATTTAGACTAATTTTATACTCTTATATATGCTTTATAGATTTTATTTATATCTTATTAATATAACTACTAGTTATTTAATAATCTTTAAAAATGCCTAAGAAAGTATACTTTTATATTATCACGTGATGATTATAGTTAATTATAATTAATTATAATAAAAATCAAGCTAATCAAATCATACTTAATTATAATCAATTCTAATCAATTCTAATTAATTAGCCTTGATTATTTTTTGACACACTGTTCCCCACCCACCTAATAAAATACCCAGGTAACAGTTTGCGATCCCAATAGTCCCGCCAACTGTCAGATAGGAGACCTCTCTAGCAAATTTAGCAAAATCACAGCCTCCCTTTTCTCTCTATCTTTTGATAATCTGTTCTTCTCGACAAATCTGACATACGCGGCATTTGTTGGAAGTCGAAGTCTGACTATCCACACTGATAAGAAAAGAATTGCGTGTGCGGATTTTGTGGCGGAGACTGGTGATGGGGAGGGTGATTCTGGGGATGGAGAAGATGATTCCGGAGATGAAGAGGATACAGGGAATAATGAAGATGCTGGACCCGAGAAAAGAGTTCCTCCACTTCCACCTGGCGTCGTTCCTTCTCCAACAGCAATCTCAACTCACGGTTCGATCTACACCGTTGTCCTAATAACGACTCTGGCAGCAGCAGCAGCACCTTCCGAGGGCAATAGGGACGATGAAGACGATACAGGTGATGATGGGGATGATCCTAGGGATGGAGACGATGGAGATTGTCCAGCTGACGAGGATGAGTAGACTTGAAAGCGGCCATGGGCTTGTCTCTAAATTTCCTTTCACAATGATTTCTAGCTCTATAGGTTTAGGTTTGGGTGGGGGGAAAATATAGATCAGGCTTGCAGGAAATCTTTCTTTCTTGCATTGGAGAATTCAGATATTGCGGTGCAATCTCAGTTGATGTAGAACAGAACTTGTACAACAGCAATACCCCGCATTGGTGGGTTCCACGAATCCAGCATTGTCACATACCATGTTTTCCCTAGAATGTTTGCGACACTGTGCTCGCGTGAACCAACTTCACGTTCAGCTGATGGGAGTTGAAAAGTGCTCTGATCGACGAGGCGGTTGAAATCTGGGCGAAGTTTCCACCCGCAACCCCCTCCCCCCTTGATTTTTGAAACACTTCAGGAGTCAGGATAAAACCCGAGCCTCGACTGCTCACCTTTACTGAATTATCAAATCTTAACCTCAACATCCTAGAGTCGTACGGCAAAGCAAAGGGTCTCGATCCACTCGTTCAAAGAACAGACCCCTGTGATCAATGACGTCGGTGCACGACCGCTATCAAATGGTCCATCTTAAAACTTCCCTTTGCTTTGACATTTAGTCCTTCATCCTCCATCCTCCATCACTCTTTGAACAAACACCAACCACATGGAACATCATAATCGCAGTACCTAATTCTCATTATAACACAACATAAGATCTTGCATTACTGCAAGCTGTTAAATCACCCCTCGTAGGAAAGGAAGGACAAGGTCAGTGGTGTCTTCCCGGAGCGCTCTCGATTTCTGGATCTCCTTGAATCGATTTCCCTACTCTCTAAGGAGCGAAGTACTCGCGTTCAGAGTTCCTCATATGTCAGCCTCGTCATACACGCGTTGTTCGTCATCTGAGACATTCTCTTGAATTCTCTCGCAGGAGGAGCGCTTGGTCTCACCTTCCTCGTGCAGCCTGCCTCACTTCGAAGCCTGGGTGCGGGGAAGCTTGTGGCATCATCAGGTTGAAAGGTCTTTTCAGGTCCTTCTGACCTTGGTGTCTCCCTTCGTGGGAATCATCTGAGGACAGTTCCTCACAAGGTCAAGCTCCAGAAGCACGTCGTGGACGGGTTTTCATCTCACATGACGTAACAAAGTGTTCCTTGTCAAACATCAACAATCGCCTCTCAAAATCAGTAGTTAGAAACATGGTCCATATTTTAGTTTCAACAGGTTCTGTGAATGGTTGACTATCTCCGAACAATGGTATTGTTATGGTTGGCGCCTTGGGAGCAGCCGACGACTGAGACATTCCTCATCCAAGCCTCTGGGTGTTGAATTCTTCGCACTCCAGGTACCATCACCGACAAGCTGTCGGTGGTAAAAGTGTACTGACTGCATGAAATCTATCGTGCGGCACTGTATCTACATGGTTCCGCTACATTCGTTTTGTTTTGGGCAGCAGGAGGCCTTCCCTAAACTCCGAGAATCATTTAAATGCAAGGGAACTGATTCTTAAGTCCCTGTAACACAAATTTTGTGTTGCCTAAGATAAGGCCCGCAATTTTCGAGGATGTCTTGATCGTCATTCCCCAAGGTATTGAATTTTTCACGAGACCCCAGAATTCTTCTCTCTGGAAGTCACAACACCATACCCACAAGGTGAACCACATCCGATAGATTAATACGAATACAAAACCCCAAATAACGCAGTTCCGTTCACATTGTCCTTTTGATTCCCAACAGTCGGCGCCGTGCCGTGAGCATCGTTCAATATATAATTTAGCCACGGATTGGCCTATTAAAATCCGAGAATCTCCAGCGTTGCTTTTGCAGTTCTGATTTTGCATTTAGAAACCTCGGCAATGAAGGTGGTGGTGTGGCTAACGATTCTACAGGTGGTCGCAGCCAAGGCTGTACCTAAGAGACAAGTCTGTAGTGCCCAGGATTTCTCAACTAGTACCCAACTTGGCGTGGCTCCTGGTGCAACCTCGAGATTCATCCCTAGATCCTCGGTTGAAGGAAGACAGGCCGTAACAACAGCCGAAGAATTAAGTATTGGTCCAGTTCAAGAAGGACACCACGGTGTTCTCTCTGTCCTGGGACCACATACTCACCTGGGCAGTGACAGTCTGAGTGGAAATAACAAACAAGTCCAACTGACTCTGGCATCACCTTTGGCTGGAGGTATCTACTTCGCTCCCGTCAGAACTTCTTCGGTTTCACCAAGAGTTTCGGTTATTACCACATCGACTAGTTCAGGAACTGCCCAAGTTCTTCCGCATCTTGGTACTCAAGTTCCGCAAACAACTGGAGTTGTCATAACCGGTCTCAACACAATTGGACTACCAACATCGGCTCCTATAATCAGCACCTCAATATCAAAACCAGCCACTACGCTCTCACCGAATTCTAAGCCCACTCCTGTCACCACCTTTGTACTCATGGGTGGCACTTCTGATAATATATTCCAGCCAGTGGCAACTGACGCTCCACCTTCTGTGATTGGCTCGAGACAGGATCACCCAGTCCCAAGATTGGGAGTCCAACCTCAGCATGCCCCCATCTCAACCAACAAATTCTATGCAAATTTCTTCCTAGGAAGTCAAACTGCTGGAACATGGACTCATCCATATTCCGTCGCATGGTCCAAAGGTGGCGGTTCAACGCAAAGTTGGGGCATGTCAATTTCTCATATTGATGCGGATCAGAGAGTCTATGGACCGAATTCGGCAGCAACCCCTGTTCAATACTTCATCAATCCAATTGGCATCCAATCACTGGTTCTTTCTGCCGTGGAGCTTGGAGCATCGACTACCCTCTCAATGGATACTCTCACTGCTTTCTCAGCAAGCGTTAATCTTTTGCCAAGTGCGGGAGCTGCTCCAGCAATCACTTTTCCTCTTGTTCAAGGCATGGGCTTTGTGACGGGAATTTACAATGGAGGTACTCCTGTTATTCAGACTGGCATTTTCTTCCGTTCAATTACGAAGGCCACTTCAAACCCCAAGCCAGGTATCACAAAATACACAATCATTCTCGAGGATGGCAAGACTTGGTTATTGTACGCCTCTGGAAATCCCATCGATTTCACAGTAGTTAACAACGGACTTGCTCAGGCAACCTCGAATTTCAACGGCTTTATTCAAATTGCCAAGAGCCTTGGTGGAGATTTCGAAGCGCTGTACGATGCTGCTTGCGGTGTTTATGCTACGACTGCCACTCTTTCAGGAAGTGCAAATGGTGCAATTGGTTCCTACACTTTGTCATTTTCTAAAGGAGGCTTGGTAAACACAGCACTCCTTATGTTCGCACTTCCTCACCATACTGAGTCGTTCTCACCGCAGACGGCATCCGCTGCTACCAACCTTCAGTTACAGACGACCACTAAGGGTCTAGCTACAGCAGTGGTAGCCGATTCATGGACTATGGTAGAGAATCTTCCAACCACCATGGGTTTTGCTCCTTGGAGTCCATCAACTGGTGCTCAGAGGCTCCCATTCTCAGCTGCGACCATTCAGACCATTCTGAGCGTTGCACAAAGTGAGATCTCGCAAAACATGAGCGCGCAATCGAATCTCAACTCCATGTACTATAGCGGAAAGGTTAGTTCGAGTTCTCTGTCGACTATTTGAAATCACTGATTTATCTTAGGCACTTGCAAAATTCGCCGGCATCGTATATACAATCCATGACCTTCTCGGCAATTCTGCCTTGGCAGAAGCAGGTCTCAACACCCTCAAGCAATCCTTCGCTGTATTTGCAAACAATAAGCAGCAATTCCCACTCGTATATGAGACAGCCTGGGGAGGTGTAGTATCCACTGCCTCTTACGCCACCGGAAACTCTGGGGTAGATTTTGGCAATACGTATTACAATGATCACCATTTCCAGTAACTTCCCTTTCCCCTTTTCATATGCTAGTACTAACAAGCTCAGTTACGGCTACTTCATCTACGCCGCCTCGATAATTGGCACCCTTGACCCGACGTGGCTCAAAGCAAACAAAGCCTGGGTCAACACCCTCGTCCGGGACATTGCGAACCCCTCCCCGCTAGACCACTTCTTCCCCGTATCGCGGAACTTCGACTGGTATCACGGCCACTCCTGGGCACACGGCCTCTACGAAACCTTCGACGGCAAAGACGAAGAGTCTTCCTCCGAAGACGCGATGTCCGCCTACGCGCTGAAACTCTGGGGTCGAGCCATCGGTGACTCGAACTTGGAAGCCCGCGGCAACCTCCAGTTGTCTATCACCGCGCGAAGTCTCCAAAACTACTTCCTCTACACCACCACCAACACAATCCAACCGCCCAACTTCACGCCCAACCGCGTCTCCGGGATCCTCTTCGAGAACAAAATCGACCACGCCACCTACTTCGGCGCCAACCCAGAATACATCCAAGGCATCCACATGCTCCCCCTCCTCCCTTGCTCAACATTAACGCGCACACCTACGTTCGTGCAGGAGGAATGGGATACGTATTTTAGTAATGGGAGAGCAGAGAAGGTTGTCGGCGGCTGGAAGGGGATCTTGATGGCCAATTATGCGATTGTGAATCCGAAGGCGGCGTGGAGCTTCTTCGCCAGTGGGGCTTTTGATGAGAGTTGGCTTGATGGCGGGGCGAGTCGGACGTGGTACTTGGCTTTTGCTGCTGGTCAGTCTTCTCTTCCCCCCTTTTGTTCGTTTGTTTTTGCCGTTTGGGATTTGAAAAAGGGGCATGGCTGATGAGAATAGGTCTCGGTGGTGCTCCATAAACACCCCCTTTCCCTTCTCGCTCGCTTAAGCAGACAAAACATCCCATCCTTGTCAACATACCACAAACATCATCCCCTTCGCCAAAAGGCGAACAAAAACAAGAGCATAAAATGGACGGATAAACTTCTTTTCATATTTGCATTTTCTTGCTGTGGGATTCGGCGCTCGGTTTTTCTTCATCAATTTTGGGCTGCATTGGCTGCATTCACGGCATGGATCGATTCTAGAATTTTGCATTAAAATGGAATTTTGGCATGTGCATACCTGGGTCCTGTGTCCATAGCTTAGACTTTTGGCTTAGAGCAATGAAAGCAATGATTTTGGCAAATCAAATTGCTTCTTCAAACTGTGCCGCATGATGCGGCTGGAAAAAGGAAAGTATTTCAAACTTTTCTAGATTAACTAATCCGTGATACCTCCCTGATACAATATACAAAGGGCCATCTCTCATACCAATATCATACACGTTCCATTTCCCCAAATCTTCCCCTCTTTAAAATAAGAAGAAGATCCTGAAAGATCTTGCTCCGTCCAATTCATATACACCGTACAGTACAATATTCATGTGAATGGCAATTTGAACGGAGACCCGATCTCCGCTCATCCCCTGGGTAATTTGAGGGATTCAAACGCCACGAAACACACATCCATGACCTAGAGACCAACAAAGGTTTTAACAGACCTGGCTACCATGCCAGCAATCCGTTCTGGCTTAGCAGGATCCGTAGCGTCATCTGGATAGACCAAGAATGCGAGAGCGATGATGATGTAGAGACCAAGCAACTAACGCATTGATTAGCAAACATAAAGCGTAGGATTTAAGGGACAGAAACTCACCATAGCTCCTTCCAAATAATTGCTCTTGCCATCCTGAATAACATATGTGACAACCAAGACACTCAAGAAGAAGACAACGGTCTCGAAAGTCTCGAAATGTAGCGTCATGGGTTGGTCAATGATCCAGCCCAGGATGACCAGGAACGGAGTAACCAGAAGGGCGATTTGCATCGAGCTTCCGATTGCTACACCCATAGCGAGGTCCATCTTATCTTTCACCGCCACGACCACGGCCGTCACATGTTCTGCAGCATTGCCAACGATGGGAAGGAGAATAAGACCGATAAATGTCTTTGAGATATGGGCAGTTTCGACGAGAGAATCGATAGAATCGACGAGGTACTCGGCGCAGATGGCAACGGCGATTGTGACAACCACAAGAACGAAAGCAGCAGCCCAAGGCCCCATCTGTGGTTCTTCCGCATCTTCATCTTCGGCGGCCTGCTCAGCGTCGAAAAGATTGGCGTGGGTACGGAGCTGGAAGACAAGATAGAGAACATATAGGATGAGAAGGATTATGGCAGTGCCATGTGAAAGGACCAAGATATTGCGCCCGGTATCTTCCTTGGAACCTGCGAGGGCGGCATACAGCTGGTAGAGGTCAGCGTAATTCAAGGGAGAAGAGCAGAAGATCCTACGGTAGCTGGGATGATCAAAGAAGCCGATGCAACGGCCATTAAAGAAGACATGGTCGACGCGACTGTCGAGTTGAAATCCTGTTCAATGCCGCGTGCGGTTCCTGTTCTAGTATTATGGATACCACCTGCTAAGAAGCAGCATCCAAGCACTAGAAGGATATTGGAAAGGATACTTCCCAACATACTAGATTGCACGATTCTGATTTCGCCGTTCCTGAGCGCCACGATACTGACCTGCAAGAGGTTAGCGGAACTCAACGCCTTGGAGCTTCCAGACGTACGATCAATTCCACAGCATTGCCAAATGTAGCGTTTAATAGACCCCCCATGGTCTGACCAAGCTTCACCGAGATTTCTTCCGTGGCAAACGATAAAACAGCGGCGAGGGGAACGATGGCAAAGAAATTGAGAATGAAAACAGTGGTGGGATCCCAGCCCATGGCACCAGCAACTATACCCAGCGGTACGAATACCAGGAGGATATTGACATAGTTGCTGTACAATGTGACTTTAGTAACATGCAGCACTTGTGCTGGAATCCTTACGAACTTGTTATCACTTTCCATTCCTGCCGTCTGGTGCTTGCTGAATACCGTGCGGAAGTAGTCCAGTATGGTTCGGCTGCCAAGGGCGTCTCCATTCTGTCCTGACAGCAACCCAGTGGTCTCGCTCGCGCTTCCGTTCGATGGTTGAGGCATCTCGGCGCTCGAATTTATTTCCTTGTGCCCTGACTTCGCGCGCTTCAGTTCTTGTCGGAATTGAGATGTGCCTACATATCAGAAAGAAGAGGTGGAGTTAGCCCAACGAGTCTAATCAAATAAAGTTCTTCTTGTCTTGGCCCTCGGCTCTTTGGTTGTGCTGGACGACGGAGGACAAATAAACAAGAAGGGCCGGATTAACTTGGCATTCAAAGGTCGGTGTGATCTGCCAGCATCGAAGACATGTAATCATCTGCACTGCAGAGAGAGGGCAAGGAGGTGGAGAGAGGTTGCGCATCGGTGTAGGAGGTATTTGAGCTTCCATGACGGCCGATAAGAGCTTGGCCCGCTGTTTCCAATGACCAATTGTCCCAAAGCAGGATAGACATTGAGTAAGCGGGGCAGCAGGAGAAGGTCTAACTTACACACCATCTTGGCGACTGTGTCTTTGTTGTCGTCCGGTGGTGAACTCGTGCGTTTCGACGACCGCAAAGAGTGGTTTGGAGGGGCGAGCTGCTGCGCCTCGTTTCCTGTGTGGATGACAAGAACCGCGTGGCGGGAATGATCACAAAACCAGCCAATTGCAAATGCAGGGTCTTCGAGCTTTCGCAGTCAGTGGGCCGAATGTACCGGGTCTCGTGCGATGGTGGAGAATGAAAATGAAAATGACGAGGAAGCGGCCAGGAGGTCCGATGATCAGGTCGGTCTGGACTCTGGAGTCTGGACGGTGCTCTCTGGGTCTTGACGTTGGAGAGAGGAAGGGGCTTAGGGGCGACACGGGAAATTGAGCCAAGATCTCCAAGAGGGACATTAGCAAGACATATAAAGCTTTTGCTGGCTGCAGTTACGACATGCTGAAAATCTTGTGTTGGATCTTGGTTTTCCGGCTCGCCAGGTTTCGCAAACTTTGTTTCGTCCTGATTATTCACGCCACTACACGAGAGCTGCATGAAGCTTCCCCATGAAGCTTCCCCCACGCTTCACCGTGAGAAAGTCTCATTATTTACTATGTAAAAGGCAGAAGCAGAGCCTTCAAGCATCTCTCAATCTGACGACCAAGACCCAATGTACCAGCATCGTCAAACCAGCCAAGAAGCAGTTTCAATGGGAGCTGCTGGATGCCTTCAAAACTACTGTAGGTCCTTGCTGGCAGACGTCGCTGACGTACCACCCGCGCCAATGCAGCTTGGCCCCTTGCACTGCCACCCTTGGCGCGCGGTAGCGCATTAGTGTTGTGGATTCGGGAGCTTAACTGGACGAACTCCTAAACGTTCTCAATGCCAAGACAATAGAATTTGTGAAGTGCGACGATTATCGGCAAGTTGGGATAAAAAGATTTGATATTGCCGAGGGATGATTGAAGTCTAAGCTCTCCGAATCAAATGCTGGCTTGGAAGGTTGGATATCGAGCTCCTTGAACGTAGTCGAAAAAGCTTAGGATGGTCAAGCAATGCAAGCTTTGTTGACTGCTGGAGTTGGACCCGATGTCTGAATCCATTGTACAATTCCTAGTCTGGCCAATGTCCTTTGCAATGTAACATGAGATACCGTAAATGCAAAATCTCGAAGACAGAGGCTTCCAGATTGTTAGATTTCCCGGGAATGTCGACTTGTCAATCGAGGGATTTCGCATTTGACTTGGCAGTAAGAGAGTGCTCTGCTGGAGGATGCTGTGTTCGCTCGATTTGCTTTCTTATGTCCACCTCGAGTGTCGGAGAATCGTGGAGTCGTATAACGAGAGGTCAGATCCCCAACGCATCGTACTTCCCAGCCGCCGCCCTCCTCGCAGCCAACGAAGGATAATTAACTTTATTCTGCGCATTCATCGCCTCATTCCTCTCCTTCCTCCTCTTACCCTCCTCCTCCCTCCTCTCAATCTCCTTCCTCTTCCTCCTAACCTCATCCCTCTCCTCATCCCTCTTCTCCTCTCTATCCTTCCCTTTATCCCTAGCCCTCTTCCCCTTCCCTTTCAGCTCCCTCTCCCTCTCCCTCCTACACTTCTCCTCCTCCCCCCTACTAACCACCCAGTGCTTCCCCAGCACATCCTTCCTAAAATCCATAACCTCATTCCAACACTTCACCTCTTGATCCATACTCCTCAACACCTCGACCTTAACAACCTCCACCTGTCTCTGCTTCCAGAAATCGCCAATTCTGCCTTTAACCTTGATAACCGTACCGACATCCATTATGTCCCAGGGGACAATGGGTTCCTGGACCGATGGCGCTGTCTTATCTCCTCCATTCCCCTTTCTCTCTCCCTCTGCCTTCCCTTTCTGCTTCTTTGACTCCGAAATTGAGGTTGCAATTTGGTTGATAGATGCAATCTGATCCAAATGCGTGGGCACCCCAATCGTCTCCATCTTCGGCGCAGGCACAGGAGCAACACAAACACAAACACACTCAACGCACATCCCACTGCTATCATCGACCGTATACACGTTCCTGCCCGGATACTCGTCTACGGCGACAATGACGCCTGTAACGCGCACCCATTTTATCGGATGGTTTTTGTAGTGGAATAATGGTTTTTCTGTTCCCCAGATGTGCAATTAGCATCTACTCCAATTAAACCCCAAAATCGAAACCAGAATGATGAAAAGGTCGGGGGAAGCGCAATGGGGAGCTCACGATCACAAAACATCCCCACCTTCTGCAACCCATGGATATCCGTCGCGCGCAGCGGGACCCATTTTCCGATCGTGGGCGAGAGGGCGTGGCAGTAATCGGGGTAGATGGTTAGATTCTGAGGCGCGGATGTCATGGCATGGTTGTGGTTCTCATGAGAGTTGTGCGGGGGCAGGAGGTGGTTGTGAAGTGGATGGTTGTTGGGAGGTGATGTTGATGTTGATATTAATATTGGCTGGGAGACGCGTCGAATTTGGGGGCGAAAATGATGCGAGGTCACGAGGTGATTTTCACGTGTCACAGATTTTGGACGAAAAGCTTCTTGCTTTGAGAAAGCGTTCAATGTTGGGGCTTCGGTGGTGCTAGCAAAATGGAGCATCTTGATTTTGTTGATTCAACAGTTTCTTTCCCAGTCATCAACCTATGTGCTGCTCGAAGCCAACCGTGATATCCATCCCGCCCCAACGCCCTGCCATGCATGAATAAAAGGAGAGTCCAAAGTTCAATGCTTTGTCCTCTTTGTCTTCCGACCACTCTCAGCGGTACCGTTCTTGAGTCTTGCAGCAGCAGCCTGGAATGCCTCTTCCGATGGCATTCCTCCTTCATCATCCTCATCCTCATCCTCATCAGAACCTCTCTTCTTGCCTTTCTTCCCCTTCTTCGACGACTTCTCCTGAGCCTTGTATTTCGCCTCCAAGTGATCCAAAAAGCCACCTCTATCCGCCTGCCTCTTTTGAATCAACGCAGCCAAATCACCCATCCCGGCATCCGCCTTCTTTCCATTCATCCTCTCCTTCGTAGTCTTCGCATGCTCCTCCGCCTCCTTCGCCTCCCTCCTCGCCTTCTTCATCCTCCTCTCCCTCTTCTCCGCCGTCTCCTCCGTGTACCTCTTATGCGACTTAACATCCCCCTTCTCAATCGCCGCATCAATAATCCCCCTAAACCTATCCTCATCCTCCAAGCAATCACTCAACATAACTGTAGCGTAAATCTTTTCCCAACTACCCTTGAACTTCTCATACGCATTGAGCAGATCATCTTTCTCCTCATCCGAGCCTTTGTAAGCCTGCGAGAAGGTCTCGATGGACTCGGTGGTTATGACATCTCGGAATTGCTCGGAGTAGAACTCGCTCCAGCTGAAGTCTTCGAAGTCGATTGATTCGGCGGTTGAACCGGTCTTGTCGTATCGCTTTCGGCGGACGGGATCGGAGAGGACCGCGTAGGCGAAGGCGATTTCTTGGAATTTGAGGGTGGCTTCGTCTTTGGTTTCGGGGGTTGCTTTGTCTGGTGGATTGTTAGCGGTCTTGAATAGCAGATTGCGGTAAATGATTATTGATTTGAAGATCTTTGGCCAACTCGATGTCCAATTACCCCAAAAGAAGGAGAATGTAGCGCATACCTGGATGGTGCTTCAGCGCAGCCTTGCGATACGCTGACTTCACCTCATCTGCAGTCGCTGACTTCTCGATTCCGAGAATCTTGTACGGCTCAACGGTCGGCGGTTCTTCGTCCTCGAGGTCAATCTCTTGTCTGCGTGGCATTTTTGGAGGCGTTGTGGATGGAATGTGAGTTGAAGGTTGGAGGTGTTGTTGACTTCGAAGATGGTTTTATCTTTGGCGAGACGCGTCGGCAGATTTGGCGCGAATGGCGTCGAGCTCGCGTAGAGTGGCCCACTTCTTTAACGACAAACAAGCCGAGAGAAGACCACGATTCAAAGCATGAAGCGGTGTTCTCATGAAAGCGTCCTTCAACTTGCTGTCTATGCAGTGGACGTTCCGGAAATCATCATTACGTAGACTGTGACGTGCGATTGTTCCCAGCTCTTCTCCTTGACCTAGAAATTGATCCAGCTCGAAGGTCTACTGTTATTTTCTCCCGCCTCGATTTGCTATACTCTACTTGGTTAGAAATTGTCTTCTTGAAATGTGATTTGATATGTTGAAGCATATTGTCCAGCACTTGTTTCAATGGTTCCTGATGCTCGTTCTCGCTCGCTTAAGTTTGGTCAAATTTTTTTTTTTGCAATCTCCAATTTATATCTTCAAAGCCGCTTGAATACACTCTGTACGGGGACTGATGGAAGAATCTCCGGAAATGCTAGTTCAAGTTCTAAAATCGAAATAATTGGTTGATTCGCAAAATAATTGCCTCCTAGCCCAACCACTTAGCGAGGAGTGGAGTGGGAAGTGATCAAAAAAATTTGACAAAACTCTGGCGACCAGCCCGAAGGGTGGTCGCTGAGCGAAACAGCCGAACTGTTTTTTCCGTGAAACCGCTGCCATCAACTTTATAAGTATAGTTTTCTCTTTTCGCAGGAGTGGTTCGAGTGGTGACACCCCTACTACTAAGGCTCTTTACTTCTGATCTAGCTCTGGTGAAAGCTTGTACGCTTTTTGAGTGGGTTAACCACCCGCTTCAACCACCTTAGTGGAGGTATTTCAGCAAGTTTATCCTCGTTGCGGAGTCAACTTATAGACCAAAGTCCGAAGTTGATTGAGCGAAAAAACCTTATTTTAGTATATAAGAGTGAATCACTTTACCAGCGAAATCGGCTCCGGCCACCAAGCGATGGTCATGTGAGGCAGCCGGGACAATGGGCACTGATCGGAAACGACGGATCTTCATTCCTATCTCAATTTTTTCTCTTAAAAGATGTTTGGTTCTTGGAAGTAAAGGCCTAACTCAGAGCAGTGTCGAACCACATCCCCTTTTTCCGTCTTCTCAATGCCTTCTCCTAGCCAGTCAACCTCATCAACCACTTCTACTTTCTTATCATCAACCTCAATCCCAATCGACTTACAAACCCCCCTCACAATGGCCTCTCCCTCCTCAGGGTCGGCTTCCATAAGATGCTTCACATATTGTCTCAACACCCACCGGCTGACCCAAATAACAAATCGAAGGATCGAGGCAGTTATTATCGATCCAGCGAAGATAATGGCTAACAAACGCCAAGGGACTTCCTTTACCCTCACAAGGTACTCCTCATAGGCTTCGCATTCATAATCGTTGTCGGCGGCCGCTCGTTTCCTGACCTTGCCGCCGAGGTGCAGGTGGTGAGCTTGCTCCAGAGCTCTACGGGAGTTTTGGCACTGAACGTTGTGTATACCATGGTGAGCAGCTGATGTCATTTGTTACTTTGAAAACACATGCAAAACAGGGAGGGGACTGACGCGAAGGAGGGAATGGGTCTGGGGAAAGAGGGGTATGTGGGCTATACTAATAATGTAGATGTATCGCAGGTTCTCGGTACAGGTCATACCACACGGGAATGTTCACATGACATTTTCCATTTCCGTCTCTGGACCTGAGCTGCTGCTGCTTTAGCCTGAGCTATGGGTGAGCAAGCTTAAGCCGAGGGTGAGCATTCCTGAGCACCGCCTGAGCACGCGCTAAATAAGCCTGAGTGTGCATTAAAGAGCTATTTTAGTATCCGTAAGGGCCCGTTTTGACTCCCTTGAGACCCGGTTATACCTTCCTTATCTTATCTCTTAAGGAGGAGAGGGGGGTCCCGATTTTGGCTCTGACAAGGATTGCTCTGGGTCATTTTAACTTTTAATGCTACCAGCCTTAGAACTTGGAATCTTCTGCGAGGTGTCTTAGGGAAAGATGACTAGTATTCGTCTGTGTACGATCTATCATAGAGGCGGAGTAAGATCTCCATATATTTGTCGTGCTATGTTCTGGGGTATTTGAGAACTTGGAAGATAATATTCACACTATCTATCTACTCTAGTCGCAAATTATTAGGAGCCGAGAGCTTCTTATGCTTCCACTCAGAATAAGGCAGATATTCCAATGATCCCAAAGCAACCTCATTTCGAAGACATTCAGACAGTCCACAGCATGTACATTTTCGGCACCTTAGTTCAATATATTGAGAAACCATGGCAATAGGAACCGCTAAGTGAGCACAGAGATTGAGAAACTGTAGGGATATGGACAAGATATGAATCAGTGACATCGTTCTCGCATCGATACAGTTCTCACATTCGAGGACGGAAAAAAATCGGAGAATAATTGCGAATAGTGAAGATGGCGCTACTAAGAACACAGCTCTTATTTGGATCAAAGTCAACTTAAGCGTAACGAAAAGTCCTATAGAGGCAAGAGCCGGGAATAGAATGTCCCTTAAGCACGTTAGTGACGTGACAGAGATGACATAATCACAAGGCTAGAGGCTCTTTATTACCTATTAAGGCTCAAACCAACATCAAGAGCAATGAAGATGAAATGTATAGCCAGTACTAGTTCCAAAGTCGTAAGGATAATAGCTGACCGAACAGTAACGTCTAGAAGAGTGCTCTGGAGGTATCTTGTTCGGGGATGGAAATGAGGGTAGGTTTGAAATGGTAGTCGAGCGGAGGGAGCAGTATTGTGATCCTGAGCTTCAAGTTTTCGACTCACTGGCTCCACGATGGAACGTCTCCTTTCCTGTGATGACTCAGATTGCAAAGAGGATAATGCCGTCAGCGTAGCATTCTCAGCAAAGCGAGATGAGACCCTCGGATGGAAAGGTTGACAATGTGAGGACGCGGAGGCCTAGAAAATGGTTACTTATATGGAAACCTCGATGACGGTGGATTGGGCGTATTGGGGACTGACCTGTTCGAACAATTGATCCTCTTCTGAGCAAGATACCTGATCCTCTGACACCCGGTGATAGTTCCACTCTTGTCTCTGTTCTTTCTGGCATTGATACGCCACTGAAAGTGGGCCTTGGTTTTCATTGTACGAGTCCATATGAATTGTCGTATCGTTCCCCCGCGGATTTGAAAGGATCGGCTCCCTTGGAGGAGAGATAATGTGGTAGCCGTACCAACATTTAAACCCCCCAGAAACCGAATACACACTAAGAAGAAATATCGCAAGGCAGAGTTTTGCGAGAGAATTGAACGAAAGCGCGAGGTGTACAGCAAGGGCGACGCATATCAAGAACTTGAGAACTTCGAGAACCGCAACAATTTTCATAACCAAGACTAAGATAAATGTATCATTTATCAGGACAACCGAAGTGAACATACCCAACATTTCCAAAGTGGTGAGAGTGAGATCCACCGGCTCTAGTTCCTTAGAGAAACTGTTATCGGATAGCACGAGGTAAATGACTAGAAGCGTATATCGAACGCCCAAGTCTAACATAAACAGTAATATCCATCGTTCTGTCGAGAATAATTGATCCTTTGCAAACATGTTGTCGCTCGAGTAGTTCGTTGATGAACGGTAAAGACCCAATGTCCCTTGGCAGGCTGAAGATGAAAAGTGTGTGGGGCTTAGAACATGGCTGTGCATGCAGCCTGACCCCTGTGCAATATGAGTTATCGTCAAGCCTGATGTAAGCACTACAGTAGAAAAGTTCACCACCCACCACTCAACCGCTCAACTTTATTTTTGGAGACTTTAACGCCACAACTTTGAAAAAATGAAATGATACTCGTGATAATTAGATCATTCTTCATATTTTGTGAAGTTTTTAGAATTTTCTGACAACTTTGAAAAATCGATAAAATTTTGGTGGGATGAGGGTGGGCGGTTGAGTGGTTTGGGCGTTTGGCTGGTGAGCCCTTCTATTATTAGTAATCTGTCAACCCATCCGTTTCTGCATATCATGAACCCTTTGTATTCAATCAGACCGTCGCCGGGCACGATTAGACTGACAGCCATTAGCGCAGCGCTAAACATTTAATTTACTGTAGTGCTAAGCCGACTTCTTCTCGTCCTGCAATATGCCACTCTGTTCGTCATGCCAGCACTTTGCTATCTACAGTTTTACCACTGATCCAGATGGTATTCGCGCATACAGACTGGAAGCAGTAGAGAACGGGGCAGGAGAAGGATGTGATTTCTGTGTCTTGTTGCTCACAAATCTGAAGGATGACATAGCTTGTCTTCCATGGGAACCAGCCGACTGCTGGGTACGTATAGCGCTTATTAGGGATTCCGAGAATGTGCCAATACTTGGGATGGGACTTCGATATAATAGGCTTCTTGTTGGGCTTGTCAGACGTGCATTGCCTAGACCGCGTGCTCTTGATATTGAAGACGGGGGGAAAAAGCATGAGTTTGCCGTCGCGGCAGACCAAGGTAAATCAAAAAATACGAACAATTCGATATCCACCTAACAAATATTGTAGGTAGTCCCGCAGCCCAGAGCCTGGACGTGATCGGGCGGTACCTGGGTGAAGACCCGACTTCGGACTTGCACATGTCATCAATTTTGGAATGGCTCGATGAATGTTCCACACATGCAGCTTGTACTCAGACTAATTCTGGCACGGTGCGGCTTGATGCGAGAGACGCACCGCTCCCGACTCGATGCATTGATGTTCTAGCACAAAATCCGGTTCTCCGTGAGACTGATGGAAGTCGAGGTACCTATATAACACTCAGCCACCGCTGGAATGAAGCAACAGAGAAGTGCAAAACAACGATGAGTAATCTTGAAGAGAGAAATAGTACATTGGAACTAGCTACACTTTCGAAAACTTTTCAACACGCAATATTAATTACACAAAGGCTCGGAATCCAATTTCTGTGGATCGACTCGATATGTATCATCCAAGATGGCGATAAGGGGAGGGACTGGAAAAAGGAAGCCATGAAAATGGGACAATATTATCAGCATTCTATCCTAACTATAGCAGTCACAGCTTCTTCGCCACAGTATGGCTTCCTATCATCTCGGCCACAGAAATCCTTTACATCCTTGGCCCGATTGCCATATCGAGACATTAGCGGGCTCCAAAGAGGTCATTTTTACATTTACAAACGCGAAAGCCACATCGATGATCAGTACGTATCCGGAGTCTGGAATAGCGAACTTCTTAAACGAGGCTGGGTCTTCCAGGAATGGATTCTAAGCCGAAGGATTGTCTACTTTACGCCATCACAGATATTTTTTGAATGTCAGACGAGGGGACCAAGGAGTGAGTCTAAAGAGGCGATCGGGTTTCGCCAATTCCCTCTTAATCTAAACAAGAGCTTCGGTACCAAGACAGCTTTTTCATTTCCCACGTTGTCTATAGAGCGAATTTGGTACCAACTCATTGAAGTCTACTCACGCCTGGATTTCACAGTGGCTGATAAAGACCGTATCATCGCTCTCTATGGTATTGCAGGTGACGTCCGAGAGATGTTCATTTCAAATGACCGCCAGTTAAGGGAGCCAAAGCTTCTCGAGTACGTTTCAGGATTGTGGCTTCGAGATATTCATTACGGACTACTCTGGCAGCAGAAATCCGCGTCTCGAGAGTGTGTGAGAGTACAAGGGCTACCGTCATGGTCGTGGGCATCTCTGCTACATGAGGTGAAATGGCCACAAAGAAGTCGCAAAACTCGAAATGCATTCACGGTTGTTAGCCTCATCTCTGCAGATGGTGTCGTTTACCCTCTTGAAGCTGTGGAGGAACCTTCGTCCTCATCAGCGCATCTACTACAACCTGAAGTGGCAGACACACCTCCAGATGTGGACCGATATAATGTGGACAATACGTTCACTTCACTCCACATCAGAGCAAGATCCCAAGAAGTGCTCGTAAGGGGAACTTTTCAAACGAAGGAGGATGTTAGAATGGCGGCATGGGCAACAGGAGTCAAAATTGACAACAGCGATGTAGTAACTTGGGCTGCATCATCACGAGTTGAGGACATGGATCCTGCTGCTCTTGAAGCAGCGATAGGACTTAATTTTGAATCGAGACCATGGAAAGCTATATGTTCCATACGGTCACCAGAAATCATAGGTGGCTGGGGTTCGTTTGAGCAATCTGACTTCTCGGGTGATTTGAATACTCCCGCTGGCACGCTGGTTCATGCACTCCATGTCTCTACTGAAAAAGGAGTACCAGGAGGTTTAAGTTTTGGGCGCTTGAGCCTTAGCCATGAAGTCTACAATGTCCTCTTTGTTGAATCCGCGGGTGTTGACCAGTACCGGCGCGTAGGAGTGGGGAAGTTGTTTGAGGAGGATATTATGAGAGCGCTTTTGGGAGCCGAACTTCAGGATATTAAGCTTATTTAACTTGTTTAATTGATTAGCTCAGCTGGTTCGTCAACCACCTCATGCTGTGCATCATCAAGGTCCCAGTCTTTTTCGTTGTCGTGTTCAACTGGTGAGACATCGCGAGGCTGCCCGTACACAATCGAGGCATGGCCTGGTTGTGCAGCTCTGGCAAGCTGTACAACTATTTGTTTTCCGTGATGACGGGCTGAGATGATTTTTTATGCATGGCTAGCAAGTCCAATAAGGTCTCCTATGTTTGGAGAAGAATCTACATTTGAAATTGCAAGTCGAGGATCCCTGAAAAGGAAGAATAGTGAAAGGAAATAGCTCGAAAGAGGCCTATCCCTTCATCGGTTGCCCAAATGGGGACCGAGATTTTTTCGAGCAGTCGTACGAGAACTCGAGGATGTCACGGTGGGCGTCTTGATGATTGCGGAAGGCTCAACGTTTCGAGGAGCTTGATTTGGTGTGGAAGAGAAAGGCATGTGATTTCAAACCGTACGTATATACTTGTTTTCTAAGCTTATCTCGACCCGCTCTTTACTCGGCAAGTAACTCTGAAATACTCTCAAACACACTCTCTTCCCTCGCCTTCCACCCCAACCCCCGAATTCTCTCCCCATTAACCCGCATATTAATTCCCCAAAGTAACTCTGCATAAGGATGAAGCCCCTTCGTCTCTTCAATCTCGATTACATCCACCTCTTTCCCCCCATATTCTCAATCACTCCCCTCTTGCCCATCTCCTTTACGATACGCTCCGCCATCTCAGCAAGAACATACTCCCCACCCTCAACATAATATCACCCCTTCTCTCGCCAGTCCGCACTCCCTCCCCCATTCTTTAACGCCTCCTCAACAAGCAAAATAAAAGCCGTAGCAAGATCCTTTACATGAATAATACTCGCAATATTCTTCCCCTCCCCCAATATAAACCCCTTCCCGCGTTTCTTAACAGCATCAATATACCAAGGGAGAACCATGCTCGTCTTCCTAATCTCGCCTTGCCCTATGCCATAAACAGCTAGTGGGATAACTACTACAGTTCTGATTCCGTGCTTCAAGCCCTTAGAGAGGACGAGCTGGCCGGTCGCAGCGTGCATGTGGCCGTGGTCGAAAGTTGTAGTTTCTTTCAGATCAGCGACGTCGGACCAGATTTTCGGGTCAAGCTGCCCGAGTCCGTTGGCAGTAGAGGCAATGGATGCTGCGCCGGACAGCTGGATGAATGTCCCTGTCTTCTGGAGAGAGGAGAGGAGAGAGATGTGGAGGCGTTGTGGTCTACGTCTGCCAGTTCCAGAGAACTTGCGTTAGCCAACATTCAGGAAATCCTGGGAAAGAAAGGGAGACATACGGAGAACAACGTCAGCCTGGGCAGCTTCTGCTTCAGGACATCTGCTGAGTCTAAGTCTCCGAGAACTATTTGAATAGAGGGGTATCTTGCTGCGATCTTTGGCGTTGCTCTTCGGTGCGGACGAGACCGCGGATTTGGTATTCAGGCTGCTTTTCTGTGATGTCGTGGAAGACTTGGCTGCCGATATAGCCTGAGCTACCTGTGATAGAGATTTTGGGAGCCATCGTGGAAATTAGAGGCTATGAGAAGAGTCTCTTGAAGTTTGATGGAGAAAGAGGTGGTATTGAACATGATGAGAGCTTCGAATTTGAGAGTGGAAGGACGTGTAGGAGATTGTCCTTTGCTCGATATCGGAGTTATAATGAATGCTGAATCCCGCCTTCTGGATATGAGGAATACTTAGCATGAGCTTTAGCATTTGCTGATTATTTAATTGGCTGAGCGGGCCTACCAGCGGATGGAATGACGGGCCCTGCCAAAGTTACGAGGGCTGCTAACCGATCAGATTTCCTACCTCGTCCGTCCGTCAACCTCCTCTGACCAGGACAAGGAGGGTTGCAGATCCCTGGCTAGAGGAGGGACCTTTTTGGGCCTCTCGTTAAAAGTTGATGATTTCAAATGAGGTTATTCTTGGCTGCGCCGCGTTCGCGTAATAGGGGTGAGCAGGCCTGAGCCGAGCCTGAGCAAAGGTGGCGCTACTCACGTGAGAGATAGAATTGGGAAGAGCAAACATTCCGGTGGGGGAACAAGCCATACGTGTCGAGGTAACGAAAAAGTGATCTCGTGAGAAGGGGAAAACAAGAGTCATGACACATTGGGGCACTACGTCAGAAGACAGGAGGCCGAAAACGGGAAGGCTTGACTTGTTCTAGCTTGGCCAAGGAGAACGGTCCTAGATTTAAGTACGACCACAAAGAGATCCGAAATGTACATGCAAATTGGGGTACAGTGAATCAACGGAAAACCATTAAGTGCATCCATCCCCCTTCTCTATTCTCTCAAACTCCACTCCTAGCAAATCCCCTTCCACCCCCGCTTTTACCTTCCTACCCTCAGTTTTAATCTACATGTGAGCATATGTCACTTTCAAAATCTCGTCCCTCTCGTGTGAAGCATTTAGGAACTTCCTCAGTAGCCTCCTCTGTTCCCATTGGCTCAGCCAAGCCATAAAGTGAACAGTCGTAAGAACAGCTAACATAGTGGCCAACATGATGGCTAAGAACCCCCAAGGCACTTCGTGCCATTTCAGCCACCGTTCGTAAGCTCCCAAAGTTCTAGTACAACTAGATACTAGTTATGGAGGATTGACAGAATATGTATTAGTGAAAAAGGAGTAAAGGAAGGTATATTTGCTAAGAAACTGAACAATTCGGCACTGTATCACTTCCCTTCTGATCCGTCGCAAGACCTTTAACGCCCCAACATGTCTAGCCCCTCAGAGCACTCTTCAGCCCTTTTAACATCAATACCAAACACAATAAAGAAGCATCCAAGAATGAAATATTTTCATATGAGCTAGCGCTTGGAGCGTCGACCGGCTGCATATATGTAGGGTTGTGACTCTCGTCCGGGCCTCGCTTAAAAAGGGGGTAAGCCAAGCTTTCCCCTGGAAATGCGGACTGCCTCAGCAGGATATAAAACGCCCCTTCCGCACCTTTGCAATATTTCCGCTCTTCTCTTTAAATAAGAAAATCACTCGACCTAAGTTACCACAATAGCGCCTGTGGATCTGAACGGAAACCTGGCAAGTAATAGCTCTCAAATCATCAAAAGAGTATCGCTCTGGTCTGTCTTCTTGGCAGAAGATCCGCCTAACTTCTTACCTACCTAATCAACAGCACAGCCAGCAAAAATTACATACATCGCCGAAAAGAGCTATCCCGCTCTGAGCAAGTCGTAAGACGGCACTGCACTTCGTTCCCAGCCAAGGTATTTGAACTTCCGGGCTGCCACGTGCTACCTACCTGGACGGATCAAATTCAGAACCAGGCCCCTCTCAGCAAATATCGAAAAACAATACCACGGAGAGGACTTGTTCCTCCCACTTCCTCCACATTTCCTCGTGCGGCCTATATTCAACGTCCAAGAGTGCTCACACCATGGCATTCCTTCTCAACATCCAATTAACGTCCGCATGTCCTGCTCACTATGTCCCAAGGCGTAGCTAGCGCCTGGGGCGAACCTCGCTACCACCAACCCAGAAGAGACTCCACAGAGTTGCGCTGCCCTTAGATCCGCAACGGACACTTGCTCACCCGTCGACCTCATCATAAAGGCTTGCATAACAATGTTATGTTCGCTGCCGGCTACATCTGGAACTATGTGTTCTTCCGTGTGAAGAGTTCCAGCGATGGTCGTCGTGACTTGCTGAAGGTGCTTGCGGAGCTCTCGGATGAGGAGATGCGGAGATTAGGAGACAGTGTCAAGTTCATAGAATTGATTGAGCTGAAGGCCAAGGAGGAGTGACAGGCCCAGACCTAGTGGAGTTAGACATTGCGTAGTTTTCTCAGGACAGAGGTGACTCGAATCAATTGCATCGCTTCGTATTCCCTTATTACGATACTCCACCAAGCAGAATCCGCGGATGCGAACAAGCAGAATCAGTCTAGAGTCTCCAAGCACTTGCGACACTCCATCATCACTGTTCCCCAAATCGACATGTAGTTGGAGATATGCTTTGTCGATATCACACCAACAAACCAAACAAACTCTCGCAAATGCACGCACGTTCCATTTCAGTTGTGAATAAATACAAAACCTAGTGCCTGTATGTATGTCCCCCACGCTGATCTCTCTTCCCCCATTTCTCCGAAAAACCAGCAACGCTCTTTCTTAACGCACCCAGAAAGCAAACCCGACTGAAACGTGCATGCATTCTGAACTCTCTTCTCTTTCATAATCAAAACACGCCTCGACCCAAGCAGACCGTACTGTACTCATGCATAATATCCCCAATCAGCCATCCTCGAAATTCTACGCCTAACGAAGGGTGAAGGGAGAAGGGAAGAAGTTTTGGGGTTATTTCGCCGGCCCCTCCGGCAACTGCAGCTTCATCCTCGTCTCCGGACTCGCGGCCTCTGCGCCCTTCAGATCAATCTCGTTGGCCTCCTCGCCTTCAACAAGACCCGGCTCCTCCTCAACCACCTTCTCCATACTAACCCTCTCCCTCTCCTCCGCCAGCACCAGCTTCGGATCGTGGCCCTTTCCGCTATTACTCCCTGACACGCCCACTGCATGAACCCCATCCTCAGCAACCTTCCGCTTTGCATCGCCGACGATCTTGTCGACCTCTGAGATCTTGCCGGGCACGCAGGTCGGATCGCCTTCGACGCCAATAGCGGAGGAGGGCTCCTTGGTTGCGGTTTGGAGCGCGGATTTGTTGAAGCGCACGATCATGCAGGAGAGGTTGTCAGTGCTGAAGCGAGCGAGGGCGTGGTCGACGAGTGATTTAGCAGCGGCGATGGGGTCTTGTTGGTGTCGGATGAGGTCGACGGCTTCTTGGTCGGAGCAGACGTCCCATAACTGCCTCTATTAGCAAAGTCCTTTTCTATATACATGGAATAGCTTACCCCATCGCAAGCAAGAATGATAAACTCATCAAGATCAGGTTGGATGACTGTTTCTGTGGTGTATGGGTGGCCGGTCACTAGGTCTTTCATATATGCATCTCCTAACGCACGGGTCACGGCTAAGACGCCATTGACGCGGTTGTTCAGGATCAGGCCTCCGGCATTCGCAACACGCTTGCCTTCATTCTCGTCACTACCTTTGTGGTCGTAGGATAACCTTAATGCCTTGCCGTTTCTACATAGCACGATGCGGGCATCTCCAACGTTTGCAGTGTAGAGAACGCGTTGGCGTGATGCAGTTGTCCTGAGTCTGGCATGTGTTGCTTCACTTGTCGTTGTTGCAAGAGAGGTAGCACTTGCAGCTGGATTTTGCTGCGAGGGCGTCTTGCTCATGTCTACGCCACTGTCTCCAGACTTCTCCTCGGCTTTCGCAGCTTCATCTGCAGCTTTTACTGCCGCAGCTGTAGCTGGTGCAATTGCGGTCGATCCAGTTGCAGATTGGGCGTTAGGTATCCTGTCTTCCCAGCGTAGGACTGCTGTGACGGCCGTACAACCGGAATTCTTGAGGGGCAGCTTTTCTAACTGTGCATCGACGGTAGTGAAGGTCTGATCGAGGAGTTCGGGAATAGGGGTATTCGGGTTCTTTCGTATCGTTTCTTCTAAGATGATATGAAGCTTCTTACCACACCAGTCTGCAGCAAATGTACCGGCGTGACCATCGAAGATAGCGAAATATCCATTGTCTGTTTCCATCATCTCGGAGGACGAAGCAGTAGGTGCAAGACTAGGAGTAGACTCATCCGGCGTGAGCTCCTCGGTCGACTTCGATTTCGTGCTCGGCGTCTCGGATCCCAATGCGGGGGCGGGGGTATGTAAGAAGTTGTACAGGAAAGCATGTGTATCTTCCATAGTCCGACGGCATTTCTTGTTCTTGTCCTCCCAAACACCCACAGTAAACGTAGACCGCGGTCCTGGCAGTGATTCGCCGGCCGAGTTGTTGTGTTGACCTTGGGGGACACTCAACGCCGGATCCTGCTTACCAAGCTTCTGCAACGGTGTCTGCGTGTTCTGCTCCTGACTGCGCATGAATCCTGATGAATTCGGGCTCTGGCTGAAGTGTAGAGAGTTCTTCGCGTTCGCAAGCAGCGAGCTTGCCTTTGCACCAACACCACTACTCCTCCGCTTCTTCTCGCCGGAATTTCCATTGTCGTTGGTCGCTCTGCCAGGAGGGCTTCCATTTCCGCTGCGCTTCTCTCCGCTTCCGCCCTCCTCAGCAGGTTTCGATGCGGTGGGAGTCTCTGTCGAATTCGAATCTACGGCGTCTTGCGCAACGGGTTCCGGACCACCATCCTTTGGCGGCGACCCAGAGCTGCCAAACATCCTGTTCAGCAAACCTCCCTGGGAGGAAAAGCTCCTCCTTTTACTTCCTGCCACTTTGCTGGATTCGCCCTGTGTGTCTCGTGAGGAGACTCGGAGAGGTCGAGAGGGTGGGCTTGAGAAGGGGCTGAAGAACTGCTGGTGCCAGGGATGGACGGCGCTTTGCGAGGTCGTGTTGGCGGTCGGTGGTGATACGCGCCCGGAGCAATTAGGAGTTCGAGAAAGTAAGATTCGCGAATCTGTTCGTCCTTAAGAAGCAAGAGCAAAGCTGTGTCGTTGCGTATCGTAGTCTGCGGCCTGTTTTAGATTGCAATGACGACGGTGCCTCGATGTGGGGTACAGAGGAAGCCTCGTGCCACGATTCACGGAGACAGCAACCACTGAAACGTACGATTGATCCGGTGGAGGTCTTTTGAAGGCGAATAAATCCTGCCAAAGCTCTGGAAATGCAGTTCAGGATGTAGGCGGGCACTTCTGTCTGTGTTAAGGCTCCCTACAGTGCCGGCAAGCCGTTTTGGTCAGTGGCGGTACCAGTCTGGCAGTTCCACGGTCACGTTGCACTTGTCGGGCGGCTGGTGCAGATCTGGGGTCCAAAATATGTCTTAGAGTTCGCAGCAATGATGGCGGAAGTGTCAGAAAGCGTTCTTGCGCTCGTTCCAAGGGATTATCGCAAGTTGAGAGGTGTTTGCAGGGGTGGTCTCCTGCTTGTCCTTGTCCTTGTCCTTGTCCTTTGGTCCTCAAACAACGAGGGGTCGACTTGGTCTGAGTAATTGTTAACCCCGGAGACAATGGCCGCGTGCGAGCAAAGAAACCGTCCGAACTCCGTGGTAGGGGCAAACTTGGAGGGGGGGTAAAGGAGAGAGGTAGGTCAGTCAGCAGAAAGATCCGGCCTCGACGCTGACAATCCAGTGATCAAGCGATCCAGGCTGTGCAGCCAGCTGCGCGCTCTACAAAGAAACACTCTCAAAGTTAGTGGGGTCTGGCTTCCCCACACTTGGCTCAAGGGGCGTGGGACTGGGTGTGGGCGTGGGTGAGGGCGTGCATCGGCGGTGGAGGAGCCGGCTCTCCGGGAGCAGTGGAGAGGCATGATTCACATGGCAGCATTAAACAGCGGAGTACTTCTACCAGAGAGATTCAAATGCATTATGGGTTCCGTGGAAGCCAATGTTTAACCACCGTGAGGCAGATGTAGCCTCGTATCATTGGTTTTGGGACAGGGCATATTGGAAGGCTTGCTGCCAACGCGGCGGTCGTGTTCCGCCGTCAGTCCGGAGATATCAACGCTGAGCAACAGAAATCAGAACTGTATCCATAACTCCAACTCTCGCTGTCGAGGAAAACGCCATAGCTCAAATCTACTAAACCCTATCGCCTCAAGCTGTCCAGTCTAGCTTGAAGATCATTGTCTCCAGGATCTGCACCCGCCCCACCTCCGCCTATAGCCTGCGCAACCCTGCCTTCCGTAACAGTTTGGCTCTGAAGACCTTGAGGAGTTTCGCCCATCTATCACCACAATAAGTATTTTCTCTGACCAAAGGACAAAGTATCTGCCAACTTACAGCATTCTTCAAATCAATTCCAATCTCCTCCAGCACCTGCTCCACAACCTCCTCTCCTTCAGCCTCGTCCTCCAACCCAGTAACATCGTCAATGGCATCATCCATCATCTCTTGCCTCTGATCCATGATATCGTTCTCCTTCTCAAACTCCATCGCTATCCGCTGCAGCGCCGGCAAATTCATGCTGCGGTTCATGCTCCCCAGAACACCAGTCGCGCCCTTCATAGCCTGCATCATCTGCTCGTTCGTCCTGACTGTCTACTCCACAATACATTAGCCAAGTTCCCCTTCCTTCCCTCCCTCCCTCGCCCTACCAAAGAATCAACTCACCTGTATCCTCAAACTAATCGCCTGCAACTGCGTCCGCATACTATAAAACTTCTCAATGTACCGTCTCGTCCTCACCAAATCCTTGGCCTGGATCTTGCACGCCCCCATCTGTCCATTCTTCGCGCTCTTCTTGATCTCCGCAATCAGCTTCTTCTCCTGGTTTTCAAGCTTCACACGCTCGCGGTCCAGCTCGCGCTGCGTCTTTTCGAGGGAGCGTTGGTGTTTGCGCAGCCGCTCGGCGGCGGTCATGCGTTTGCCGAAAGCCCATTCGACGATCTGGTGAGGGCGTTAGTTAAGAGATGCATTGGGGGGAGGGAGACGTGCATTCATGGTGAAGGCGTGGTGGGGGTGGTGTTGTGGAAATTTGGGTTTGGTGGGGTTGAGGTCTGGCAGATATTGAGCTTGATGCCTTGCAGCTTCGTCATCTCTGGCTTGGCCAAGGAACAGCGAGCGGGCCGAGGGATTTTCCGGCCTGGTTATCTCTTTGGACCACTCCACATTAAAGGAATCTGGAAGTCTCGGATATAATTGGAATAGAGCGTTGTCAAGCTGTTCAAATAAAATATTTCCAATGGCGCACGTTGAAATATCAATTTTATTTCATGAACGACCCACTCAATCGTGAGAGCTCCAGGCCTTCCCGGCTTCAAGTTCAGCAAGACAATTCATCTTGAGTCACATATTGTAAATAATGAAAGCATTCAGCAAGCTTGATTGCTAAGTTGAAAACACGTGAAGGCAAATAAATAATGCTAATGTTAAGAGGTTTTGATTCGACTAAGTTGCTGAGAAGCAGGGATGACGTGAGGAGTCAGAAAACACGATTCGTCAACGTACATGTCAAAACTAGAAGAATGAGGAGAATTTTGGGCTGGAGGAAGCATTCACAGAGAGTTCAAAAGTACACAACGTACAGTTTCACGATATTCCGAAGTGGTGGTTGTACCAGTAGTTTTTCGGCAATGAAAAGGAGTTGATATGCACGCACGTGAAGTGGATTTTGCGCTAAGATTGCAGACAAAGCGGAATTTATTCGCCTCAATCTTGAATGCATCATAACAGACCATTTCAAGAAAATTTGAATGTACCACACGCGAATGGTTTAACGAAATCCATCACCATGAGCCAGGAATATCACGGAAAAGGGAAGGCAGCGGGTGACGGAGAAGCAAGCTCGAGCAGGCGTCCAGCATCCGGTCGTCCTCAATATGTCACTGTCGGATCCGGATCAACTTCAGAAAGCGCCGCTCGACTGCAAGCCCTGCTCGACAACGACTCTGGGTATGGAGGGAGCGTGGCTGGCGATGCTCTGAACGGTGTTCCGGTGTGGAATCCAGCCCTGACTGAAGATAGACCTACGCCATCACATTCGCCAATGCCCAGGGGTTCTGGAGAGGCAGCGGACAACGACAGAAGGGTTCAGGCCAACGCCATACATCAATTATGGTACAATCAGCATAGAGTGGCTCTAGGAAGGTCGATTAACCGGGTTGTGGAGACATTGAAGGGGTTACAGGAGATGAACGCGACATGGCCAGCAACATATCCCTCAGTTCAACGAGCGGAGGCGGCACAATCTTCAAGACCGGGGATCATACATACGAATACTACGCATCCGACATTGTCGTCAGAAAGTGAACCTCGTCCTGGACTGATGCGGCGAGCACAAACTTCGATTGGGGAGCATCAGACCGAGACCGAATCGAGCAAGGCAGCAGAGCAGAAACCGAAGGAAGAACCACGATTGATGACGCCTCAGATTGCACAGGAATTCTCGATATTAAAATTGGATTTGAAGCTGGGTGCATTACATCAGACAGAGTTAGTACATTCGCTGGAGAAGGGTTCGATAGCTTCGTTACTGGATGGGAAAATAAGCAGCAGCATCAAACATCTGCTGTCTCTCCGGGAACGAATAGAGGATACCTCGAGTAAGGTGTTGGTCACTGGAGACTTGAATGCCGGAAAGTCGACATTCTGCAACGCTCTGCTACGGAGAAAGATCTTACCAGAGGACCAACAACCATGTACAAGTATTTTCTGCGAGGTGTTAGATGCTAGAGAGAATGGAGGTGTCGAGGAGGTTCACGCGATTCATAAGGATGTTATATACAACCGACACGACGAGAGCACGTACGATGTTTTCACCCTGGCGGATCTGGAGAAGCTGGTCACAACCAACGAGAAATACACTCAATGCAAAGTCTACGTAAAGGATGTACGGTCTATCGACGAGTCTTTGCTAAATAATGGAGTTGTGGATATCTCGATTATCGATGCACCCGGTTTGAATTCAGATACAACGAAAACCACTGCTGTGTTTGCTCGACAGGAGGAGATTGATGTGGTCGTATTTGTGGTCTCAGCTGCAAATCACTTCACTCTGACTGCAAGGGAGTTTATTTGGGCAGCCGCAGCAGAGAAGGCTTATATTTTCATCGTGGTCAATGGATACGACAACATCAGAGACAAGGAAAGATGTCAGAAAATGATCTTGGAGCAAGTACAAGGCCTCAGCCCACGGACATTCAAGGAATCATCAGAGTTGGTTCACTTCGTATCAAGTAACGCCATTCCAACAGGCCCATCACCACCTGGCGGAAATGGTGGACGTGGAAGTGGGAGCTCAAGTGGAGGTGGCGGGGATGGACCTGATGACGATTCGGATCCAAAGGGAAAGGGAAAGGAGAAAGAGAAAATCCGAGACTTCGAAAATCTCGAGCAGTCATTACGGCGGTTTGTACTAGAAAAACGTGCTCGTTCGAAACTTGCACCAGCAAAGACATACCTGCTCAATGTACTGGGCGATGTCAACACTCTGGCCACGGTGAACCAAGATGTCGCTCAATCAGAGCTCGACCGAGTCACGAAAGAGCTGAACGACCTGGAGCCTCTGATAGAGGCGTCCCAGAAAGCTAGAGCAGAAGTCAGCGATGACATCGACCGAACCATCGAGACCACTTGCAAGGACATCTACGATCACACCCGCTCAACCCTCAACCACTCAATAGCCCAAGCAGCAGACGAGGACCTTGGCGTCCCCTATCCCGGTCTTCTCAATGCCTTCCAGTATGCAGAAGATATCAAAGAAGCCATACTCTCCCAAATCTCCGCCTCGGTCACAGCATGTGAAGAGCATGCCCGCCGCAAGACCGTTGAAGGCGTGTCCTCCATCAAGCAACTTGGCCTCCTGCACTTGGGAGACGAATACACCGACCTCAGTTTCCGGCCCAATGTCATGTTCAGACGAAAGCGCGACGTTCTGGCGCGGCAAATCGAAGTCGAGACCGAGCTCTGGGATTTCTTCGATTGGTCTACTATCATGCAGCGCCAAGAGAAGCTGGCCGGAACAGGCATGGCTCTTACTGTTGCAACAGCAGTAGGTGGCCGAGTGGTCGGTGGCTTCGGATGGGTTGATGGCGCGCTGGGTGCTATGAAGGTGGTTGGCAATAACAACATCCGCAAGCTGATCATACCTGGCGTTATCGTAACTGGTAAGCACCCCCATCCCACCCTATTCCTTAAACCATAGCTAACAATAATTGTCACTAGCGGTCGCAGCAACCTACTACCTCCTCCTCCAAATCCCACACTCCCTGCCTCACCGCCTCACAACCAAAATCTCCACCCAACTTGCAGCAATCGACTACGTGCACTCCAACAGCGACCGCATCTCCTCGTCCGTACGCAAAGTTCTCCGTTTCCCAGCCGACAATCTACGTGTCGGGCTCCAGCGCAGTGTCGAGCAATTAGGCAACAAGCGAGAGGAAACCAGGAAAGTAAGAATGGAGAGCGAGGTCGCGAGGAAGTACTTCGGCAACCTGGTCAATGAGACGGTTAGGATTAGGAACACGGTTGAAGGTGTCGATCTTGAGGGCCCGGCGCCGGGAGTTGCGGGGGGCTATGATTACTAGTCGAGACGTGGGTCTGCCTCAGGAGAACAGTATGGAAGGGGACGGGACGGGAGAAAGATGAGAGGAGAGGAGAGCACTAATACCCTTGAAAGACTTCACGACTCTCGTTGACGGCGTTATGGAGTGGAAGACAAAACACGAGGCGTTGAAATGAAATATGCATGGATGGAATTGAAGTTCAGTGCTTTGGCGTGCGTTCGGTACGGGCAGATCACAACCCCACTTCGATTCCTTGTTCCTGTTTATAGTTGTTTGAAAATGAGTACATACATATATCCATCTCACGTTCGCTTTCCTGCTTGAACTCGTCATGGACCATGGTGATCACAAGCTTCTTGCTACTAGGCTCATCGAAGAGGGAACGAAGGGCAGGAAAGGAAAGGAGTGCTAAAAGTGGAGTGAGGTCGAAGCAACACCGGGGAAAAGGAATACTAGGTTGAACCGTAGAAAGGCGGGGGTGGGGCAAGGATGATACAAGGCAGCGCTCTATCGAAATGCCCTTGAAATGCCCTTGAAATGCCCCTGAAATGACCTTAGAACGCGAGATGTGCAACAAGGGCACGTCGAAGTTCAGACGAAAAGTGGACGAGGCGTGACGCGCCGTGACCATGGTTCTTACAGATCTGTGAAGGCCCGTTCGTCAATGCGAGCGGTTTGGGAATCGGGGCTAAGCGAGGGGCCCGATTCGCTAATAAAAAGGCCTAATTTTAAAACAATATATAACTTTCTAATAAAAGGTAAACGCTAAATTTTAATTAAATAAAGGACATTAATACTTATAAGAAACTTAGATATATATTACTTAGATTAAATTCTATTAAAGATAAAAAGATTTAATAATTATATATTTTAAAAAACTGTTTTATAATTAAAATTATATATAGTCCTAATAAAAGGTTTTAGCTAAAATTACTTAAATAAAATTACTAACTAAATAACTTTTAATAGATCCTACTAATAGAATTTTATTAATTTATTAATTTAAAAATATTATAATATTTTCAAAATTCGCTCGTATCCGACCTCGGATTTATGAACCGGAGTTCGCTTAAGTAGGCGATTAAGCAATCGGGTCCCTCGCTTAGCCCCGATTCCCAAACCGCTCGCATTGACGAACGGGCCTTCACAGATCGCGAGAAATTCTGTAGCACGATTAAGAATGAATTCAGCTACAAGAGGTGGAGTGTGATATGGGATGAGACGAGAAGTCTCGAATAAAAGCCAAAGCAGGCAGGCAAAATTCCGAAGTTGCGGGTCAGTTCGGAGAATAGTGAAGCGGTAAGCAATGGGCTGAGTGGGAAAGATAGGGGTAATGGAGGTCTTTTTGTGTCTATGGAAAGAGGAAGCAGAGTATCTGAAAGAAGGCCTGCAAACTATGCAACGCAAGCTATGCGCGAGATATCCTCCCACTCCAACCGACTGCATACTATTGCCTCTCTCATTCCTTCATATCCATCATCATGTCATTCATCATCACCATCCGTTCCTTTTCTCCACACCAACCCAACCCGACCCTAAGGTTTCTAATTGAATAGAAAGATCAGATGTACGGAGGAGTTCAATACCCACTATCCTTGCTCTCCTCCCTCAAGCTCCGCAACTGGCCCTCGAAATCCTTCTCAACCCACTCCCAATACGTACGCCACGTCTGGTGCACACCAGCCTGGGTACCTATGCTACTACTCGCGCCGGGAATCGCCGCATGCAGCAGAAGTGTAACACGCAACACACTCTTCACAGCCTCCTCCTGCTTCTCGACCTCCTGCTTGACGGCATTATCCTTGAGCTTGAGGGAGAGGATGGTGCGGAAGTAGTCGGCGATGGCGTCAAGGCGGCGGGATGTCTCGTCTGGGTCGAGGACGACGAGCTTGGTGAGCATGAGGTTGCAGAGCGCGCGGATGTCGTGCTCGTCTTGCAGGCCGGCGATGATGCGGTCGTAGAAGTCGAGGATGTTAATGCGGGAGAAAGCAGTCTCCATTAGGGAGTAGAGGGTCTCGTATGCGCTCTGTTTGAAAGTCAGTGTGTTTCAAGAAAAGAACACAGAGCGGAGGTTTTACCTTTCGGACTTCGAGACCGTCGTCAATCTTGTGCTTGAATGGACCCATTGTGACCTCACGGATCAATTCTGGCTTGATAACCGACTCTTGCATGACAAGAGGCAAGAGAAGACCCAGGTTTGGAACAATCAAATCAGGCTTGTTGTGTGAGGCAGAGTTGAGAGTGGTGAGTGCCAGACGACGATTTTCAAGTTCCGTGTCCCGAAGCATGAGGCCCAGCATGTCGATCAGCGTGGTCTTCAAAACTGCGTCGAATGCTTCATCGCTATCTGGGAGAGTATAACGAATAGCCTGGATGATCATAGCTCGAACTGAAGGGGTCGGGTTCTTGAGGTAGTTCTAAATATTTAGCAAATGAATGCAGCACGAGGATGAGAACTCTTACCTGGAGCTGTGGAATGTATGTCATCGGCTCAATAATCGCAAGTCTTCCAATACACTCTGCTCCAACTGCCTTGTTGTCTTCGGCTTGTGAAGCACTGAGCAATCTCTCCCAAATTTGTTTGGTGTAATTACTGATGTCCGCAGAATTGTTGCTAGCTTGCTGAAGAATCTCCTTGATAGAATGCAAGAGGAGATATTGTGCACTGCCACCCTTACCCATTGTTGACAAGATCTCTGGCAAGTACAACGGAATATTCCCAGCGCCGGCACGTCCCAAAGCAACCGCAGCAGCAAGCGGTACTTTATCTGACTTAGACTTGAATTGAGCTGTAAATGTGGATGGCTTCAATGGAGACTTCGTGCCCATACGAAGCCCAGCCTCACCGAGAACAGCAAGAGCCAAGCATCGTCTAGGATCATCGGATTCCGGGTTGACGGCCTCAGTCAGGAAGTTGTCAACATTGACACCAACCGATGGTCCTCCATATACAAGCAAAGTACCAATTACTTTGCCAACAACTGCTGGATCTCCGTTGATGCTAACCTCCTTCAGCAAGCCAGCCATAAGATTTTGACCTACGCCATTCTGGCCGATATTAGTAACCAGTGCCAAGACTGCCTCCAGAACTGCGCCACCGAGAGTTGCAGTCAGGAGGTCGCATAGGGCCTTGTTCAACTGATCATTGACAACATGCTTGGGATTATCCGCCACCAAGACTGACAGCACGAGCAGAGCGGGACCAAGAAGATGGAGATCAACAGTGGTGAGAAGGGGAAGAAGTGCGCTGACGAGGCCATCGATAGTCTTAGCATCCAGAGCACTCCTCGCAGCTGGTGCGACAACCAAATTCTTCAATGCGGCGAGACTTGCACCTCGTAAAGATCTGTTGGCCTTGCGGAGTTGCGCAGAAAGCTCAAGCGAGACCTCTCGAATCCATTTTGGGGAAAGGTACTCCTTTGTGGTTGTCAATGCCGCCACAGTATCAATAGCATGGACGGCAGCAAGTCGAGTTGTCTCATTCTTGAGTCGCTCACTCAACATATCCAGGGCAGCGTTACGGTCTGCAGCTGAGAGGAGACTTGAGCCTTCTGGACTTGCAGTACGTGCCAGAAGGATACCAAGGGCCTGGATTGCGCGCTGTCGAACCTCGACGTCGGCATCGTTGGCAGAGACTCGGCCTACGATGACGTTGTAAAGCTGTTGTAGATCGGCTTTGTGGTCTTGTTGGCCGACGGTTCGTGATCTTGGTGGGGTAAGAGCCTTCACGAGCTGTTCGACAGTCCCAATAGCTTCACTGGAGACTTTGTAAAATTTGTCCTTGACTGCCAAAACAACACCAGGGATAATTTTGGGGAGGTACGGCTGCAGCACACTTGAAGAATGTGTCGATGCAATATCTCCAATCAAATGAAGTGCGGCGATCCGCAGTGTGTTAGATGTTGCCGATGCCGCACCACTGGTGATGGCAGTCGAAGAGCTTGCCGAGCCAGACGTGGCCTTGATTGCTTCGATAATTGGGTCCACAATCTGACTGAAGTATTCAGAAAGGCCGCCATGTTGGACGGATACAATATCATCTAAGAGATTGATGAGTGCCTGCTTCGTTGGAATAGAATTGCCCTTCAAAAGCTTCGTTGTTGCCTTGATAATAGCTGGGCTCAAGCGTGCTAAGTCAGCTCTTGGGCCAGAAGCTGGAACTGGTTCAACTGTTGGTGACGTGAGGCCAGCAGACATCGAAAGCAACAATTTGGTGTCAAAGGTTGCTGTGCTGCTCTCTCTCCGACGCTTTCGGCTTTGTGGAGCGTGATTGACGTAGTCAGACGCGTCTTCTGCAGACAACTGAACGTGAATTCCTTCTCCAGTCTTGCGAATAAGGGACGACATGGTTGCAATGACCTCCAAGCGTACATTCTCCTCACGTTCGTTGAAGCGCTGCACAAGAACAGGGGCAACCTGTGCATAAAGAGTTCCGTCATCGAGCAAATCGCCACTTCCACGAGTCGAAATGACAGTATAGAGTGCCTTGGCTGCGCATCTTCTGACTTTCCAGCTCGCATCGTCGTCGTCATCGTCGAACCCGGCTTCGGCTTCAAAGTCCTCGTCATCACCAAAATCATCCATATCGTCTTCTTCAGGTTGTGTGCCACCCATTTCCTCGTCATCGTCATCATTATAGTTGGGGTCGTACTTCAGGAAGCGGAGAAGAGCAGCAATGGTCTCTTCAGTGTAGGGCCGCATTTCACCACCACATGAAGAGAGAAACCCATCAACTGCAACGAGAGCAGCTTCGCGGACATCGTCGGTTTCAGGATCTGCCTCGCCATCCTCTGCTGAATTCTCAAGTTGATCGTCCAGCTCTTCCTTACTCAGCGCAAAGAGAACAAATGGTGCGAGAGTCTTTAAGTACGGGCCAAATCTGACCGAGATTGATCGTGCCATCGAGCCAAGAATTGTAATGTACAGACGTCGTTGCACCAAAGTAAGATGAGGGTTCCGTAGGCTTTCGATGAGCAGAGACACAAAGCGACCGAGGCCATCATCGGTGAGGTAGAGAGCCAAGATCGATACTGCAACCACAGATCTCTTTTTAACGACAGAACTGGCTCGGTCCGTCTCTAGAATTGTGATCAACTGGCCTTGCAGCGCCTCGACCTCGCTTTGCTGCAGCATAGGCCCAAAGCATCTCACAACCTCAATCAAGACATCCACAGCTTCCGGGTCAAGCTCCTTATTTGAGTCAATGTCCAGCATCCCCGCCGGTACGGCAGGAAGTTTGACCTTTGGCTTGTTGGCAACGATACGGCCCAGGAGTCGGGGAATCAAGACTCTGCTGATTGCACTATATGCCTCGGCGACCTCTTTTGATGGCGGAACTCCAGTGACAGGCCTCGGCAATGTAGTTACTACCGTTCTGAGGGCCACCGCTGGAATAGAGCTGTCGACCGAATTTTCAGTGTTGAGGTTCGAGAGCTTCTCAAGCAGGGGAGGCAGAATACTGCTGGGGATCTTCGTGACAAGGGGGGCAAGACTAAGGGATGTTAGCCGGAATCACAGCGTAACAATATTCTCATACCATTTGATTGCCAGATTCTGGACTTCACCATTCTGATCATCCAAGGTCTTGAGAATACCATCCACAGCCCGAGCAGCAGTATTGTAGTCGTTGTGAAGAAAATCCGGCTTCCCAATGCTGAGGACCGTGAACAGATCGTTCAACGACATGAACCGGTAGTCGGGATCCACATCATGGAGCTTGGGAAGCAGTTGTGCGACCGTTTGGGAGGTGGGATTCGAGGTTACTTGGTTCGACATCGTGGCGCGTGCCTGAACGAAGATGTGAGGAGATCAATCGGAGATGAAGGACGCAGGGAGATCTGGCTCAGTTATGACACCACAATCATCAGTAGAAATCTGTAGGCATCAAGTGAATATGGAGTGTGCAGTGGCAGCCTGTCGTGGTCAGCTCACAGAGCTTGGCTTGCCGCGGGGTGCCTGAATCAGGTCCCTTTAATGGGATAGAATGGAGGTTTGCCTCTGGAGACTGCTGTGCAGAGCCGATGGCCAGACTCAGTTGGGACAAGAAGTCAAATGAGTGGTTGGAAAGAACAAGACACAATAATTTATGCACTTCACCTCGACATCAACCTTGCTGTAGTGGGGTAAATAATTGGTGGAGGACGCTTGCCAAATAGGGCTTAGCGCTGGTTTTCCTCTCATTCGGCTAGAGCTCCGGGAGCTTCTGGCGTGATGGCCCGCAACCCAGCCATCTTTTTCATGACCTCTTCTCGCCTCAATTGAGACTGTAAGTCATTCCTGAGCTTCACATCTGGCATAATTTACTGATCACCTGCAGAAATTGTATTTCTGGACTTAATTGTTCAGATTTCGACAAGCAATGGCATTCTCAAGAGCTGCAGCTCTGCGCTTCTGCTTGCGAAGTGCAAGACCTTCAATTGCTCAACCTCAATTGGTCCGCCAGGTTGCTCGTCGAGGCTATGCTAGTGGTGGACATGGACATGCCAAGTCAGGAGGGGATGCGCTCTGGTATGTCGCTGAAAAAATCCTCATTTTAAGACTTTGTATAATTAATCGTCGACGTCATTAAGGGCCGCCGGCGCTGTGGGTGTAACCGTCCCGACATGTTGGTACCTCCTGTCGAATGCTCCTGACACTTCCCATGGTCACGGCGATCATGGAGACTCCCATGGAGCGGCTCATGGCGAAAAGCATGAGGAGGAGCCCAAGGGGGAGGAAGGCGAGAAGTCCGAAGACGCCGAAGGAAAGGAAGAGGAAAGCGAGAAGTCTGCAGATTCCGATAGCGAGGATGAGAAGAAAGACACCGACACTCCAGATACTTCGGATGACGAAGGAGGCGACGATGACAAGAACACCAAGACTACCATTCCCGATGCAAAGGGAGGAATTAAGAAGAGAAGCGAGAGCAAAAATGCCATAAAGGCGGGAGAGAACGGTGATGAGGTATCCCGAGGTCAACACTTAGCATGAGGTAATGCTAATGCAACTAGGCTGCTACTTCGAAGCCTGCTGGAGGCAAGAACACGCAGAGTGGCAAGCAGGAGGGTCTCTCGAACACTGATACGAAACACTCTACTGATATCACCAATGACCCAACCACAAGCAAGAAGGGTGAAGGAACTCCCGAGACTGGGAAAGCAAAAGGAACAGTCAACCCCAAGCGACCACAGGTATAACCCTGATTTTTAATCTTCAGTTTCCTAGGCATGTCGAAGGCATCACCTCTTTCAGGAGAAGAGCTCCGGCTAACTCCAGTTCTAGCCTGAGGATAAGAAGAAGTGATTCCAGTGGTGTTTACTATCACTCAATTGAGATGCAAAACGTTGGTCCTGAAGACTTCGTGCTCAAGAGCCATTTCATTACTGTAAAATAATGTGCAAATGCATAAAATCAATTGGCGAGCAGAACGTTGTGGTCAAGTGGAAGTTCTGAACCCTCGTTACTTCCCCATTTTGGCAAGCGCTTAGCTGAAGATGAGAAGGAACGGCCACGTAAGTGAGTTGTACTCTTTTTCCGTGCTCAGAGTCTTGTTCCTTCTTCTCCATCATTCTCACCACAAGCATCACCATATCAACAGTCATTGCCCGCAACACTGATATCAATTGCATCGTAAGTCTCCTCTCCTAAAGCTATTTTCCAGCTGACGATGTGCCGTTCTAGAACCGTCAAAGCTGCCATTCTTAATGACGAAACCCAAGAAAGCCGCCCGTCTTCAGCGACAGACATCAGAAAAGCTCCAGCAGACTAGAAGTATAACAATAATCCCAATCCACCGTGAATCAATCGTGAACACAGGCCACAATATCACTGTTCGGAGACCTTCAGAGACAGTGACAACCGGCCAGACGACTATTATTCGGAGACCCTCTGGAACAATGGCCCTTGGCAGATGTGTGCCCAGCGGTAATGGCACCACAACAAATCAGAACAGGTCCTGGCATGACCACCTTCCGCCTCAGACTGACCAATGGATGGCCAAATTCTGTGTTGAACCTATTGGAGGCTTGGATTGTTTTACATGCTGCCTCGGGTGCTTGATTCCATTCGCACTATATGGAAAGGTGAACTGGAGGCTAAAGCGAAAGTCACTCGGTGAAGATGTCTTTGCTTTCAAGCCTTCACACGGCTGCAATGGTCCATGTTGGGCATACTGCGCCTGTAGCATGATCGGTGTTGGCTGTTGGCATGGGGTACTCAGTGGTAAATTCTCTTAAAACATCATATGCCTCAATGATCAAGTCACGAAAATTAAGAGGGTTAAAGAGAATACTAACAGATTTGTTAAACTAGGCATTGCTGCAGGGCTGCAGCGCTCCCAAATTCGTGGGACCTATGGTATTGAGGGCAATTTTTCAGTCGACATTGCAACGGGCATCTTCTGTGCTCCTTGCGTCTTGATGCAGAATGATCGTGAAATTCGAGCCCGAGAAGGCGGAGAATACAGTGAATATCTTCGAAACAACGGGCGATCATCAGTGGTAGACGAACAGCCAAAGCTAAACCCACAAATGGTTGCACCCGGCCTTTTCCAATTGCAGAGATATCCGCCAGCTGAACCGACGCAAGACGAATCCACCGCAATGGACCCCATCGACGATGTCACAGAACAATTACAGAACAATCCGGCAATGGACTCCATCGGCAATGTCACAGCACAATCCCCGAACAATCCGGCAATGGACCCCATTGACAATGTCACAGAAAACCCCCAGAACGATCCGGCAACGACTCATCAACAGTCAGAGAGTGGACAGAGCAGAGCAAAGATGACAGACCAGCCCCAGAACAATATGGCCAAAGTCTCCGAGCTCGTCACTGTCAGGAAAACACGCCAGGCAAGAGATGCAACGCCGATTGTTGTTGTTACCGGACCTGAAGATTCCAGCCAGCCGGCTCATAGTATCAGTGCTAAGCGCCCGCCATGTCCAGTGCATGAACTAAGAGACCAGTCAAAAATACTCACCCGGCAAGCTAATTGCCCAGAAATCTCAAACAATCCGAGTAGTGATCAGCTCTCTAGAGAGCATGCTTTAGTCGAATGTCTGACTCTTGAAACGGCTGATGAAGTTCAACGCCAGCTCGGCCAAGAAACACCCTTATCTGTAGGCTCCAAGCCAATCGAGGAAATCGAGGAACGTAGACTCGACTCGCATGATCTGTTGGAATGTGCGACTCTTCAAACAACAGACGCGGTCGATGGCCAGGTAGGCCAACCAACACCAGCCACAATAGGGGTTGTGCAGCAGCACGCCCTTGCTGAATGCCACAACTCTCCTTCTGCCACGCCAGAGGTCCAAGAACTATCTTATGTTCACGACTTTACAGATTGCCCAGGGACAGTCCTTGATTATTGCAGGAAAGGGGCTAAGAAGGCGCAACCACACGACTTTGCTTATTGTACAGGACAGAACTCCAACAATACAACATCGGGAAACGGGATTCAGGAACACATTCTTGAGGACTGTACACGAGACGTATAGGACAGCGGAATTTCAATGCCCCGTAAGATTGTACATGAGAGGTTTAGCAGAATGAGACGAGGCATTGTGGAGTTGGGTTCTGGAGAGGTCTGTTTGTCTTCCGCTCATTGTACGCATCACTATTCATAGAATAGAATTCATCATCAACCATTACGTCCTGCTAAAGTCTCAATATGCAATCGATCTGATATGATACAGAGGAGCTGGTTCTCGTCTAACTGTCTTTCTGCCTGTCTTGCTCTCCATACCACCCTTGGCCAAGCCACCATGCCATGCTTGCCTCCATCCCTCATGAAAATCATTTCCATGTCCATGCGCGCGTGAAATCGTGTGAAGTGTGTAGTTAAGTCGAATAAGTCGGTCAAGCGAACAGGTAATCAGCTCAAGTCAATTCATTTTGTCATTTGCTTTTGCAATATTTGCATTACTGCGAAATCGCCTTCAACCATGCGCCTTGCTTCATGCCAACCTACCAAGCTCCTCAAGAATCAAGGAAAGGTCCCGTTTTGTGGGGTTTGGTGGGATGAGCGAGGTTAACCGACGGATTGGTAGAGGAGGAGCGGTTCGCCGACATTCTCGATTTCGGGGATTGTGCATTTTAGGTCGAAGGCTTTGGAGAGGACTATTTTGAAGATCTGGGAGGGGGTTTAGTGGGTTTGGGGTGAGAAGGGGAGAGAAAAGGGGGAGGGAACACACTTTTTGCACGTTTATGCTGTGACTTGTGCTGCTGAAGATGAGGCTTGCTCGCATAGCTTTTGCGAATCTGCGGGCCTGGGTGGGAGTCAGTTAAGAGTAGAGGATGAAAAAGGGATATTGGGAGGCTCGCCTGATTCGAGATCTCTTCTTGATCTTCCCTGGGGAAATTGACGAAGTGGTCATATTTTGTACCAACCAGGAACGGAATCGCAGTCTTGTTAAACCCCCTGCCTTGTCGATACCACTCCTTGATACTGTTCAGCGTGCTCTTCCTCGTCAAGTCGAACATGAATAGGATAGCCACCGCGTCATTGCATACCAGCGGCAGCATGTTCACGAACTCTCGCTGTCCTCCCAAGTCCCAAATCGAGAACGTGATCTCCGTGTTGCGTATTGAAATTGTCTTCTCCATGAAGTTTACACCGAGTGTTTGGATGTAGTCCTCGTCCCAGCTGCCCTCGACATATTTCACCATCAGCGATGTCTTGCCGATTTGTGCGTCTCCTACCATGCCGACCTTAATCACAACGCTGTTCTTGTTGCGGTTCTGATCTTGGCCTGCGCCGCGGGAGTTCTGATCTTGGTACGAGGACTGCATGTAGCCGCCGTTACCTGATAAGCCCGAGTTTGGTCGAGAGATCTGGGGTGCGAAGGCTGTGGGTGGGGTAGGATATCTGCCATTTTGGTCGAGGTCTGGCGTTGGGGAGGCAGAGTAGCCTTGATGTGAGGTGGTGAAGTCAACAGACTGTGATTGTGTGTGTCGTCTGGTCGGAGTGTGTGATCCTTCTATGCCGCCCATCGCATCGTCTTGGCTGTCACCCCGGTGGTCGTATCCACCTTCTGTGTCCATCGTGTCGACGGCGTCGTGGAACTGACTCGGAGAGCCAGCGGATAAAGTCGAGGAATCCAGTTTGTCGGCTTGTCTAGGGGGGGCTAGATGTAGAGATGCGGAGGGGTCAACAAGAGCTAACAGGCCGTGATCAACAGTGCAATGTTGATGTATGCATAGGTGGTTGTGAAATTGCTGACGAAGTAGTAAAGTATTGAAGGCGAGGGGCAGACTGTTCTGCAAGCAATCTACCGTTCGGGCAGAGTTGAGGTTATTCGGACCTTGACCTTGGTGGAGAGAGCCCGGCGCCCTGACTTGAGATCCAAATCCGTCCGGCGCTTGATGACCTAGCACGCGTCGGAGCTGGCTTGACGCGCTGAAGAGTGCCAAAGTGCGAATTCCCGCTCGAAGTCTCTAGGAAGCAAAAAAGAAAACTCGTGGGCCGCGCATAAACATTATCTCCCAGTAAATTGAGGGGCGGTTTATTTGTTGTCTATATTAACGACGGTATTGCTGGTCTTCATCCATGCCAAATTGCCCTGATTCTCGCGTTTGGTGGGGGCATATTACTAAGCAACTATATTCCGAGATCGAAAGAATATCTTGAGTTTCTACAAACACCACATCCGTAATGGCATCAATTGTACGATCTCTACGGCCTGTGGCCTCACGATTTGCGGCAAGTTCGAGTAGAACTGCACGTTCCTGGCCGATATCTCAATTCCAAGCCCGAACTTTCTCGGCGTCAAGTGCTGGTAAGGGTGGTTCTTTCTACCTCGGGATGTCACGACACTGATGATGAAATAGCACAAGCCAAGAAATACACAAAAGACCACGAATGGATTGAGCTTTCTGAAGACAAGAAGACTGGATACATTGGTATCTCGGAATATGCTGCCCATGCTCTGGGAGATGTGGTCTATGTCGAGCTCCCAACAATACCGATGGAGGTCGCAGCAGGTGATTCGATTGGAGCTGTGGAGTCAGTGAAGTCGGCTTCAGACATCAACTCGCCCATCAGCGGTACGATTGTTGCCGTCAACGACTTACTGGAGGAGAGACCGGGAACGATCAACAAGGGACCTGAGGATGAGTCGTCCGCCGGAGGATGGGTTGCGAAAGTGGAGGTTAGCGATGCTGGAATCAAGGACCTGGATGGATTGATGGATGCAGCAGCATACAAAGAGTTCACCGAAGAAGAATAATCGGGAGGCCATAATAGAAGTCCTGTTTCAACATTCAAGCGGCGTTTGGCAGTGGGACAGAATGCTTTTCGGAATTGATTGAGCAGAATATCTGCACTTTTCCCAGTCCAACAAACGCCACCCATCAAGTCTAGCCTTACATAACGGTCATGATTCATCTGCACCGATAACTATGCTCCACCGCCTTCAGCAATGACTGGACGATTGAGGTTGATAGCTTCCAGAATCTTGGCTGCTCCTTTCTTGACCAAATCCTGGGCAAGCTCCCAACCAAACTCATCTGCGTCCCTGACGTTGAGAACTTCTCCTAATCTCTCGGCCTCGACGCTTTCCGTTCCATCGAGACTGACCACAATAGCCTTCATCAAGAGCTTTCCCTTCTCAATCCAGGTCGTCTCAACACCTATCGGCACACTGCATCCTCCCTCCAAAGTGCGCATCAAACTTCGTTCTGCGGTGCCTGCAAACGTCGAGTCCTCGTTGATCAGCTCCGCCAGAACATTGAGAGTCTTCTCATCTCCTTCTCGGATCTCAATGGCAAGAGCACCCTGACCAACAGCATGTAACAGTCCTCCACCCACTGTCTTCGAATCCAGGTACTGCGTGATCCGGTCCTTCCAATTCATTCTGATGATACCAGCAGCTGCCAATATCAAACAAGTATACTCTCCATCCGCAGCATCAAGCTTATTCAACCTCGTTCCCACATTACCCCGGACATCCTTAAACTTCAGATGTGGATATTTCCTCTTGACCTGCGCACTGCGTCTCACACTACTCGTACCCACGACTGAACCCTCTGGTAACTCCAAAAGAGTCTTGTACTCCAATCCCTTCTTCATAATCACACAATCCCTTGGATCCTCTCGTTCCATAATACACCCAATCGTACACTTAGGCGGCAACTGCGTCGGCATATCCTTCAAACAGTGAACAATCAGATCCAGCTTGCCCTCCAACAGCTGCGCCTCCAGCTCATGCGTCCACAGACTCTTCGCGCCAAATTCATGCAAAGCAGTGACCTGGTTCTTGTCTCCCATCGTGCTCATGGCGTGGATCTCGTACTGCGTCTCTGGATGCGCCTTTTTCAATTCTGCCAACACCATCTCCGCTTGGATTACCGCAAGTGCAGATTTTCGTGTCCCGATGTGGATTGTGTCTGCAGTGATGTTTGCTTCGTCGGATTTTCTCTTAAAGGCGGCAGAGGGCGCAACGTCTTTCGAGGATTCGTCTTGCATCGTGAGGGTGGGGTCGAGGACGGGGCGCGAGGAGGTCGACTCCAGTTGCTCGTGGGTAGCCATCTTGAGAAATGCTCAATTGACTTCCTCGTCGAGTTGGTTTGTCAACCAGGTCGTTTTGAGGCTTCCTGGAGGAATTTGCGTTGGTGGTGGGGTTGAAGAAGCATGGTCGGAATTCAGGGACCTTTGTCAGCTCGCCCAGGCACGCGACGTTCATAAATTCTCGTCTCGTCTCTTTTCACTTTTACTTCTCTTCGCCCATCAACAATCATTCCGTTCACAATGATTGTGGCCAGCTTCTCTTATCCTTTCTGATGCAATTTTGGTATTTAGGTTACAAGATCTTGAGTGCTGCGGAATCCGTCCGCCCCGCCACCCTTGAGAACTCCCCCACCTCCCGACTCTACAATCATTGTCGAAGCAAGCTGTTGAATAGTGGAGAGCTTGAACCCTCTTCTACGGTTCCTGTTTAGCCCCAAAATTCTACGACGCTATGGACATATCCAAGTGTGGTATACCTCAATACCTTGGCAGATTATGGCTTTGCGTACGCGTCTTAAATTTGCTCCTCCACTTCGCCACAGCATCCCGAGTTGTAGCTCAAAATCCCCGAAGGTAATCCTTGCGTTGACTCGTCACCGTCTGTTATTTTAAACTTCATCCAATGATTCTGGACGCGTTTCCGCAGTCTGTTTCGAAACATCTGAAGATCGAATGGCGAGCTAGTCATCATCCATGCGCTCTAGTAAGTGCCAGCAGGGTCTTGAGGCTACTTTTGGTTGTCTGTGTCTATACATAAGTATTGGGGTAGATGAAGCTTGCTATGTTTTACTCTTTGTAACTGTTGGCAAAAACGTTTCTTCTTCATTGTAAATCGTTGTCCATTGATCCGCGATTATGCGTCCATCAACTACTTTATTCGCGTTTCTCAGCCTCCTTTCTGCAGTGAATGGAGAGCTTCATCAGCTCATTGTTGGTACATTTGGCACCGAGCACCTCTACACACTCGAGTTCGACGACTCTGCTTTGACCTTAGAATTGATTGGCAATTTCACCACGAATGCTGCGAGCTCCTGGATTGCTCTAAGTGTAAGCATTTCTAACACTTTCTCGTTCTAACTCTAATGGGGGGGTTTAGCATGATAAGAAGAACCTCTATGGAACATCGTTCACAGCTTCGTCACCAGCATTTGTGAGCTACACTCTAGGAAGTGCCACAGACATCATATACAACACCACTTTGGCTTTGGGTGGCAACTGCAGCTCGTCCAAAGCTATTTTCGTCGCCGCAGCTTCAAAGAGTCCCTATGCAGTGTACGGCACACCTTTCGGCGGAAGCGCAGAATGCGGTTCAGTCATGAGCGTTGATGAGAACGGAGTCCTTTTAGAAGTCATCCAGAACTATACCTACCAGTCAACATCCGGTGTTCACGGCATGGCAATGAACGCGAACAACTCTTTCATCTACTCAGCAGACGACTCGGCCAACACACTATGGACCCATAGTGTGGACAGCACCACTGGTGAGCTCACGTACGTCAGCAGCATTGCCGGCCCTGTCACAGGAGCTGATCCTAGGCATGTGGCTGTTCACCCCGAAGGACAGTATCTCTACGTGATTCTCGAGGGTGCAAACGAGCTCGCACAGTACTCCATCGATCAAGCAACGGGAATTCCCTCCTTCGAGAACGTGACATACTCTCTCATCCCCTCCGGTGCAACCTCATCCTCATACTGGTCCGACGAAGTAGCTCTCTCCTTCAGCAACAACTACTTGTGGGCCACATCCCGCGCGCGAAGTACCAACAGCACTGGGTACATTTCAGCGTTCTCACTTGAATCCGATGGCAGCATTGAGTCTCAGCTGTTCCTCAATGCAACCAGCAGTAGTGGAGGCACTGCGAATTCCGTGGCACCAAGTCCATTCAGTGATCAGTTCGTCGCTTTGACGGATAGCGCGGTGGGGTTCGTGCAGATCTGGCAATTAGGTAGTGATGGAGCAAGCGCGAGTGTAGTCGCTAGTGTGGATATTGAGGATGGAGGGTGTTGTGCTAACGCGGTGTGGTATTCTTAGGGAATTGTCCCATGAGAAAGGGGACATTCAAGTGCATGTATTCTTCTTCGATATCCATTAAGTTCATTTTCCGTGCAACCTCGCTGCCTGATGCACATTTCAAATCTCCATGTCCTCAATTGTACTCAGCATTCACCTCGGTTCCTCTCCCAGTATCATCTAGTCATCCATCCCAAAGAGTAACCATCGCCCTCTCAGCTTGGTCCTGCGCTCTTGCTACAACTTCTCTTTCTTGATTACTCGAGAGTTCGAAACAGGAACGAAGGCGGAAAGGATGTGTCAGCGGCCGGTGGGTACAATGAAGACGGGTGCTGGGCTTGCGCAACTTGGCAACGATGCGGGGAACCGCTTTGAACTGGCTCTGGGCTACGGGCGATTTTGGTCTTGGGTAACTGTTAGAATGGTGGTTTCTCAGTCCTTTTTCGGTATCGGCCCCAAGACCTCGACAGGGCAGTGGGCACACACATTTTTATATTTTCATCGTCCACGCCTGCCTCTTCAAAGGTCATACACCAGGCTCGAAAACCTTGATTTATATAAGCAACAATTGCGGATAATCGCAACCAAGTAGGTCCTCCGCCCTGTTCGGTCTCTTGCTTCTAAATCTTGGAATATCTCAGTACCTTGATATCATTCATTCGTCATGGCTGCTCGGGTACAACCAGGGAGTGGGCCTTTCCCTGACGAACTGTGGGAGATGATATTTGATCACGACGAGCAAAATGACTTCTTTGAGGTCAACCTTGTACCCAGGTGGCTACATCAGCTCGTTGAGCCATATTGATATCGGGACAGGAGAACAATGGGCGGGAAGCTGGTCAGGCAAATAGTGGTCCATTGCATTCATGTCACTTAACGACTTTCAGACTACGCAGAGTAGCAGTTAACTTTGAATGAGTGTGTCCAGTCCAGAGACTGTCCGAACCGAACCCCAGTATCATTATCAAGAAACGATGTCCATCCTCAAAGCTCTGCCATCACCAAATTTTCTCCCTTTTCTTCGGAGTCGATTTTGTTCTGTTCAAAGTCTCAACGAAGCAAGACCCGAGAGCTCGCCTGGGGCATGATAATTTGGGACCTGTTTCGTCATCAGTTCCATAATTCGGGGGAGGTTGATGGGATGGGATGGGAGCTTGGGCACAGCAGACCTTCATCTCAAGAGCCTCGCCACTGTATCCTAGGTCCTCGGCAACGAGCATAGCACACTTCTCGCCGATCAAGAGAGCAGTGGAATCTATCCGCTGAATCAACACCAATCTCTCAATATCAAACAAGGATGGACTTACATGTGTTGCACCCCACATTGTCAGGGCAGATGGAAAGATCAGCGACCTTGAGGTTCTTGACGCCGTGGACATTAAGGCGCTCATCAAGAACACCATGCTTGACGATGCTGTTTCCCTCTTTCGGCGCCATGGAGCATGTCTACATCTCATAAGCAACTGTGCTGTTATTAAGATAGAGGGGCTTACACCAAGACTATGCCACGTAGTTTCAACATGCCTCTTTACCCACTCCTCGATGTGCGCAATGTCCTCTTTGCTATACTTCAGATCCTCATACACACTCTGCGAGTTACTGTTCAATAAGCTCGGCTTCGACGGACGGCCTGAGTCTACGGGCATAGACCAAGACCCGTGCTGGATCCCGGCTGTCAGGTTGCCGGGGAGTGCGTAGGCTTTGGTGGTTGCGAGGTCCATGTCTTTGGCGCGGGCGGGCGAGTCGTAGGCATAGAAGGGGTGCATTGCTTGTACCTCGCCGGCGTAGGCTTCCATGCGGCGGGCTGTCTCACCTGCTGGGGTGTTAATAGATGTCATATGGGGAGAGGGAGGTGGAACTGACGAGATTTTATATAGCCCCAGACCATTGGTGCCATGTCACGCTCATCGTTCATGAAGCCGGCATCGAAGTCTGGAGCTTCATATGGATCAGGCGACACGATGTGGGTCTCACCACGAGAGAATGGATATTCAAGGAAGTGAAACATGGTGAAGAACTTTCCGGGTGGCCTAAAATGGTCAGAGTCTTGCCCACAATAAGTAAAGGGGAAGGGGAATAATCATGGGACCTACATCAACATGTGATCACCAAACCATCTACAATCGGTCAGTATTCCACCAACTCTTACCAGAACAACGAGTACTTACCCAGCAATAACCGAGTAATGCATGACCGGCTTGTCAGGCTTATTCTTAAAGTAGCTGTCCCAACCACTCTTGAAATGTGGGGTAGGCCACTTCTCCATCTCCGTGAGTTCCTCCTCGGTAGGACGAACTTTGACACCAGCCTCAATGCCATTGGTGGCAAGTGGTCCAGTACCCTTGAGATTCCATTCGTCGAAGACCGCTTTCTGGACTTCTGGGACACCGCGGACGAAGTCGTCGAAGCTCTCAGTGTCTGCATTCATTAATATCATTCCACGATAAAGAGGCGATTGGGCTTACCAGGCTTGGCACGGAAGGTGGAAAAAGTGAGGTAATGGTCCTGGAAATTCAGACCGACGCCAGGTAGGTCGACGATAGGCTTCACGCCAGCCTTTTGCAGCTTCTCAGGGTCACCGATACCACTGCGTTGCAAGATCAGTGGAGATGAGAGTGTTCCGCCGGAAATGACGATCATCTTGCGTGCTCGGAAGGTGCGGGAGTGTTGCTGCTTAGGGGAACTCGTATCAATACGGCTGGTCAAGGGACTTCTTGTTACTTACGGATGGGTGGAGAGGCTTTGTTGGCACAGTTCGAACACCGACGGCCTTTCCATCTTCCATGATGACTTTGTCAACCTTGGTGTTGCATTGGAGGTGCAGATTTGAGTGTACCGCTCGAGTTGAATGGATGTAAGCATGAGCCGAATCACTTCGTCTACCAGTCTTAAATCTCATCAGTCGTTGTACATAGTTGAAGCGGTACATTCACTTACATCTCGATTGATCCACTTAAGCCAATGTTCAGCGCCACTGAGTACATTTAGTTATCTGCCAGTTCAGAGAGATGCTGTGACATACTGTCCAGTAACAAGATCCTGCAGATCATCGGTTGTAGGAATACCCTGAGACTCGGCAGCTCTGAGGAAGTCTTGCATGATAGGATACGTATAGTTTCCGAAAGAGACTTTGATTGGACCCTCAAAGCCGTGGATATCCCTGCAACTCAGAGTTAGTCCAGTCTCGGATCACGGATGACGGTGGAGTAGGGCTGACCTGTTGTTGGAGGCACGCTGATAAGTCTCATGCTTCTTCATGAGTGGAATCAGCTCCTCAGTCTTCCATCCCTTGGCTTGGAAGTCATCGTAATCCGATGCAGAAGCTCTCGTATACATCATGAAGTTGATGGAACTGCCACCTCCGAGGATGTGGGCACAAGGAACGACTGCCTTGCGGCCTCCCAGCCATTTTGAGGGTCGGGAGTAGTAAAATGAAGCCGTCTTGCTGTCCAGCTTCATGTTCCTCGGATCTTGGTCCTGTTAGAATTGTCCCAGAAGAGGGCGTTTGCTGCAGACTTACAGATTCCTGGTCTGTAAACCCATGGATTGTTCAAGTTACTCTCTCCACCCTCAATCAAGAGAACCTGAAGCTTGTGGTCAAGATTGGCCAATCTGACAAAGACGTGTCAGAACCGGAGAAGATCCATAGACAGCACAAAGAGGAAACTGACCTGCCAGCAACAACACATCCACAGCTCCCACCACCACACACAATAATATCAACTTCATCTGGAACAGTCATTTTGAAGTCAATGAGATCTTTCTAAACTTCACTTATAATGTTTTTGCTAGTCCCGTACAATTATTCGAGAAGGAAAGCAATTTCAATCCTGCCTTTGGGCTCTGTGGGCCTCTCCTCCCTTTTCAGTATCTCACTTCCACCTATCCCTCCCCGCACAACGAGCATCTACCCAAGTGGGGCGAAGCAACTTGCCGTATTTCCGTCTGGTATAAACATGTCTGCATGCTTCGATTGGATTCAAGCCCCTCTCCAACTGTAGGATTGCGTTGCAGATGGCATTCAAGGCGTCAATCAGGCCGTCAGCAGTGCAATTACCCCTCTTCTTGTCAGAATTGGCACTCTTGTGATGCAGACTCAGGGGACATGATTGATGCGGATATGTGCCGTACATCTGCTTGATGAGGTGTGAAGTGAGGAGACGCGTGGGAATAGTGCGGCATTTAGGGGTCTCTTCAATATCAAATGAAAATCAAATATTCGACAAGGTTCACCTGCTTCGGAAAAACTACATCTCGTTCCTGCAACATTGGCTATTATCCCGCAGCTGTAAAGCAGGGGAGCAAAGTGAACCTAGAAAGAGGCAACTCCAAGCTGCACGAAGTTCTTGAAAAGGGAGAATTTCATGAGGCTTTGCTGACCTGGCTGTGGAACCAAAAGCCCCGAAGCTCCAATACTCAGGAAGCATCTATATCTAGCCAGGAAAATTTTGAACGCAAGGCTCAATTCATAAACATTCTGTATCCATTCTAGATGTGAGAACCACTCCCAAGAGAGCTGACGTTGATTATGTTACCGAACCATCCTGGGAAACTGCAAGCCCCAACGCGTTCACTACGTGGACCGTTGCCCCCCGTATATCAGTAATTAGTCAGTCAGGAGCGGGTAAAGCTATAGATGCACAGCGTCAAGCCCCCCTCAAAGATGAAAATTTTGAGAGCCTATGAAACATTGAGCGGGTCTGGAAGTCGGATGCGGGGTTCAAGGGCGGTTGGGGCTTGGCTATTTGCGTATTGCGGGATCGTCAAAGTGCCGCTTTTGGCAGGAACCCCTTTCCGCCACTCGATTGTTTCGCTTGAGGATTTCTGCATCCCGAGCTCATAGCAGCATGCTATGTGGGGCCTTTTGTGCCACCAAGGTACAGGAGATTTGCATAAGCGAAGCACGTCGATGCAACACCAAGGAACCCGCTTCAGGCTAGACCAAGGTTTGGCTGCAGCTGTCAATGTCAGACGTTCGAAGAAGGAGGGGGTACTTCGGGAAATGGAAAGAGGATGGTTTGGGAAATGTTGACTTTGAAACTCTTGGACATTTCGAAAGCACCAATCGGCTAATGTTTAGCCCTTCTTAGAACATACGAAGAGAAAGAAATCAGACGCAAATGTATTGAAATACTGCAGAAATTCGAAGGCACTTGCTATCTAAAAGTTTGGCACTCGCTGCTGCATTGAAGAAGCACTGAACCTCAACAATAGCAACACACTAATCCAGAATATCTTCGCGAGAATATTGTTTTGAAAGCAGTTAAACATTTAGATTTTGGTTTTCATCCGACGTACGCAGATCATGGCATAAAGTGACGGGATTATAGGTGCATGCATAATTATAGGGCCACTAATAGGGCCTGCAATATCTCAGCGAGCCCTGTAAGCCCCGTAATTACCTTCCAATAGAGGCGTAAGGCCCCTGAAGGCTCCCTGGAACCTAATGTAGCCTGATTAGGAGGTTATATTAAGCCACAAGCTTTAATAGGGCCCTTAGCCCCTGTATTTTTAGGCCTGCGTCCGTAATCGGTAGCAGGGTAAAGTGAGTTTTACCCCCCTTCTCAGCCCCCCCAGGCTCCTTACTCGCTCTCTTCTTTACTTTCACTTCTCATTTGAAGCTAGTAGTTATGGCTACCTTTGGCGGTTTATTTGACTTCCCTGATTTATTAAATGGCTAATTAGAGCTCTCCTCTTCCCCTAATTCTTCCGATTCAGATAAATTAGCCTATAGCGTAGCTATTAAAGATAAAGAGGATACCTGGTATAATTTATTATCTAATTCAGAAGATAAAGATAATAATTCGATTATACCAAGCCTTACCTTCCTTTTTCGCCCTCCTCCCGCAATTATATCCATAGCTTTTACCATGCCTGATATTATATGCAAGAGCATTCCACTAGTGCTAGAATCAAGGCTATTTATATACTTAAACAAAAGCGATTTGCAGGGGGTATTAAGAAAGCTATAGGAGTATCCAGAACTCGTGTTTATGAGCTTGCAAGCCTTGCTAGGTAGCGTAAATAAAGAGAAAATAAGGATATGTCACTGGAAACCTCTTATGTACTTAATTAATCTTGCTCTGGTAAGCCTGTAATCTTGCTTGCTATCCGATCGGCTGCCGCTAGCTTTACATTTCATAATCAATTGTACGCGCAAAATCGCAGTAAATCAAAACGCTCAAACCCAAATTTCGGCTTTCTGATTTGCTCGATTTGCTTGCTTTGAAGTGTATGGTCTAGTGTAAAGCTGGCGGCAGCCGATCGGATAATCAAGTGTATTTTGCAAGTAATGCTTCAAAATTCGACTACTTGTGGTTTCTCTTGTGCTATTATTATAAAGGAAGTAAGGAAGAGGTTACGAGATTGCCCCTTGGATAATTTGGAAAGTTCTTATAGTAGCTAGCTACTCTTAATATAAATTAATAGTAAAGCCTGGCCTAAACAAGTTTAATAAAAAGAAGAGGCTAGACTAGTGTTTGGAGCATGAGTATTAGAGTCTTGAAGATTAGAAAAACGTAATTTTTGTAAACAAGATAGTAGTGCAATTAGGCAATATATGAGGGAAAGAAAAGTCTAGACATTTCTAGGGAAAGCTTATAATAAGCATTATATAAGGAGATGCTAGAAAAGCTTCTCTGAGTTTATATTCTGTGGTTTTTCTTATATAATAAAAAGAGGCCATATTATATATGGGAAAAGGAGATAATATAATAAAAGCAAGAGAGAAAAGCTAATTTGAATACAAGAAATTTCTTGATTAAGAAAGCTAATAAATAAAAGTAGGAGAAAGAGTAAAGGAAGTAGCTAAGAGACTAGATTAAAATTTATGGCAAGAAATCTGGTAAAACGAGAAAAATATAAAAGTTTAATGAGAAAACTAGAGCTTTTATAGTAAAGAATAAATATAAAGGCATTAATTAGTACTAATACTAAAGAGAGATCCTTATTATAAAGCTCTTGCCCTTTATAAGAAATGCTTAAAGGATTATTAAAATACTATTATTTAGGAGAATAATGTACTAGCTTATAAATCTTATTATTAATAAGGGGGTTATAACCTTTGGAGAATTATGAAAATGCTTTGGCTAAGCAACTTACTTGACCTTAATACTATTGAGCCTATGTGGTTTTATATAAAGAAGGAAACTATAAAGCAGGGACCCACAAGTAATAGAAAGAAGCTAAAGGTAAGGTACGAGAAGTGCCAAGAGGATCTCCCTTAAAGGAAAATTCAAGAGTGAATTAAAGCAATTCCTCATTACGTAAAAGAGGTAATTAGATTAAAGGGAGGGAATAAGTATAAGGAAGGATGAAAGAAGGGCCAAGAGAAAGAAGCAGTATATAGCTAAAGTATATCCTCAAATATGATTAATTTAATCAGGTAATTTACCCCACCTGCAAGCCCCCCCCCCTTTTTTTTTTTGCAAAATACCCTTCAGGGGGCAAGTAAGACCTTACAGGGCACTTTAGTGGACTGCATATAATCATGCCCTGTAATCCTGTCACTTTATGCCGCGTTCTCCGTACGCGATGTTCTTCAAGCTGCCCACAAAATCCAGAAGTAGCTCCGAATCCAACAAGGTCGTCCATAATGCACATCTTGTCGCCGCTCGCAACGCCGCCGGAAGCAGATCAGCTCGATGGATTTCCAAATTATTGAGCTGAAAATTCGAAAGACAAGACGTCGTAAATTCTTCCTCGATATTCCAAGAAATGTTTGCCATTATCCTGCTGTAGTCTTTCGAGGATTCTATACTGACATATATCGTGATTGGTTCGACGTCGTTGTCATAATCTTCAACTAGCTGCCGAACTCGTTCTTGGAACGGTGTGTTTGTTAGAAGTATAGTTGCAATGAGGTCGTTAAGCGCGACAGATTATCGGGACATTTTGGATAGTAATTCGTCGAAGAGATAGTGATCTCAAGAAGTTCTCTGATTAAATCTCGTCATGTCTTTTCATCTGCGATAAAATTCCAGCTCTCTGGGGTCATTACCAGCAGGATTGAAGCTTTCAGAGACCAAACAATAGGTAGCAGCCCAGAGATAAAAGATGCTGTCCTGACAAGCAGCGTTGTCCAACATGTGGTACTTTTCTCCATATAACGAAGCTGGCAGGAGTTCGACTTTGGGAAAGAAAGGCGTAAACTATAGCTTCGAGCTCGTGTCTGATCATGAATGTTCCAGCAATGCCGAGACAACTAGTCGAGAATAGTCGTCCCTGAGAGTCCGCCTTACCACCTCTTGACTAGTGGGAAATCCGTTCTCGCTGAAGTCAAAATACTTCCATAGCAAGTCCCAGCGAGCGGGGGCGGTCTTTGGAAAGATAAGGTTTCATCACAAGAGGATTCCTGCTGTCATTTGTATCAATGTCAAGACATGGCTGGCTGGCTGTTGATCCCTTGGGTGAATGAAACGGGTGAGGGTACAGCGTTGGGTCCTCTAAGCTGTAAACCATCTCATTTCCTTGCAAGCTAGGGAGAAATCCCTCAACCAGCCAGAAAAGCGTTTCCAAACTTGAAGACTTCTCGCCTAGAACATTCCCTCCCTCATCTTCATTGTGCAAATGGAAAGACAATGGGCTGCCCAGGTTCGGTTCAGTGCGACGAGTGGCTTTCAGGCTCTGGATAACGCCAGTTACGCTTGAGATCGTGGCCCTCCGACTCGATTCAAGGGAATGAATGAGAATCCATCAGGTGAAGTAGCTAAATCCGAAGTGTCTGAAGACGGATCGGGGCCGGAATTGCTGTCATTACTAAGGGTCCTTTCTTCATCAAGGCCCCGACGAATGGTTGGCGCAATGAGTTTGCCGTTATCTTGGCAATCCCCATACCCTCCCAGCAGGCCAATGACTAGAATCTAGCATTTGCTTACTGGAAGCCAAGCATGACCATGACGATAGATAATTCGACCCTCTCCTCCGCTCCATCAGTTCCAAGACATGTGAAGGCGTCTGTTTCTGCCACCACTTAGCACTGGAGCCTGATTCATGGTAGACAGAAAGGCAGCACTCGATCCAAGTGTCCCAGGTCAAGGGCGAGGGTTTGAGTGTCCAAGAACTTCCAGTACATTTGAGAAGGGTAGACTCTGAATGTATGATAAGTCAAGAAAGGATTCGAGAAGGCAGGGCGGTGTTTAAAATACTCGACTTAGCTTGTGACATTTGAAACTGAGCGCTGACTTTTTCGTCCACCGCGAGGCTGAGTTCAGGGAACGTGTGCTTACCTCGGTCTCCCTCTGTACAACAGAGTAAGCTTCCAAGAGTCGGCATATTTTCGCCCACCCCGTCCTGAATTTAGGTGGCCGAATCTCCTCCAGTGCCCACTGGCCATCCACCGCAGGATTCAGAGCTGGGAGATTGTTCGTTGCATATGTGGTCGTGGCTGGGATCAGTCGAGGAACCTTTGATCTCCGAAGAAACCGGAATTTTCGACCAATATCAACACCTTTTGTGATATGTTCTTACTGTGTGTCATGCGCCTCATCAAGGGCTCGATTCCAATCTGTGTATGCTGATGTCAAGGCCTTTCAGGGACCAACAACACCGATTAATGTAGCGAGGGCTAAGGTCACTGTAATCCATATTGAGATTGTCCCGAGAAGTATGGCAGTGTCAGTGTCGGACATGGCGGTTGGTTGTCCAGAAATGCTGGTTGACAAGAGAGAAGAAGTTGACAAAGATCAAGACGGGGAGTCAAGTGGAACACTCGTGCGGATAGGGACGAAGGCTAAGCACCCCAGGCTTAACACGTGCACGAAAGCGAGATTGAAAGAAGATCGGAAACTTTACCCTATCTTGTGGATAGCTTGTGAAGTCAAATCGTCTTTCCTCTTGCTGTAGATCCTCCGGCATGAAACGATGGTGGTTGTACGGAGACGGAAGCGAGTTGAGTTGAGATAAAGTTGCGCAAGGTCGTCAATGATTGGTCGGCAGGAAGGCATGTAATACTGGAACGAAGTTTATAAAGAATGACAGAAGCGCTTGGAAAAATCAGAATTCGATGCGGCATGTACTTATTGACTTATACAAATGGTGAGGAAGGAACAATAAGATGAACGGGTGAAAGATGGGAAAGTTCAGTGCACAGACCAGGTACTTATTCAGTCACGTGCCACCCCTTTAGCCTCCTCCTTTTAAATTCCTCCCCTTATTTCGCGTACATATTTAAAATGAAAGAAGCTGTCCATTGTCTATTAATATATTTTACTGTATACCGCCAAGATATCTTTGGGTCTCCAAGATGATCGTACAACATCCAACCAAAGAAACAAGCAGCATGCCCCCGAACGAAAGAACACCGCGCTATGTATTTCATAACTCATGAAATCCTACATCAGTCATCCTTCGTTATACAACTTTGACCTTTCGCGTAACTCATCAAATCATTAACATTAACCTCGTGACCTCAAAGCCCCTCTGCGGCCTCGCTCAAAACATTCAACAAACTGACAGCCGCGCCACCTATACTAGCAGCTGTCAAATTCTCTTTCCATCGGCTTACTTTTTGTGGAGGTGATGCCTTCTTGTCTTTGCTTTTTTCCCTCTCTCTGTCTCTGTCTCGACCCGAATGGGAGCTCTTAGATTGGGAATCGTGCGAATAATGCCTCCGGCTCGATCGTTGCCGTTCCCTCTCCCTTTCTTTCGGTGGATAATACACTCCACCTTGTTGTCCCTGGGCAGGAACCCAGATTCCTCCATCACTGAGGTTCTTCGGTGGGCTCGCCATCCGGACGCCATGTTGCATGGAGCTTGGTGGACTCCAGTTTGGTGACGGAGGACCTCGGGCGGATTCTTTGATTGGGATGGGTTGGCCGAAAGGATTGGGATATCCGGAGATGGGGACATGGATATCTGATGGTGTGTACCCACGGCCTGGGCGATTTCGGCTTTGTTGGTGGCGGTGTGTAGAGTCTGACGATTCTGAGTCCGTTGCCGAGGGTGTGTCGTGACCGGTGTGCGGGTGGGAGTTGGCGCGTGGCATGGATACAGGACGTGGCGGTTGAGGCGGAGGGGTCTCTTTGGGGAAAGCAGCTCGATTCCGTTGACGACGAAGCTCGGCCGAGCGGGCGGCGTAAGACTCGATTTCTGCGCGGGTGAGGACTCCGAGGACTGCTACCCACTCTGGACGACTGTTGGTTGTATCAGTGCCTGTTGGGGGGTGGAATTAGAACGAACTTACGCTTCATATCGTCTGTGATCTTGATCCAGAACTTCTGGTGATACAAGACGGCGGTTGATTTTTGTCCAGTGGGCATTAGGAGGGATCTCATTCCCATGCTCGTCTGGAGCCAGACGAATCGTCTCTGGCCTTGGGCTGGTGCTGAATCCATCACTGGAAGTTCTTGGACTTGCTGCTGGGATAGGAATCGCGCCTGGCCGGGAAGGTGAAGATCCAAATTCTGCTGGATTCTTTGGGCGAATTGCAATGGAGCGCATATTATCCTCCTCGCCAAAAGAGCCTTGGCTGCTTCTGAAACTTGTCGGGGAGCCGGGTAGCATGAGTTTCAACCCTTGGTTCGAGTTGAACGACTGGAACAAGTCACTAGTGAATACTACGACGCCCATTGGTGGAGCCTTCGACGGAATAAGGCTTCTATGTCGGCCTTTGGACGAACCCTCGCTTTCCGAGTCTTCATCCGATGATCCATCTGTGTTGTAATACTGAACCTCCTTTTCATCTGATGCGATTAATGTCGGTACGGCAGGGGTCGTTCGTGGAATTATGTCTTTCGATGACTCGAGAAAATCCCTGGAAGTTGTTAGTATCAACCATCAACAAAAGCCTCCTTCACTTACAGTTGTCCGTAAAGATCGCTATGCCGCGTTTCTGGCTTGCGTCTTTCGAACTTCATTGACTGAGGAAATTTCATATTCTCTTCGCGAACAACCATTTCCTTTGCACTGCCATCATCCGTTGGCGTATTCAGCGAATCGAAAGTTGGAGGAGGTCCTTCGGATGGTGGAGGAGACGGGTGCAAGTTATCTAGCCAGTGCTGCGGATTAATTCCTGTCTGCTGAGCTGGCGCTAGGAGTCGCGGGGGCATCTCATCCAACAGTCCCTCTTGGTCTATTTGGCGTATATACGCTCTGAGAACATCCTGTAAAGATCAGACTTAGCATATGGTCAGGACTCATCGTTGGAAAATGTAATACTACCTTGTGCTGAGCCAAAATATCATCCGAGAATCCCTCCTTAATAAGCTCTCGTCGAAATTGTTTCCACACTTCTTTGTCGTCATCGTCGTAACCAGTCAAGATACTTCCAGATCTCTGGCCAATTCTTGCAGCGATTGCATCCACCTTATCCAGAATGACATCTAGCTGTCCATCCTGATTGTCCAAGGTTGGCGCCATCTCGCCAGATTGATGTAGCTGAATCCTATCCAGAAATGATGTCAACCTCGTCTGATGGCTGATCAATTTCACTCTGATCGACCCAAGTGTGTCCATGTCATTGCTCCCGAGCTTGACCTTCCTTGCGCCGCCTCCCCCACTTGACAACCTTTCGTACTTCTGCAACAGGCCATCAAGTTGTTTTAATGTGAAGTCGCAGTCCCCGATTATGGGTTCTAGCTGTCGACCCCATATTGCACGATCGCGATTTAAAGGCGACTCGGGAGCTTCGGCTTCGTATTTCAGGTGTTTGAGGACGGTATGCAGACCTGCGATGGGTCAGCCATTTCTATAATCAACGCTGCGAAAAGAGACCCAGAAAGGCTCCTAAAGCATCAAAATATGCATACCTCGAACTTCATCTCTGATCTCATCGTACTCCCCACCAGCGTCTCTGCATTTGCGATGCAGCGCTCTGCAGAACGCAACAACGATTATAACATCCGATGGTGATGCGCCGAAACTCATTTCGTGATTTGACACTCCTCTCTCGTTTCCCCGGCGGTCGAGGGGCGTTTAAAACCCCATTCTCCGCACGTAATGCGCTGATCTTCGTGGATGTCGTCTGATGCCTGGGGTATGGTGATCCTTACTTCGATGATCGCGGGAACCCCACAATGCGAACTGTTCCCCGGCAAATGGCTTCGACGCCTGAATCAAACGAGACCTGGGTATATACTTGGCAAGGAACGTGGAATAAGGAAAGAAAGAAGAAAGGAGAAAGGCTGCAGCTGAAAAATAGGTAGCAGTGAGATGGCCAGCAACAAGTGTGACGTCGCGAAGCGCTCACCCTCAATGAAGGGCTGATAAACCAGACTGGTGGGGAAGGAGGGACAGGGCTGTCTAGCGTTGGACCACCAATTCGCATGCAACAAAGAAAAGGTGTCACAGACGAGTGGCGCAGCCGTACTCGGCATCTTTTGGGTAATTGGGTGGGAACTCAGCCTCAAGCTCCCCATCTCTTACAGGCCCGCTAAGCAATTCAGTGGTGAGTTCGTGATTGTGCATGACGCTACTGCAGTTGGAGTGGCTAGAAGGCATTAATTTTTTTTATTGTGGGGAGAGACCTTCAAATGATGATTCTCTCCCGAGAATACTTCCCAACCTTTTGGCTCTTGAGATATCCGATGTCTCGCCTCGTGCGTTTGTGGACCGCCCCTCCTGCAGCCACTTTGAGAAGCGAGATCTGTTTTTCCGCCTTCAGCCCCAGTGGCAATGTCCTGATGTCCTGATCCACAAAGGGAAGAATGATCGGCTTGCTCCGCTTCTCAGTATGAGAATCCGATGCAGGCTTTGGCAAAGCCGCTTGAACACCATCGCCATATCGGATCATTTCTGATGTCAATCCCTTCAGATAGACTGCCTCTTCGATACCTTCCAACGCAGCGCTGACCTCAAGCTTGAGACTTGAAATTAAATCTTCGGCCTCGAAAGGATCGCCGTCCACCAATCTTGCTTCGCCAGTCAACCATCCACCAGCTCCAACAGCATCCACACAGTTGTTCAGGAGACTCGATATCAGGATGATTGCATTGTCTGGCACCTCTGCGTCGGCATCCACAATCTCTCCTTGATCTGGTTCCAAATATCTCGTGATCCAGGATCCCTTGGAGAGTTCAAATCGAAGTAGATAGACGAGGCCCACGATTTCCTGACTAGTGAACGTGGTCTGGAGACCGTGTATAATCGCGCTATTCGGACACTTGTACAGCTTGGAGAGAGCCAAACTCAACGCGTCTGATCGAATGCCTGAACCGGGTCCCAATTGGTATTCTGCAAGCTCCAGGTCTTGCTCTGCTTCTGCTTCCAACTTCGTCAGTTGCTCTTCGATACCCTCTGCGGATTCTAGGTCGCCCCCGTTTGTAAGAAGTCCTCGTTTAGTGCTTGGATTCTCTCCTAATAGACCAAGACTCGCCATAAGTTTCCGAATGGCATGGAGGAGTTCCGCTGTCCCCAAGTAATTCTTGCTAAGTAGCGCCAGGAGAAGATCCATGTCTGGGTCTATTTCAACAACCGCATTGATTAACTGCCCAGGTGCGATGGAGAGTACAGTTGTTCCGTTGCTTCTCAACGCAGACTCGATGTTGGTGATAGTCAGGTACCCATTTGTTATAAGCCACATGAATGTATCCGGAGGGTAGAATAATATGTTCAGTGAGTACTCCCCAGCTTCCGTCTCAGATATGGTGAAGATCTTGCTCAGAGCAAATAAGACCCATCGTCGGTCAACGCCTGGATGGCATCCCCTGGCTTGAAGTCTCTTGTCGTGTGATTTCGCATTTCCCTCTTTAAAATGGGATCCATTGGCCATTGGCGTTCGACCTTGGAGGTGGGATACCATGAGCGTATCAAATTCTACCGTATTATTCTCCGAAAATAAATCCTCTGCCCCAGCCTTTTGTTTCTCCCACTTCGTGTCTCCAATTGAACCCGGAAGATATGCGTCGAACGTCTTACAGCCAAGCGAGATTGACTTCTTAGATTCACCTCTAGCCCTCCCTGGACGCTCATGTGCCTTCACGGAGCGACCAATAGAATCTATCAGAAGACCTGCAGCACGCAGTTTCCCGCTAGAATCATGTTGCCCTTCGACGTGTATAGCGAGAAGGTTGTTATCTGAGACCGCAACTGCCACTCCAATCCTTTGAAAGTAGGTAGCGAACCTGCAAGAGCTGCTTGGATTTCGGTTGATGGCCTCGGACGAATCCCGTTTTCTCTTGAGAGAATCGTTATTCGATCCCAGATCTAACTCGATTGTTGCAAGTCTAGACTGATATTTTGGATTATACACGTTAATAGAGTGATCAGAGGAGACCATAATCGATGTGCCGGACAATCGCATGAATGATTGAGCTCCAACGGACACGAGGACAGACTGAATTTTAGGCAGAGTATCGCTGAGGTCGAAGGTCGTTAGAACCTCTTCTTCTAGTACTTGCAGGATCCCAGCAGAAACTTGGATACTGAAGCATGACGGTGTGTCAGTAGGAGTCTTTGCTGATGCGTTGGAGGGTATCTCCACAGCCAAGAGAGAGTCAACGGAGTGTTTGAGATCGTTCTGTTTCACCATTGATCTTCTTGGCAGACTGACGATATGTAAAGTCCGGTGGGTGGAATCTTTTGATTTTGTGACGATGACGAGTATCTCTGGGTTAAATCCCTCTTCGGTAATTTCCTGGGGGAACAGCGCAAAGACATCCTGGCGCCCTCTCAGAACTCCCTGACTCGCTGAGTGTGCATTTGTGAGATGTGCAAATTCGACCTCAGATTCTCTAAGTGGTGTTGCAAATTCCCGCACCAAAGCACTGGGAGGAGATGTCCACCTTCCCCGAAGAGTATTCCCATCATAGCACTGTATTTCCCCATCTTTCTTAACCACAAGTAAGTCCGAGGTACCCACAGCCTCGTCAGAACTCCGAATAGCTGTGACTGTTCCCATGTATATGATCGGCTGCTGGGAACTCTCGACTTTGCAAGTAGCAGTGGAAGACCGTGTGGGGGTGGAACCTTCGGCAAGCTCGGAAAACAGAGTGATTTGAGGGAATGGCCCAATTGTTGAGACATAAGTACGGCGTTCAATTGCACCCTTCGAAGCTCTGGTCCTCAGAGAGGTTGGGGAGCAGGTGAAGAGTGATTGTGGAGGGAGTGCGTAGGACGTGATCAATTTCGATGCCGAGACCTAGATTATTGTTAGACTTGTGTGGGGGGAATACTTTTATATCTTACATCATATAAGTTCACGCCCTCTCCATCAATGCCAACAGCCAGCTCTGACCTCTTCCTCTTCTTCAAGCCCGGCACCCCTCCATAAACCTCACCGACAACATAACGCCCATTCGAACGATCAATGGGCCTCGGTAGGGATGCCACCACATACGGTTTCTGTAAAGAAAACCGCGACGACATTGTGGAGTGTGGTCGAGAAACAACTTGGCTGGTGTTGTTGACAGCTTATCGAGCGGTCTATCAAAAATTATTTTGTTGTAAAGTTGCAGGGGTTTGGAGGGAAGGCGCCGCTAACTCCATTTAGGTTCTGCCCCGAATTTTACCCGAGCTCGCGAAAAGGAAAGCGCGTCGACCGTCGACTTTCAACATGATGACCAACTTCGCGACACTCGAAAATCTCCCCTCCTCCATTAAGCAACCAACTCCCTTAATTTCTACCACCACTTCTTCTACAACAAAATATACTGGACTTGAAGACATAGCTCCTTTTTGCCAATGCCGTCTAGGCCGCCGACAACAATCATGATCGGATAAAAGAACTATTTTCGAGGTTGGAGGACGCGTCCGACTCGCGTTCAAGCACATTGTGAATCTGCGGATGTCAGTGCTTGTCGAGAAAAGAATGGGGGAGTTGAATGAGGAGCGGAAGCCAGTGTATCCGCTTTTTCAGAAGGGTGCAAGTATGTCCCTCTTCATCTTCCATAGTCGAGCCTGTTCCGCTCCTGTCTTTTGGAGCTTGCTTCGTTCTGATAGTTGGGAGCGAAGCTGAGGCGGCAACACGATAGGTTCCTTCGCTCGCATCTTTCCAATGACCAGAACTTATCCTTTGGGTTTCATCTGAAGTCACAATGTTGAGCTGCCTTCGAGTTGATATTTGCTTTCTGATATTGCGGTCATTACCATTGTTTCCCTTCTCAGGAACAATTTAAATATGAGAATGTACTAACATCAACTATAGGGCCACGGGTAGTGCAACCTACAGAGACCATACCTCCTGCGATAGAAGGCACTGCTGACCAAAATGCCTCGACCTCTTCTCTACAAAACGCTCCGGAATCGATTGCAAGGAAGTCGAAGAGGCCGAAAACCTTCAACCCTGTGGTTGACATAGATGCTTCGACAGCTACAAGCAAACCAAACTCGGGTGACCGTGCAGAGCTCTTGGATGTGGATCCTAACAGTGGTCGGAGAAAGCGCCGCAAGACTGCTGAGAACAAAGTTGGGACTGAAGGGAGTGAAGGCCATACAGAAGCTGGTCGCCCGGTACCAAAACGCCAGCCAAGACAAAAGGATCTGCCAGGCTCGGTACAAAACTGTCCTGATCTAGACTCGACAGCCAATGTGCAATCGGTGGACGTTGAGTCTGAGGGGGATGAGAACCACCAAAAAGTCTTTAAGCAAGTCGGAGATGCGCAAGGCATGCACAACGCACCTAAGCCAGAGAGAACAAGAACTCCGTCATCGGAAGACTTGATTGGACCTCCACCAATTGGAACAGGAGCAAAGTGTATTAAGAAGTCTCAACTCTTTCGAATCGAAGACTTGATTGGACCACCACCCATTACCCCAGGCGCAAATAGCTCTACCACCTCAACCGAAATCCCCAATGAAGTCAGGCCAAAGAAGATACTCCGACTGAACCCCATGACCGGTACTATTGGTTCCCCACCTGCCAAAAAACCCCTTCGGGCCCTTGAACCAGAAGGAAAGAAGGCTCCAGCTTCAAAGCAAAAAGTAAAGACAAAGGTGGTTATAATTCGCTACAGTCATGGGAAGGGCATTGGACAGAAAATCGATCGAATTTTGCATAGGACAAAGCTTATCATTTCTTTACCTTCGAAGGTCCTGCCGGAAACCCAAAAGCCGCCGGTCAGCGCAGCCAAACCTCCCAAAACGTTGCACCCATTATTCTTAGGAAAGGCTGCGGTGAAGAAAGGAACTACTCCACCGAAACCAACCCTGCAGGGTGTCATTGACTTGTCTTGCGCACAAGAACCACCTAGGCCACGATCTAGAGGCAAGTCATCTCCTACCAAGCCTGCACCGGTGACATTTTCTGGCTTTGGAGCTGCAAAGCTTATGAAATACCCTGGGGCGATTGAACCGGCATGGCCATGGAGAGACATGGTCCACATCCGTGGGATCGATCCGAATGAAGTTCCACCGCAGTTAGCATCCACACCTTTGCAAACTCGAAGTAGGAAGTTCAAGTATCAGGCCATCGAGGTCTCCCCTGCCGAAAGTATCCTCGGAACTTTGGCCAACGAACTATGCATTGAGAAGGCGATGAAAGAAATTCGAGAAATCAATCCAGACGAATACCCTCCGGTTCCTGCCTGTCTTCGGATTCCTTCCAAGCATTACGAGCCAGGACTCACCATTCAAAGGCGGGTGCTGAAAGAACTGCATACTCGACCCGTGTTCCCAACCCTGGGCGACCAGAGTTCTACCGAAGATGAGATCCAGACCACCAAAAAGGCTCGCCGGCCTTCTTGTCACGCAGCGTTGTTGAAAGTTTATGCTTCAATTCCAAAGTCTTTCTCGGCATTTGATTTTGGCCAATGTGAAAACCAGGCATGGATTCAAAAATATGCGCCAAAAGCTGCAGAAGAGGTCTTACAGGCAGGCAGCGAGGCCCGAATATTGAAGGCATGGCTGCAAAGGCTAACCGTTCAGTCTGTGGAAGCAGGACTTGGTGACCAACCAGAAAGTCGTGCTGGACGTTCGAAATCATCAAAGTCTGAGAAGCTAGGCAACCGAAAACGAAAGTCGAAGAAGCTAGATGATTTCATAGTCTCAACGGAAGATGAAGATGATGATATGGATGAGGTCACCGAGTCCGAGGATGGCGCATCACCCAACGGAAAACAGGATCTTCTGAAGAAGACTGTTATCAGAGTTGGAGATGCTGCTGCTCTTGGATCCAAAGAGCCCGGAAAACTCACCAACGCCACCCTTATCAGTGGACCCCACGGTTGTGGGAAGACTGCTGCAGTGTATGCTGTTGCGAAGGAGCTCGGGTTTGAGGTCTTTGAAATCAACTCTAGCAGCAGACGTAGTGGGAGGGATATTCTGGAGAGGGTGGGTGACATGGCACGCAACCACCAAGTTCAACGCTCAAGCGATGTGCCTACCACGGATCCGATTGATGATGACAAACAACGCATAGATGATGCTCTCGCCAATGATCTCCAGAGTGGCCGCCAAGGTACAATGAACTCTTTCTTCAAGCCGAAGCAAGAGACGAAGCCAGATACAAAGCCAAAACCTAAAACCAAGACAGAGACGCAAAGACGTGCCGCGACTCAAAAGACCTTGTTTTCCAGGCGGCCAGCAAAGCAACAGAAGCAATCTCTCATCCTCCTTGAGGAGGTTGATATCCTTTATAAGGAAGATACTCAGTTTTGGGCCCAAGTTGTCTCTTTGATATCAATGTCTAAACGGCCAATTATCATGACCTGCAACGACGAATCAGTTTTGCCAATTACCAGTCTCAGCCTCACGTTTCATGCCATCCTGCGCTTTGCACCACCGCCGATTGATCTTGCAATTGACCATATGCTGTTGGTAGCAGCTTGTGAAGGGCACGTGCTTCGAAGAGAGTCCGTAAAGACCTTGTATGAGGGTCGCAATTCGGACCTTCGGGCCTCCTTGACGGAACTCCAATTTTGGTGCCAATTTGCTGTTGGAGATGTCAAAAGGGGGCTCGATTGGTACTACCCTCGCTGGTCTCGGCGTGAAGACATTGACGAGGAGGGAAATACAATCCGAGTCGTTAGTGAAGGAACCTATGAGACCGGGATGGGCTGGCTATCGCAGGACTTCTTGGAGAGCGATATCCACCACCTAGACGTTGAAGAAGAGATGCTTCATGAAGTCTATGATAGTTGGCATGCTGATGCTAGCAACGACGCAAAATACAGAACAGGGATGGACAGGTGGGCGAAGAAGATACAGACACTTTCCAGTGGCAGGAACGACAACAAAGCTGCACTGGCAATGTATGCAGACTTCGCAGAAGCGATGAGTTCGGCGGATCTGTGCTCTGGTGGAATTTTTGCACCAGACAATCGGGTAAGGTTCTTCAAACCCGCGATTCTACAACTAAAAGCTTACTCCCCTTCCCTTAGACTGCACTCGACTCTAGCCTACCTGAACTATCCCAGAAGGCGAAGGACGACTACATCCTCGCACACGACATCCTCGAAGCTACGCCACTTGTCTCGTATGATAATGTCTGCAAGGACATCTACCTTTGGATGCAATCTAGAACTAGGAACTATCTCCAGGTCGACCAACACGTCAAGCATAACCTTGAAGTTCCTACCGAGCTTGCTCGTCCCAGCGAGAGGGCTATGATCCGCCTCGTTACCTCTCAAACCACAGAACCAGAAGCCTCCCTCAACCGAAAAGACTTGAGCCGCGCTTTCGACCCCGTTGCTGAGCCTGAGAAGTTGTGGCCGCTCAACCCTACAGCCATGGAACTCTGCTCTTTCGACCGGACGACAGCCCTGATCACAGAGGATCTAGCGCCATACATTCGGTCGATTGTGGCATATGATAACCGTTTGCAGCAAGAACGTGCAAAGCTGAGCAATCTCTTAAGTGAAGGTGGACGGCCTGGGAAGAAACTAAGGACAACAAGGGCTGCAATTTCTGCTCTTGAGGGTGGCACTAGGAAATCGACAAGGAGAGACCGATGGTTTACGGGGAAGGTGAACACTTATCATGTTATGCAGACAGGAATGCAGAGCTGGCTTGATGCTGCTGCAATGGAGACGCCAAAAAGTGCCGAAGACCTAACGACAAGTCCGGTTGCATCGCCGGAGGAGACAAGTGATGAGACCTGTGAATAGAGCATAGAGCATTGCATTTGGGGACGCGATTGGCAGTGATGATTTGCATTTACGAATAGACATAGCATGGACCCCTTGGCGTTGCGTTTAGCATGGAATTCTTCGCGTTGCTTTCGGCATGGAATTAAACAATACAATATGCACTGAAACTTACACGGATGTTAGAATCAACATCTGAAATGTCTTGGCCATTTACAAGACATTGACGTCGGTATCAATGATAGTCCGGAACATTTGAAAACCTAACGTCCGGTTTCATTCCCAAGAACTTTTGTAGATCTACTAGATGAGTGAGTCCTCCGCGGGCCAAGTAAACAAGATATGTCGGGAAATGGAGGTTCGGGTGTTCTCAGGAAGATGCCCCTGCGCTTCTTAAACAGGGAAGATGGATGCCCCTGGAGCTGGTTTTGTCCCAGCTCGCCAGGCACATGGTTTCGGGCGCGGGGTGTCTACGTTGTACGGTGTTCTGCTTCGTTACAGTTTCGGGTCTTGGCCTCATTAGTGCTCAAAAATAGGAGGCGGTGGTTGCAACTGTATTTTTAAGAACTAGACTTCCCCACAACAGCTCCAATGTGGAGTGCATAACCACATCACACAAGGATGATGTTGTACTGCGTTCAGAGTGCAGGAAATGGTATGCCATGAATAGCTATGGGAATGAAATATGAATATCAGTTCAATGCGTGGTTTTGCGTGATATTTAGAGGCTGACGGTATGTCTGTCTGGTGCCTCGATTTGTGAGCGAGAAGTCAAGGTAAGGTAACTTGGGTGTTGGCACGTGACTTTAGAAACAGTGAGGTGAAGTCCGTCGCAGTTGAGAGCTCACGTTGTGATTCCTATCTGAGGCTCTCTGTCTTGTAGGTTCGTAAAAGAGGGGGGAAGCAAGATAGGAGAATTGAGAGGTCGGGTATCTTCGGGATGTTCTCACCACACCCTTTTGCAACCACAGTTCGGCGGGGCGCGCTTGGCGCTTGGCGTTCTCGTAGGCTGAACAACAACCTCCATGAACAAATTTGGAGGGGATCTTGATAGGTTAATGATTCGGCGGAAAGGAGAAGGTCCCTCTACTCCTTGGTGAGGAGACCGCTTGAATCTGCCCTCGTCTTCCAATAGTAGGAGCTCTACTGCATACATTTCTGGAGAACTGACTGAGGGTCTGCCTTGGACCTTGCCTTCCCTGTCGCTGCTGTGTCCTACCAGACATCCGTGGGATTTTCTTGCTCCTTCGTTGCTTTACCAGACCCCATCTAAACATAGAAAATGAACTCTCGAATTCTCCCCTTCTTTTTCAAGTTCCGGTACGTTGCACTTCGAACGTTAAGCGAAGGTGCGCTACCTCTAACTAGAGATGAGGTTTGTCCTCCTTTCGTTGCAATTCGCAGTCTAAGCGAGGCGCAGGTATGACAGCAAGAAGGGAACGAGTGAAAGAATTGAATGTTGGTAAGAATTGGCTAGGGAAACCACTCTAAAATAGATAATGATGGACTTTTGAGAGGGAAATGGTTGTTTGAAACGGAAAGTATCCTCACCCTTCTTAGAAAGAGCCTGATCCTTTTAGTTTTTGTGTTTTGACAACCCTTAAGGAGCAATACAGATGAGTGTTCGGACTCGATGCTCTAATGATCACCCACTCAGCAAGGAAAGAGCTATGACGGCAGAAACCTCAGTTGAAGTGTAAAAAGTAAGTTTGGTCACATGCAGAAGAAGAGAACAACCCCACACCACAACTCTGCGGTATAGGGAGGTAAAGACGGCCCAAGAGACCACTCTCAGCAGCGGATATGGAACTTGCCATGCAATTGACCGTTTTGAGAGAATTCTTAGTTAGAGGCGTTTGTCAAGAGCTGCAGCTTCACGACCTGACATGAAAACCTTTAGATCACATCATATGCATCGTGGCGTGGCGTGGGGGCTGTGGGTGAAGGCCTGTTCACCGCCCGGCTTCATCCCTGAACTCAGCACGCACAGGGCTTTCTGTGGCGTGGCAGAATTCGAAGACTCAACCAATTATCATGACGTAGGCAGGGTATCCCAGCTGCAATTTTTGAGTGTTTTGTTCAAAGGAAGCCGGGGGAAATGACAGGAAGAAGCACAACCCAGCAAAAGAACCACAGAGATAGGAGCAGAAAGTGTTGAGAGGAGGAATTATGGCGAGAATCCTGTGATATCAAACGGGACTGAAGCAAAAAAGAGTCAAAATCGAACACGAAGAGACAACTGCACTGTCAGCACAAACTGCTGCCGTCTTTGCCGTTTGTGGCCGGTCTGGGCCCCGATGCCGAAATCGCAAGCAATCCTTCCCGTTGACCTCCAATTATCTTATGTCCTGCCCTCTGCCAATGCTTGGACCGCTCGGCTTTTGACTTTTCGTCGTTCTGCACCTTGGCGCATTATATAAGACTAGCTCGACCCCGTCTCGATAGCGTGAACTCCATAATCCAAGCTTACCTACCTGAGACCAACTTTCTTCGATTCTTCGTCACGACTTCTAGCCTTCTCGCCCCCGCCCTTGACAACGAAGATCAACTCTCCCCTCTCCTGACGAGTATCGATATCCCGCAAGGGACTTCCTCTCTTTACACAGACGCACCTTGGGGACGTTGCGGTGGAGAAACATTCACTATCTCTAGCAGGGTGGAGCGGCGACTGGGCGCGACCACCACCTGAATGCTTCGACACCACCCGATTCTTTTGAGAGAATCGACTGATTGGGGAATTGGGAAGGACGCACAATTGGGGTGAAGGAAACAACGCAATAGGAAGAAACATCGGACGAAACAGCACGAGATACCTTTTTTCGACGCGACAGACGGATTCTTACATCATATAATAGTCGCCAAGACGAAAATTCCAACTTCACAATGGCGTGGGATCACCTCTCGATCAATCGACCGCATTTGGTCTACATCATCCTCGGTGGCTTCACCTCTCTCTTCATGTTGTGCTCGTCCTTCATCAAGGAACGACTGTACATAGGAGAAGCAACTGTTGCCACCATCTGCGGCGTCATCTTCGGTCCACATGCCGCGAACCTGATCGACCCTGGAACATGGGGAAACACGGATCAGGTCACCCTCGAATTCTCTCGAATTGTCCTCGTCGTCCAATGTTTCGCCGTGGGCGTCGAATTGCCGAAATACTACATGGAGAAGCATTGGAGGAGTGTGGTATTTTTGCTGATACCCGTCATGACGTTTGGCTGGTTGATCACAAGTCTTTTCATATGGTGGATGGTTCCTCCGCTCAATTGGCTTCAGAGTCTCTGCTGTGCTGCTTGTGTCACTGCTACCGACCCTGTCTTGGCCAGTTCCGTGGTTGGTAAAGGCAAATTTGCCAAGAGGGTCCCAAAGCATTTGAGAGATGTGTTGTCTGCCGAGTCCGGATGTAACGATGGCATGGCTTTCCCGTTCATCTACTTGGCTCTGTACCTCATCGATTACCGACCCGACGCAGATAAAGTCGCCGAGAAGTGGATCGTGATTACTATCCTCTATGAGTGTGTCTTTGGAGCATTCTACGGCTTTATGATCGGCTATATTGGAAGGCATGGGATTAAGTATGCTGAAAAGCACGACTTGGTTGACAGAGAATCGTTCCTGGTGTTCTACTTCGTTTTGGCGCTCTTTTGTGCTGGCTCTGGTAGTATCCTAGGAGTTGATGACCTGCTTGTGGGCTTCGCGGCCGGAGTGGGTTTCTCTAATGATGGTTGGTTCACACAGAAGACGGAGGAGTCTCACGTTTCCAACGTTATTGATTTACTCATCAATTTGGCATACTTCGTTTACCTCGGCACAATCATTCCCTGGGAACAGTACAACAATCCCGGATTGGGCTTGACCCCCTGGAGATTGGTTGTCATTGCCCTCTTTGTCATTTTCTTCCGCAGAATTCCGATTATGATGGCTCTGAAGCCAATTATACCTGACATCAAAACCTGGCGCGAAGCTCTTTTTGCTGGCCACTTTGGACCTATTGGCGTCGGGGCAATTTTTGTGGCTATTCTTGCTAGAGCAGAACTGGAAACAGAATCGACAACTCCTCTGGCATCTTATCCTGATGTAAATGCGCCGAATTTTCAGCTCGTTGCACTAATCTGGCCTATCACTACTTTCCTGGTGATTGCTTCAATTATCGTGCACGGCTCTTCGATTGCTGTTTTCACTCTGGGAAAACACATCAATACGTTGACACTCACAATGTCTTACACAACAGCTGGCGATGATGGTCCTGGATGGCTGAACAGACTACCACGTATATCATCGATTTCAAGATCACAAGCCAAATCAATCGCATCTGAGACTGATGGGGAGGAGTTGAGGGACCTACCCCCTGGAATGCTACTCCCAATTGGTGTTCCGAAAGAATTCTTGCGTCGACAGAGAGAAGAAGACAACCCAAGCCACCCGAGCAGTCGAACTTCGTCTCTCATTCCACGCCGGAGAAAGAAGAAGTGGGATGACGGACGTGGCCCCGGAGGTCCCATCAGCCAATCGGCCATCTATCCGGTACGACGCAGCCAAAGCGAACATCTGAGTGAACAGACGTCTGAGACTTTGACTCCTGGGGAAACCTCTCCCATAACCCCTCCCACAAACGTGAACGAGGACAACGAAAAGAAAGAGTCCGAGCTTGGGCAAGTTCAAGATGATCCAGAAATGCATGAGATCCTCCATCGACATTCCGAGGATGAAAAACGGGATCAGCATAAATCAGATGCAGAACGACATCCTTTTGGAAGAGAGATCTATACCGAAGGCAATGATATGATTATCGAAGATGAAGATGGTGAGGTCTTGAGCCAGGTAAAGGCGTCAAAGGGAAAAGAGAGGCGGGATTCTACGACCAAGAAGGAGATCAAAGAAGACGTTGAGCATCTAGGTCTTGGTTACAAGAATTTGCGGAAGAAGCTTGGTATCTGGCGACACAAGGACGAAGAGGAAGAGGAAGGTTCGCCAAAGTTGAAGAAGCCTCAGGCGCCAGTTGGGAAGAGAGGTCCAGCAATGGCCTACCAGTTTGGAAATACCGTAGGCGGAATTACCCCATATTATCCAACCATTTGCTAACAATATCACTAGATCATCGTGGAAGACGAAGATGGCGAAGTTGTGAAGACCTACGAGCTACCTTCAAACAAGCCGAACCAACCATCACAATCAGGACCAGGACGAAGAGAACTAACCCGCATGGGCACCTGGTCCGGCCTCACAAAGCCTGACGAGCCCTCCAAACTCGCAACACCCTCCGAAGCCCCCGACTCCTCAGCTGTTCGGCAAGGCCTTTCACGGATGGGCACCTGGGGCTTCGGCGGTAAAAACACCAACAAGGAAGACGCCTTCACAAGAGAAGGCCAAGAAGATGAAGATGACGACCGCCATATCCGCTTCACGATCGGTGGCGCAGGGCGTCGTTTGACCAAAGAAGACTTCCTGAAGGAAGTCCAATCTCTAGACCCGAAAGCTAGATGCGAGATCATCAATGAGAGTGACGCCCCAGCCGCGATGAAAGATCTTGCAAAGAAGGACGCGAGCGAGGATTCGCCCGGCAGTTCGAGAGTATTCGGTGCGAAGAGCGCGCAGCGAGCGTCTGGCAAAGGCGTCGCAATGTCCGTCGGGCCAGCGATGGCTAGGACGAGGGCTGCGCAGGTTGAGGAGGAAGAGGGGTATGGTCGCGATCGCGAGAGTGGTAGCGAAGATTCCGGGGAGGAGCGTGAGAGGAGGAAAGGCGCGAAAGGCGCACTCGACCTTTCAAAGAAGCAGAGGGACAGAGCCGAGACGATGGGCGAGAGGAGGCTGAGCAAGATCGAGAGTCATATGTCAGGTGAACAACCGGAGACTGAGGCGGAGAGGAAGAGGAGAGAGCAGGCGCTGAAGGGCGTGGATGATGTTACAGATGCGCAGAGGGGGCGCTCCCGGACGTTTAATGGGACGCGCAAGAATGAGAGCCAAAGGAAGGGGAGTGCGAGTGGGAGTGGAAGTCCTGAGGTCGGCGAAACGCCAGCGGAGAGGAGGAGGAGGGAGGCGGCGCTGGGGGTGGGAGGTGGAGGTGTGGATGAGGATAGCGATGATGACGATACGCTACGTGTACCACCTCTAGTTGCAAAAAGTCGGGGGATTAGGTTTGCGCAGAGTCCGATTCGAGGGAGGAAGTGAACGAACGGGTGGGCGGAGTTGGGGTTCGTCAAAGCGTATTTGGCAAGTCTATCAAGACCGGATACCTAGATTGCCGGGGGTTGAATTTGCATTGGAATTCGTTGCTGTTAAATGATAGCGAACTCTCTGGAGTTGGCGTAGCGTGTGTAGATGTAATGAGCGGTTGCGATCTGCACATTTCGAAGTAATGGTACGGTAGCTTGATTTGTGACAAGGGATCTGTCTCATCATTGCTCTCTTCTGCATGTGTTGGGAAACGAAGGGGATTGTAAAAGTTAACGAGTCTTTTGGGGGTCTTCTGTAAATGTTTTGGCACAGATCATGTATCGACTTCTTTCCTGTGCTAAAAGTCCAATGTGGTAAGCGAGAGCCCCTTTCGCCGTTCCCCAAGCGAGGACAGCATTGAAAATGTGGACTGGTGCACTCAAGTCCCAAAGGCTTAATTTGTTACTTGAAAAGGTTCCATGAACCATTTTGAAGGTTCAGAATCGATTGCCATTACGAATAGACCCATTCATCCCAGCTGATATGTACAGTAGAGTTTACATTGGAGGTGTTCTGTGCTCCTCTTCTCCAGGTTTGTCGGATTGTACAGTACATGCAAGACAACATCACGGATAAGCCATTGCACCGTACCGTACAAAACTTCAGCGGACCTTGAACACCTTGAAATGCTGTTCCAACTCCATCAATAAATTAAAAAAAATCCATTCCCAACTCCCTTCCAAGTCGCAATGAAAAACACCAAATCGTAGCAGCAGACAATGATCATTCAGCAGGTGGAGGTTGAGGTGGGGGCGGAGGCGGTCCTGTTTCTTGTGAGAATTTCAACCATAGAATCAATCTCGGACCAAGACTTACCTGGAGGGGGTGGAGCGGGACCTGGACCTGTGTCTTGTCAGCACCTCCTCCCTATTTTCCTCCGAGTAATGACTTACCTCCAGTACTAGTACTACTCTTCCTCGACCGCCTCCTCTTCTTACTCTTCTTAAGCCTGAACTTAAACGTGAACCAAGTATTTTTCGTCTTCGATTTCTTCTTCTTCTTCTTTCTCCTGCGTCTCTTGCTGCGGCTAGTACGGCTAGTACGGCTAGTACGGGTAGTCGTACTTGTGCCCGAAGAAAACCTGCGCAGCTGCCTCGCTCTTAACAACCAGACGTAGTATATCCCAGCTAGTACTGCAATGGAACCTAGTACTCCGATGACGATACCGGCGACATTTCCAGGTGTGGAATTCGGGTTCTGAGCAGCGGCTGGCGCAAGGGTTGGTTGGCTCGCTGATTGCTGTACCGGGGCTGTTGGCAGCGGTGTTGGGAAAGTGTCTCCAAGAAGGATTGTAGTTGTGTAGATCTCTGTAGGAAGTGTGATGGTAAGTGTGACATAGTATTGTGGGTCGGGAGAGCGGCCTTGCAAAGCTACTGGCGTTGGCTCAGCGGCTCTATCCTGCAAAGTCAAGTAATCATATTCCCCTTCATGATGAGGTGAGTATTCCGATACTGTCGGAGCAGGAAGGCGGGGCGTTGTCAAAGGGGAGCGAAATCGTGCTGGGACAATTGGTGACATAGAGGAACAGATTCAGAGTCTCGGTTGAGGATTGACATTGTCTCCAGTTATCCTTGGCAGGAAAATGTTATTCCGAATGCAGGAACTCTGGCACGAAAACGTGGAAAGCGTGATTTGAAGTAGTGGTAATCAATGAGAGGAGACACCGCCTCGTTCCGAATCATTGGTGGGGGGAGGTAATGATGTGGCGGTTGGGTTGTGGTGGGGTGAAGAGGGCAGCCTCATGTGGTCTTCGCTGGCAGTCATGCAGGGGTTCTCATTAGTCCGAACGTTGAGGCGCATCCCATGCATTTGGTAACACTGGCCGAAAATCCGTTACCTGTAGAAGGTGTTACCATAGGGCCGTTCCGTCTGTTTCTCGCGGGTAGGGTGGAGTTTCTTAGGAGAGCCTCTCCTATTTTCGTGCCTCAACCCCACTTTCCAGTCACAAGATCATTTCTAGACTGTTAGGAAATGTTTCGTTGGTGGTTTATATTTGCGCGCTTTTGCCCGGACGAGTAATTTTGAATCTGATTAGACCAATCCAGGGTGGGCGAAAGAGAGGAATTGCCCTTCGGAGGTTGGGTTGAACCCCACATGGCTGGGCAAAAAGCCTCCTGCAGCTTCTCGGAAAGGGACGCCCATGGGGCAGCAAAGTACTATCTGTGTGGTTCAGTTGAATTTGAAGAAATGTTTCGATCAAAGAATTCTGGCCTCCCTCGGCTGATGAGATCCCGCAAGCTCACATTCTCGACTGCCAAATTTCTCGCAGACTGGGAAGGCAAGTCAAAAGGCAACCCAACACTGCTCTTTTAGAACCTGCCGGTCCAGACTTCAACAACAAGCAGCTTGGATTGATTCGCAATAGATGGCCCCGAAAGATTCAAAAAGAACAGATGGAAGATTAACGAGCTGATTCCCTTGAACCGTTCAACAGAGAGGCTCAGCGGCTAGTCTCGACCTCGACCCTCAAAGCACTGCAAAAGAAATCAAACAGAGGCACTCTAGGAAGACTTGAACATCCCCGAAAAGCCAAAAGCAAATCAATTCTTTAAATCCCGCGCCTCAAGGCAGTCAGGGCCCGAAACAATAAAACGTCAGTGCCTCTTATCTGCATGATCTCCCGCATTCGATAAAGCTGCATGAAACGTGCATTGAGACTTCGCGGAATGAGGCTACACAGCATGCGACCACGATCCTATCATCTGCGATGCCTTGCATCGAGAACTGCACGTGGAGTAATGATGAGCTGTCGCGTTGGGCTTCAGAAAAATCACGCAAGCGGCCCAACCGAGCACGTGACTAACACCAACTTTTGAAAAGGGGGGAGGTTTGGCGGGGTGTGGGGTAGTGATTTCGACCCGGCTAAAGGATATGTGCTGACGGACTTCATACATCTTCAAAGGTCTCAGTGTCTGCAGCTTCGAGATTATGGATAGCGACAGCGTATCTAGTCTCTCAGCAACAACGATCCAATCTAGGAGGCTGTTTGGAATTTGTAGATCGAGGATCGAAGTTCCTTTCCTGCAGCCGACGGTTGATAGGTATGATATTTCGAGCAGACGCCGCCGCAAAATTATCGTGCCTGCCGCGTTGAGAACCGATGGATCGAGTGTAGGGCCCGAGAACTGGACGGTATCGAGAAGTTGATTGCACCTTTCGCATTGATTCGTGTCTGCGTAGTTGCTGCTGCTGGTACTCATATTTGGTAAGGCGAGCTGTTATTGATATCTGGTGAAAATTTACGAGAATTTGTGGATTGTTGACATGGAGAAGATTGAGAGTGTGACGATGAATAATTTTGGAGAGAGGAAGGTGTAACGATGCTCTTCATCCCATGACTGTTCTTGCTTGAGGAGGAAAGAATGACCGATATGGGAGCTTAAATCAATTTTTTCCCCACAGATTAGACGCTATCAAATGTACACCACCTAAAGCTTCTTCCAATTGATTTCGTTAACTTGGAGTAATAGACAACGTCCATCATCGCACGGTTCCAGAGCTTCTTGAACATTGCTCCTCGTCGAGCCTTACGAAAGAGGAATGTCAATCCCGCACAAATCATTGCCAATGCCAAATGGCACTCTTCCATTCAGTCTCATCGAACAAAACTCCGATCGTCCCAGCAAACCTCGAACATTTTCCGCCCTCGAGTCTTGTAAGGTATAATTACTCCAACAAATAAACCTAAACCCCTACTTCAAAATTTAACATTACCCTAGAAGCCAAATTATCTTCATTCTCACTTCTTACTTTCCTTATTCTCTGCCTCTGCTTCCTTAAACTTCTTTCTCTCCGCCTTAGCTTCCTCCTCCTTCTCCCTCCTCGATCCTTGATTCATCGCCCCACTCCCGTTTCCCTTCCCAGTCCCCCACCCCAATTCCTTCAACAAGACCTCGCTCCCAATACCAACCCAGCCCTCCATCCCCCTTGATACCTCGCCAGCCATGTCCTCCAACACCCACGCAATCCCCTTTTGCTCTCGACTCTAGGACCACCTCTCATTCAAGAAGGCGAGTCCAAGAGCCGGGGTCAGAATTGTGAAGCAAAGGACTTGTACTGTACGGCCAACATGAGGTAGAACCAAAGCCGTTCTGCGGGGTCCAGATCCATGAATTCGGCCTAGGTGACGCCTCACCTGCGCTCTCCCATGATTAAGGAAGAGCTTCATTTATTAAACGACTCCTCATCTCGCTGTCTAAATGCCTCCAGCTCTCGCTCCATGACCTCATCCCTCACGATAGTGTCTCCTTCCCCCCTCTCTCGTCCATTTCCTCTCTTTTCTTCCTCAACTCCCTCTCAATCCTCCTTAAAACCCTCTCCTTATTCTCCCCCTTCCCACTCTTCCCTATCACCTCCCATCTCCAAGCAAAAACCACCAAAGCAAAACACGCCACAACCGCCACAACCACCACCCCCAAGCCCACACCTCTCCTTGTCTCCCCTCTCATCACCCCTCTCCCCGTCTCATGACTATCTCTCCCCAATAAAACTCCCCACTAATTTCCTAACCTGGTCTTTTCGTCCTGGTGTGAGGCTGATATTGCTCTTTGCCATATCTTTCTCAATCGCATTGTCTAAGCGCGAATCCGGATTTACGTTTTGTCTGCTCTCGAGGAAGGCGCCAGGGAGGTTGGCGAGGGCGGGGGGTGGTCTGAGAGATGTTAGTGGAAGAAGAGAAGGAAGGTGAGGGGAGGGGAGGGGAGGGGCGTATGGTGTTGAGAGGATACATTCTGACTGGAACGGTACACAGACGTTTGATATGGATGATCTTTCTGAGAGGGTGGAATTTTGGAGGTTTTGATAAATGAAGAAAGAGAGGTATTTGATGTTGTTTTAAGGTAAAGATTGGGGAGCGAACCGAGAGTCTGCGGAGCTGTGGTCACTGGCCTCAAATCTTAGGACGCGCGACATAAAGTTGGAGTCTAATAGATGGGCAGCGGGAACTAAATTAATAGCAAGATCAGAGACTGCAGTGGCCAGTAATGCAAACTGCGACCACGTAGCAAGGATTGTAACAGAGGCTCTAGAGAGCTCAATGTCCGAATACTTGTGGAGACATTGAAGATGTGGTCGCCTGTTGCGAGGAGACGCATGTACCAAGATTTTTGTCCCAAACTGAAGCAAGATAACGAAGACATCAGTCACTCACTCGCCGATGTTCCAACGCCCATCGATTAATCAAGCAGATATCTTGTTCTTTTCGCAGCGGCTAATAGTCCACACACTACATTCCAACATTCCCCCTCTTCCCCCCTCTCTTACTCCTCTCAATATGCCCCTTCAGCACCCGTCTCGTCTGCGTCAAGCTCCTCTTCTGCTTAAACTTCGCCTTCCCCAGCGTCATCATGAAATTCTTCTTCCTCGACTTCTCCTTATTCGTGGTACTCTTCCCCTCCGCATCCTTTTTCTGTCTTCTCAGCGCTTGCGTACTCTTATGCTCGCCCCTCTCACCTTTCCCTTCTCTAGCTAATGCTATCTTCTCTTCCCGAGTGCTCTTGCGAAGTTTGGAGAGCCCTTCGATTTGCTCTGCTGTGAGAGGATCGTCGGCGTGTCGATCTGCGAGTTCCTTTAAGCGTTGGGATTGGGATTTAGAGTTGGATTTTCCCATTGCCTTGGAAACTGACGCTTGGAGACGGAGTTCTTGGAGCTTCGCCAGGTCGGCTGGTGTTAAAATCTTCGTCGTAGCAAGCTTTGAGATTTTCTGCTCGCGAGCTTTGTCTTTATCTGCGTTCTCCTTCTCTTCATCGTTGCCAGGAGTTTCGGATTCGGGTTTCGATTTTGTGGCAAGGGGATCGAGTTTCGCCTTCTTAACAGCAGGCTTCTCATCTTCCGAATCGGAAATCTCGATCTCGGCATCGCTCTCAACATTGATCCACCCTCCGGAATCAGACGAAGCATCAGACTCTGCGTCCCAGTTCTCCCAGCCCTTAGTTTCCTCTTCGTCTCCGTCTTCATCCTCATCACTTTCGTCCGAGCCGAGTTCAGGAAGTCCCTTCTCAGCGCGTTTCCGTTTCCGCTCTTCAGCTTTCCACTCTTCAAGCAATTCAAGCCCCTCAATACCACCCACTTCCTCCTCACCAAAGCGTCGCTCCTTGATATTCCCGCTCTTAAGCCCCATCGTAGCAGTCTTGCCTCTATCTCTCTTCTTCAATAAATCTGCTCCAACCTCTCTATACAACGACAGCAATCCCTTCGCAGCCATCACCGTGCCCTTATCTTTGCTCTTTCGGTACATAACAAGATCTTGCAGTAAAGTCTCATTCATAGCAAGTGGTTGCCGAACGCAGATTTCTCGAATGGCGTTCAGGCCTGCGGATGCGACTTCTGAGGCAGAAGCTTCTGAGACGAATTCGTTGGCGATTTTCTGGACGAGGGGCTCTAAAGCGTCAGGTGGGACGAGGGAGTGTGTTGCTTGGGCGAGACACGCGAGGAAGGTTGTAACTGAGGGTTGGCGGGGAGTGAGGTATTTGATGAAGTAAGAGTAGAGTGAGATAACCGTCAGCTTGTGTAAACCAACCAACCTCGAAACCAGTTGTAAAACCAGCAGTTTCTGCTCCAGATTCAGCTTCGATTTCGAGTTTTGTAGATGTTTAGAGAACAGGGTATCTGCGAATCCTTGGGGGTCGTGTAACAGATGTAAAGCAGAGAAATTGAGCGGATGCGGCTGATTCTTCTTCTTCTCCGTCTTCTTGACCTTCTTGACCGCCTCCTCAAGACTCTTCTTGGTCTTCCTACTCTTCTTATTGATGCCCGCCTGATGTTTCAGCTTCCCGATATCAATTCCAGCTTCCTCATCACTACTCTCATCCTCCAGCTCTTCCCTCTCCTTATCCCCACCGAGGAAAAACCTCACACCGCCGCCAATAACCTTCTCGTTATCCGCTAACGCCGCCTCTTTCATGATCTCCACTGCTTTCGCATCCGTCCATATCTGCCGCTTCCACAACTCCCTTGTAATCTTCACAGCCCAAATACCCTTCGCGCTCGCCCGATCACTCGTCAACAAATTAAACAGCGCCGTTTGAATCGTCTTATTCAAGCGATGATTAACACTCTTCGAATTGCTCGTCCTCAAATCGCTCAGAATCTTCTGAAACAGCAACGCCCTCAGCGTCTTACTCGGCGTAGCAACCAATATCGGGAACAGCGTATTCAGTAACTCCGCCGAATCTATGATCTCTTTTCTTCGAAGGAGGACCAGACTTCCTACAATCTTTTCGCGGAGTTCGGACTCGAGCGAGGCGTGGTGGAGCGTGAGGATTGTTTTTAGGTCGGAGGGGAAGGAGGCTGTGTCTTCAGGGAAGCAGTCTGCGACATGGGCGACGAAGTCAATGAGGTCGCGGAAGGAGACGATGCCAGTCGAGGTTGCAGTTGTGGGCGAGGCAAGGAAGATGTCTCGCTGGGATTGGTATTGGCCATATTGGTTTAAGAAATCTTCGCTGTATGATCTGCAAATCGTAAGTCTCAATTCCAAATCCTGAAGCGTTGTGAAGACTTACTTTGGATCCCGTCGAATTTTGTACTGGAGATTGGGACTATAGCGGTCAGTATCGGTACGAGAAAAATTGGTGCAGGGAGGCTGACAGATCTGCATCAACCTTCTCCAGTGCGCCGACTCGTTTCTTGCCCATTGTTACTGTGGGTGTTTGGTGAGAGACGTGTTGTAGTGGCAAGCATCGTTGATTTCTATCGAAATATTTCTGCTATCATTTATCTTAGCGTCGAAGAGCCCTGCTAGCTCCAAAGCAGTATCACGTGTTTAAGCTACCCCTCCTTAAATGAAGGACTTTGAAAATAGTAGGTAAGGGAGCAGCAGAATAGCACAAATTTACATTCCTGAGCCCAATAAACTTTTGTTATCAAGGGAGTTGAGTGTACAACAGGGATTTGATAGGGGAGATTGTATCACGTGATATTCGCCTAGCACCTGAGAGTTGCTCACGTAGAAGCAAGGGCTTTCTTGCTTTTACAATCAAGGGCATGTAATTCATTAAAATCCCAAGATTCAAGAGTCTGACCTATGTGAGCATGTCGTAAACTCTCTCTGCCGGAAACCTTACTACGTGAGCCACCCCCCTAATTTTGCACATAAAGCCGATTTCTCTACTGTATAACCCAAGCAACCAATCCACCAACCACAACAACACAACGGATCTGCTTGTCCCCGATCCATGACTCGCAAACGCTGACGCTTTCTTCTTTCTTTATCAATATTCTAGACATCGTCACATAATATACCAATGGCCGCACCGACATTTAGTTGCGAGTTCAAGGGAAAGTTACGCTATCAAGGAGATATACAGTGTCATTTTAGAGCGTTGTCGGACGGGATATATTCCTCGGGCGATACAATGAGACGAGCGAAGTTCAGTTTTAGCTGATCGGACTTTGGTCTCATATTACCGATGAGACGGAGCATATTTAGAACAACGAAAGCTTCTTTGACACTAAGGTTATCTGGTGTTTGAAGAAATTCTAGAAAGTGAGGTTCAATTCAGGCAAAAACGGCTTGACTTTTCTATTGATTTTGCCTCAGATAAAGATACAAGTGAATGTCCAAGCATTGACGGAATCCTGAATTTGGTATATACAGACTGCAAACTCACCAATGCCAACCCTGCTGACTCCTTTTTCCCTTCAAGGAAGAAACAAAGCCCTTGCAAGCCTATTCCAAACCCAATCTGTGTAGCAAGCCCTGTTGTAACACCAATGAATGCCATTTCCTACCCTATCTAATCATCAGTAGTAAACCTCATCCTAACCCTCTCACTCTCAACCCAACTATCCCTCCTATTCTCACTCCTCCTCCTCCTCCTCCCACTCCCTCTCCTCCCACCACCACCCCCTCCAAGCGTCCACCCCACCATCCCATTCCTAACCACCGTTCTACTCCCCCTCCTCTTCTCATCCCGCCAACTCCTCTCACTCCTCCCATCAAAACTCCCCTCGAAATCCACACTCCCCCTGTGTTCTCTCCTGACATGCGCTCTCTTTGGTCTCCTAAGCTCCCCACCTCTCCTCCTCACCTTCCGCCAACTACTCCTCGAGCTCCCCAAGCTCGGAGATCCAGATCCATAGCTCGACTCATCATCGCGCCACCCCCACACCGGCCGCCAAAGCACACTCCGCCCATCAAAGCAGCATTTCCAAGCCAGCGCAAGCAACACCGCTAACCCTAAAAACGTGCCTAGCACGGCACCGATTACGACGCCATTATTGTTATCAGTCATCGTCTTCGCTGGCGTTGGGGCGACGGTTTGGATGAGGGTTGGAGCTGGCGTTGTGAGGGTCGGAGCAATTATTGTGCCGAGAGTGACGGTTGTGGTGTAGGTTGTGAAGTCGCGGGTTATGGTTTGGGTTATCAGGTAGGGCTGGGGTGTTTGCCTGATTTCGAGCCTTGTGCTCAGCCTTACCTCCACTTCGATAGGACTCGATATTGGTGCCATTGCAACAATAATGTTAACAATTGGTGATGATTCTCAGGTTGAAGAGAGCTGAGAGGAAGGGAATGTACAGTGGGAAGGCTGGAGACGGGATTGATATGGGGGAGGAAGTAGCAGCAGTGTGTTGGTGATGGTGGTGTGAGTGGCCCAGTTTCCGTGAGCGCTATCCTGAGACATTGAAACTGCTCTCGGGCGTCCCTACACGGTGTTCTGGAGCCGCATTGAGGAGCGGGGCATGAGACGGGGCTATAGGTGGCTGCATGTATAATGTGCCGGCCCGCTGCTGTCATTGATCAGTCCGGGGGAGGCTTGCATCATCACCCGATGCTTTTCGTGTGGCGTCCTGCAGCGGGGGGAGAGCTGAGATGGATCGCACCAATGAGATGCCGGATATGCTAGGCTTGATCTGCGGATTCGATGCCGGGTTGGTTGTGTCCAAGAAGCACAAATATTTCTTGCTGACGATGAGATTGCCAACACCGACTGCTGATCTGGGGCAGGGCCAATACGCATCAGTAATTCTTGTACAATTCTCCTCCGCTCTTTTGATGTAGCCTCCATCAGCAATGCAAGCCAAACCTTTGCCCTACCATTTCTGACCCCCTGTGAAATCGCCTCCAATATCACCATCCCAAGCAGGAAGGTCGCCATCCATTAGAGTCTGCCAGTATGCCCAATCAACAGGAGTAATCTCGGGCATATTGATGTCAACCTCAGGATTCCAATTCCCCCACTGTTGTTCGATATTGGTGACATTTGTGTTCTGTGGAAGAGGTGCAGGTGGAGGTGGTTCATTGGCATAGTCCATTATCCGAGGCGTTGAATATGGGTCCTTGTTCTGGATCTCAGCCAGTGGTCGAGGTGGGTCAGGGATGTTCCGCTGCGAGCGTAACAACGAGATGAACCGAGGGGGGGCCTGATATGAACCCATAGCTTCTTCCCTCATTGCCCATGCTTTCAATGCCAGATTGCCTATTGCAAAATATAGACTATTCTTCGTGTCGGTAATCATTTCAGGTCGATTTTCGAACGAGAATTTGATCTGCTGCCATGCCCTTTCTACTAGGTCTCCAGTGGTCCGATATCGAAGCTCACTCAGGAGATATATGAAGGCATCGAGCTGGAAATGGGAGGTGATATGCCATAAATATCCTCGAATAGCCTTGGAGGTATACCCGAGAGAGTCGTATTCCATCTCTTTCAAACTTTCGGTAAATAACATGTCTTTTTCTATCTGTGACATGGTTGCTCCTTTGTCCGGGTACTGGCGAGGGTGATGAGCCATTATTCGCATGGTGCAGATGACTGACTTGGCGACGTAAATAACAAGAAGGTGGAGAGGGATAGAGGGATCGCAGTGTTGAACGAACTGCTTTTCAAATTTGATCTCGAGCGCATCGATAGCTTTGTCCTTCTCGGCTAACAGTTCTGGGCTTGCGCCGGAGGCAATACCCCAAGAGCCATCCATATTAGTCGTAGTTCTTGCAGTTCGGAGTGCTTGTGCAGTCTCGTATCTCAGACAACAAAATATCATTTCAGTCGCTCCCTCCTTATCCTGAGGGGGCTCTTTCATAGTGGGGCTCAAGTCACTGTCACTGATATTCTTGGGTATCTTCGTATCGAATTTTGCCAGCCAGGCAGGGAACCCCGCTCCAGCGAGCTTTGAGGAGTGGCCATCGAGAAAGACGATTTGCCACCATGTACGCCGTCGCATCTCAACGTCAAACGGAGATATATCGTGCTTTGAGCCATCACGATGGAGGCCGAGACGTTGAGCAATACGAACAGATGTCCCAGTGAGGACCCATAGAGAATGAGCGTCGAAAACGGTTCGAACGCCAAGCTGCACAAATTTGATGTCAGCTACATTCGTGCCATTTATAGAGGACAAGCATGGGGTTTTTGAAAAGTCAAGGCCATTGCTCTCTACAAACTTCTGTAGGCAACAAAATATTCCGAAACGCGGCCAAAGAGAAGTAATCCACTCACCAAAAAGAGTACATAAGCTTGTAGCGTACTGATATTTAGCGATTTCAAAAATCTCGCACTGATCAAAGCCTGTTGTGTCCCATGGGCATATCTGGCTAATAGAGTGCTCCGCTGCTCGCCAAACATACTCTGGCAATCCTCATTCTGCAACGAAGTCACGGCTAGGAAGTATATACTAAACATCAAGGCTTCAATGTGTCGGGGGATGTTTCGAACATCTTCGCTTGCATCGAGTATAGTTTGTTGCAATGTTGGAGCGTGGACCATCTTTACCAAGGGGTTCACGTTTACCAGAAACGTCTGCCACAGACGGAAAATGTGGACGGGGTTTGGATGCATTGACCTGAGGTCCTTTGAGAATCCGTGTCCGACAAGAAGAGATTCTGGATTGGGAAAGAGTTCACCGTCATTCGATTCATCCTCGGAAGAGCCTTGGAGAGATTCTTTTGGGTCACCAATCTCGTCCCTCAGATTGTCCCATAAAGTGCTAAGCAAATTAGCACGTGATACATGGAACGGATGAAACGAAGTACTTCTCCACGTAATGTGATTTGTCCTTGTCAGCAAATAAAGCCCCTTTCACGGAATTCCTGCTTCTCGGGGCCATCATTGATATCACGCGGTCCCCACCTGGGAAGAAATCAGAGTGAGGGCCATCACGTCCTGGCTTTTCCAGCTCCTCATCGTCGATCTTGATGCCATGAGTCTTCAACAGATGCTCGCATTTGCGAAGTCGACCAGCGAGATCGGTTTCTGCCAGCCTTCTCTTTCTACGCCGTGGCAGGGTTGGAGCACTCGGGATACACTCCGCACGAGCTTTGATGCAGTTCCCACATTTAGGCTTCTGCTTGTCACATTTGACTTTTCGTTGTTGACATAGGACTATTCAAGGAGTCAGTTTTACTTTTTGGAATAATTCAGTACGCAGCACTTATTGGAGCGAGCGGCTTCAACGTACCACAGCTCCAGGCACATCTCGATAGGGAAGAATAAACGAGGTTGCATACCACAGGAGTGACCCCGAGTGATCTTCTCTGTCATTGGCAGGGCCGTATCGGGTGTCCCAGAAGGCGTTGCCAACATTTTAGACGGAATTGTAGTCGAGGGCAATGTGAAGTGAGTGATGATGGTGCACGATTCATCCGAGTCGGTTGGTTGTTGTCACGTCTCGGCAATTAGAACTTTCCGAAGACGGACCAAGTGTAAAACCACGCTTCACTCTTGGGACAAACAGTCCCTCGACCTGCCGGACTCTCGCAAGGAAGGCTGTAACTTCAACGAGATGGTCAGGGGAGCATTGGATGGAGCATAAGAGTCCTCAGGGGTGTTGTCGGCATGGATGAGGGAGATGTCAGACAGAGGACGCAGACGCAGACGCATGTCTGGTGAGGCTCGGGAGAAAACCTTCGTTTCGGATCCGAGGCAAGCGAAGCAAGCGAGAGTTCGCTCCCCCAACCAATCCCCATCTTCTTCTCCGCCCCAGATCGGCGCTTTCTGCAAGTCTATCTTCCGATTGCCAGTGACACGCACTGTTCGGAGAATATGGACAACCCCTGGCCTAAATAAAGCGCGGAAAATTGGGAGAAGTCCGGAGCAAGTATAAACAGTTCTTCAATCCCCCCCATCGATCGATGTTGTCACAGATGGCAAGCAAAAACACTATGTGCTGAGTGAGCCCTTCCAAACCTAACTCCAGCACATCACACAACACAAACGGGATAGGATGGAGGCCAGCAACAAAGGACAGTCTGTCACTAGCGACGTGGAGAAGGCCGCTCCCGCTGCAGTCAAAGGTGACGACGAAGAGGAAGATGAATATCCTCCCTTTGCCAAAGTGGTGTTTATCATGGCAGCACTCTATCTAGCGATGTTCCTTGTTGCGCTCGTGAGACTCTCAGCAGTTGAGTCCCGAGCACCAGTTAATCAGGTTAGGATCGAACAATTCTAGGGACGGCCATCCCAAAGATCACCGACGATTTCCATTCTATTGATGACATTGGTTGGTATGCAAGCTCATACCTTCTCACGCTCTGTGGGTTTCAACTCATCTATGGTCGATTATATACTTTCTATACCGGCAAATGGATCCTGCTCAGCACCATCCTTTTGTTCGAAATTGGGGTATGCAATTTCCAGCCCCCTTTTCTTTTTCTTCCCTTGCTGACATCCGAACCAGTCAGCTGTTTGCGGTTCTGCCCCCAACTCGATAGCTTTCATCATGGGGCGGGTTATTTGTAAGAACCCTGATAGACCTCTCTATGTTCGAGGCTGACTTCGTTACTAGCTGGTCTGGGGGCTGCTGGCATCTTCAGCGGTTGCATCAACATCATGGTCATCACCATACCCCTCCATAAGCGACCCATGTACCAGGGCATCTTTGGAGCCGTGTTTGGACTTGCTTCTATCTGCGGACCCCTAGTAGGCGGCGTATTTACCACCAAAGTCAGCTGGAGATGGTGCTTCTACATAAATCTTCCCATCGGAGCTATCGTTGTGGCCATCATCCTCTTCATCCTCAAAACGCCGCCCAAAAAGAACGAACTTACGCTTCGAGAACAATTCATCAAGCTCGATCCCATCGGTACTGTCTTCTTCCTCCCCGGGATCATTTCTCTACTTCTGGCGCTGCAATGGGGCGGAACAACATATGCTTGGTCCAACTGGAGAATTCCATTCCTATTCGTAGTGGCTGGCATCCTTCTCGGGATCTTTATCTTCGTTCAATTCAAAATGGGGGACAACGCCACAGTCCCGATCCGCATCATCAAGCAACGTAGTATTGCTTCTGGTGCTTACTTCTCAGCCTGCCTTCCTGGATCCATGATGCTGGTTCTCTACTTCCTGCCTCAATGGTTTCAAGCCGTCAAGGGAGTTTCCGCCATACATTCTGGTATCTCCACACTGCCAATCGTCATGTCGCTAGTTGTCTCTAGCGCTCTTGCAGGATTCATCACCGTCAAAACCGGATACTACGTCTCCCAACTCATCGCATGCACAGTCATCTTATCCATTGGCGCCGGTCTCCTAACAACTCTAAAAGTCGATACAAACCACTCCCTCTGGATCGCCTACGAATTCATCTACGGTTTTGGCCTTGGTTTCGGTATGCAGCAAGCAGGAATGGCAGCGCAAACCTGTCTCCCGAAGCAGGATGTTATGACAGGTGTTGCACTCATGTTCTTCATGCAAGGTTTGGGCGGAGCGTTTTTCGTACCCATCGGACAAGTCGTCTTCACACAGAGCTTGGTCAAGAAGCTCGGCTCTGTCGCTGATATCTCTCCTTCCATGATTCTACACAGTGGCGCTACGGAAATCCGTCATATCGTGCCTCCTCAAGATTTGGACAAGGTGCTGTTGGCGTATAATGGTGCCTTGTCGGATACACTCAAGGTTGGTGCGGCCCTTGCGGCTATCACGATTGTGGCGGGACTCACGATGGAGTGGAAGAGTGTTAAAGAGCCGAAGAAGGGCGAAGCCGTTTCTCCGAAGCCAGAGGAGAAGGTGGGGAATGTCCCTACCGACACTGAGAACGCCGAAACTGACCCCAGTCCACCACAAACACCTGAGCCGTTGGTACCGGAGAAAGTAGGAGTACAGCCGAATACGCGAGAGGATGGCAAGGGAAATGAATGATACCCCTCAAGTGGATGTGTATGTTTTGCTCCTCGCTCTGGCATGGATATTAAGTTTCCGGAGTTTTGGCTCCCAGCATTAGATTTGCTTGTTGAGCGACCTGCGTTGTGTTGATAGATACTCCTGTATGTAATGGATGTTGAGGATTAACACAAAATACTCGTCTCAAAATGGCTCGAGTACAGACTTCAGCCGAGGTGGCTTTACTCAGGCGGGTTATCTCCCAACATTCACACTTAACCTCGCTCAAAACCCTCTACCCCTTGGCCGCAAACTAGCGATTAAAGATTACCTGTCTAGTTCATCCCCATACTCTTTGTGAATCACATATTCCCGAATTGGGCGTAAATCCCCTCTATGACGCCCCGTCGAGTCCCTCGTCTCGACCCGACATGCACTCGCTCACTTCAACTTCGATTCTCCACCATAACCACCACAGCATTCCAACAAAACTAGCAACCAAACACGAAAACAAGATGTGCAAGTACTTCCTGCACGTCCCACCTTGCAGAAAGCACTGTACCTCTCTCACCATGTTGGAAGCAACGCTACCATTCACTTTTCGTGCAGTCTTTTCTGTTTAAAGGGACTAAGAAGAAGATGGGAGGAGAGCATAAGAAAGAAGTTATAAGGTTTGTGAGTGAGGGGATTTGTGATATTTGCAGATGCTGAGCCCGAAATCAAAGGATGGTGGAAGCGAAAGGGGAGGTTAACACCGCACATTAAAGGAGTTCGTAGGGCCAAGGTATATGAACGGGAGATGACTACGAGTCGTTGGAAGTACGATCACAATATTCTATTCAAGTCAGCGAGATGTAGTGAAGTGATTGATGACATCGATCGATCGCAAGCTCGGGGGTTGGATGTCCGAACAGGGCCTCCTTCATACTCTAAGAAATTCAAATTTCCCGACTGCCATACTTGAATTCATTGCATCAATCACTGACAGCAAGCAGCTTTCTCCTTCTCCCCCTTCCTTGCGCGCACAATCCCCTCCATATATGGCCCTACCCCTGTCTCCCTCTGAACAATCTCCACAATATGACTCCGACAGCTATAATTCTTCAACCCTTGAATCAATCCTTCGTTATCAAACGTCACCACGGCCGTCTCGTAAAACGGATCCAGGCTCTCTCCAAGTACATGCAGCTTATTCTTCGACTCCGAGAACACAGTGCTGGATCCATCGGCCGAAGTGGACACAGAGCGAGAGAGAATACGTCGTTCTGCGACGTGGTACTGCGCCAGGATCTCTTTGAGCTCGTCGATGGTGGCTTGTCGGCCAACACTGGGGGTTTCGAACTCGCGCATGCTCCTGAGGTAGGTGATGCAGTTTTCGCTGAATAGTGCGCCAAAGGCTGCCAACTCTTCGGGCGTTGAGGTGGATTTTAGGCTATCGATTGTATGGTAGAGAGCGTCCAGTTTGGCGTAAACAGCGTCCTCGTTTTTAAGTGCTGCCATGATGGAATTGTGCAAGTGTTCACGAGCCGGAAAGTGGGAAAATGGCAATTAATCAAGGTTGGGTTTAATTTCAGGTCGATGGATGATGGGTGTGAAGGTTGAGGATATGGGGTTTGAAGAAGAGCGGATTATACCGTTATATAGTAAGAGGAAATGGTCGGAACGGAATTATAATCTATAAAGTTTTGTGGCGTTGTGACAGGGAGGTAAGCAATTTGAAAGGGGGTTGGTCAGCAGGATGTGTTCACGCCCGTTCGTCAATACGAGCGGTTTACCAATCGGGCGCTACGATTGGTCAATCGGCCTTCCGATTAATCAATCGTAGCTCCCATTGATCAATAGGAAATGGAATACGATTCGCAAGCCACAGTAGGTCCCGATTAATCAATAAGGAGGCCGATTGATCAATCGGCTAATATTGAGGTCTCGGGAATAGCAAAAGCTTTACTATACATGCCTCCTACTACGTCTAGGCGCTCCTATAGCTACCCTAGCCCTTTTTGGTACCCTCCCCTCCACTTAATCACCTGATTCTCCTCCTTCTCTAGCTCCATTCTCACGTGCTTGCTTTTCAGCTACTCTCTTCTTTGCTCTCTCAGATACTCTTCCAGCCTTCTAAACTAATATAATTGAACCACGATTATTCTCCTTTACTACCGCTTTAGAGAGGGTGATTTTATCCCTCTTGTGGGTTGCACCAGTAGTAGGTAAATCAGGATAAGTTAATTGGGAGGTGATTTTATTAAGGACACTATACGGCCAGAGAGTAGTAAGCTCGCCATACTTAGTAGCTAAGCGGTAGCCCTATTTTAATTAGCTTTTATTAAAAGTAAGGCTTATAAACTACATACCTTTAGAGTCTTTTCCAGAACTCTTACTGGAATTCTAGCCATTTCCGTACCGAATCTGTATTGCTTTGGGATCTGGAGGGTTACAATCTCTTAAATATCATATTCAAGAGCTTTGGAATTCGCTCTCTTTACTATATTTTCCTTCTGTTTTCTCATATGCTCCGCAACCCTCCTAGTTAGCTCAGATAAAATCATCTCCTTAGCTACTTCCTCCTGTTCTGCTTCCTTATCTACGAAAAAGCTATCCTCTCTATCCTCTCCATTCTCTCCATCCTCTCCATTCTCTCCATTCTCTCCATTCTCTCCATTCTCTCCATTCTCTCTATCCTCTCTATCCTCTCCAGAAGCGCTACTCTCAGTAGTACCTTCTATAGGCCCTATAGCCCCTAGGGCCACACGTGCGCGGCAAGCACTCTTCTTATAGTCTAGGAAATCAGTAGGTGGCTTTCGTCCAAACCAGACCTCGTATAGTATATTTCCCTTAGGAAGAGCTGGTATAGCTGTGGTATTAATTACCTATGTGATTAAAGGAAGTAACTATATCCACGATTAGATACTAGTATCCGCTCGTACGGCCCGTAGTCGTTTTTTGAAGATTCGATTAGCCACTTTAATAGAGCCCTGAGATTGAGGATAATAAGCTCGTCCGCGAATAATCTTTATTCCTCTCTTCTTGCAAATCTTAATTACTTTTCCCTTAAACTCACCCCTATTATTACAGGCTAAAATGGAAATATACCCATTATTATTTAGCCATTTGATAAGCTCGTCCGTAGCTTCGTCCGTAGTCTTAGCCTTAAGCCCACGGATCTATACGAACTTGGAAAAGTGGCATTTTAATTACCAGATCCACGTATATTCTCCGTCCCGATTATACTATAATAGTATTAGTAATAGTAATACTATAGTATTAATAAAGTATGAATAAAAAGGTTCGGAATTTACGAAAATCGCAGGAATCGCGAAAATCGCAGGAAAAGCTTAAAAATGTACGAAACGTACGAAATGCAGAAAATGCAGGAAATACAGGAATATAGGGGTAAATCACATGACTTAAGGGATACTTATACGAAAATCCATTAAATCCAGAACCATATGCTTGCCAGGATAATGAGATTGGATAGGTGTAATCCCCTTAGGATTCTTCTGAGCCTTTTCCTTATTACAGTGAGTATAGCGGGCACTTATCCAAGCGTGGTCGTTACGGGATAGGCCATGCCAAATACGTCTTATATACTCAAATATAGTATTAAAGGCTATTATATAGGTTATTAGTATAAAAATTAGTAAATTCAAGGAATACTTACCTGTATATATCAATTTCTCATGAATAGTAGTCAAAACCTCAAAGGCATTATTATAGCAAAGGGTATACCGGGCTGGAATAATCTCATCGCGGCAAGTATCGTGGTATTCCTTATAATATACCTGATTATCCTGAAGCTCGTATAATTGGGATTCGTATTTAATATTAGCCTGGTAGCGCTTCTCTGCTTTTGTTCCACTAGGGAGTAAAGCATCAGGATTTTGCAACCACCATCTAATATCTATATGCTTCCTAGTAGTAAGAATTTTCCTACTACCGCCCTTAGCAAGCCTTTAATCCCATATAGCTTCGTCTTTAGCGGACTAATTATTAGTAGGGTCTTTAGTAATAGGGGAGGGCAAAAACTGAGTACCAGAGGAACGTACTCCTAGTATAGTAATATTAAAATATTGCTCTGCTCGGCTATAGATACGTTAACGAGGTATACGTAGGGCTGGAGATGAACGAAGGGTTGAAAGAGACATATTAGAAGTAAGGTAATTGATTGGGAGATATATAGAATCAGTAATTGTACTTGGAAAGTAGGTACTTATACTGTGAACTATGTACTATAAACTGTGTCTAGTAGTAAAAAGGGAGCAGAGGCCCTATATATATCTAGAAGCTCTGGAGAAGTGTCTTTACCCCTATTACATACTGAGAACTAAAGGGTTTCAGCCATTAGTCTTAAGGATATATTATTACATACTGAGAACTAAAGGGTTTTAGCCATTAGTCTTGAGGATATATTATTATATACTGAGAACTAAAGGGTTTTAGCCTCCTCAGCCCCGAAACCCCAATATTACCCGATTAATCAATCGGCCATTCGATTGATCAATCGGCCCCCTTATTGATTAATCGGGACCTACTGTGGCTTGCGAATCGTATTCCATTTCCTATTGATCAATGGGAGCTACGATTGATTAATCGGAAGGCCGATTGACCAATCGTAGCGCCCGATTGGTAAACCGCTCGTATTGACGAACGGGCGTGAACAGATGCAGTATGCGAGTCAAGGTGCCGCTTTTTGCTTTGGGGTACGGGGCGCTTACGCCATCTTTGGACAACTGGTTTGGAAGGTTGCACAATTGTCTCATATTATGAGGAGTCATTTGGAAGAGATGTGGGATGATAAAATTTAACTTCGCTTTCTTGTACCTCTTGTCAAGGTTGAAGAATTGAAATGGGTGAGATCATTGGTCAATTATTATAAGTAAGTGGGAACACTGGAGCATGCTCTAACTTGATTGCACTGCTAGGCTATGAATATTCAGGTATTGGAAGGGGCTAAGGTGAAGGGAAGATTGTTCTGGGTTACTTGAGAATCAATCGAAAAGGCAAGTGAACCTTGATTAATCAGAGCGCAATATGGCGAATGAGGCGAAAGATTGCTTGAGAAGCTGGCAGAGATTTTTCAATTGAGGGCAGCATTGAACGAGGACTAACGGGTTATTCGAGAAAGTTGAAACCACTGTTCCATATGAGGGACTTTGAGTACTGCGTTGGTGCTTGTGAAGTTAGAGGAATTGTTTAATTTTAGAAGGAGCTCTAAGAAGTCAAGTACTAATTGAGATGCAATTTTAGCATTTGTTCCAATTTCCAAATGTTCATAATTTGCTTGAAAAATGAACTACCTTTTGAAAGGTACTCCGAAGTGGGGAACGTTGGGGGTTTATTATCTCCAATGTTCACGCCCTTTCTAGAACATCCAAGATAGCTCTATGAACAATGTCTAGGACCTCTCTAGGACATTCAGAATTGGTCAAACTGTTCAGACCGTTTCTAGTCCCTGCTAGAACATCCAGGCTTGCTCTAGTAATCAATGTCCAGATTCTCCATAGAACATTCAAGATTGTTCAAACCTGAATGTCCACACCAGTGCCAGCTCATCCAGGACTACCTTCTCCACAAAAAAAAAACGTCTAGCTCCTATCCAGAATATTCCGAATTGCTCAACCCAAATTTTTTGGAATTAGAAAATCCAAAGTGGGGAACATTAGTTGAGTTATCCCCAATGTCTATACCCTATATAGTGCATTTTGAATATCTAAGTTCCTTTGTCTAGAGCATTACTGGAACATCCAAAGTGAATATTAGGTCTGGTAAAGTGAACTCGCACCGTCTCAGGGGTAGATTGAAATAAGCGAGCGACTACCGCAATTCAAAACAAAGAACTCCGACGTCGCCTTCACTAGGCTTATCAATATACCATGGACACGTAGCTAAATTTAAATGTCATATTCACTTTGGGAGCAATGATCCGATCTAAGGAATTAGCGTATTTCGTGTTTTCGAATATCGCGTCTTCGAAACCTGAAAACTTCGACGCAACATTGATCTCCATGTCCTTGGCGTGCCTTGGACACGAACGGTGAGTGCACCATCACTGTGAAGTCCAATTTGCACCTCTGATTTTACCATATCTAGGAAGAACGATGTGCTACTACATCCCAATCCTGCACCTGCACTGCGGCTGCACCACCTTCGAGCTCCCGGTCCCGAACCCATGCCGCGACGCTCTCAAAAACTCAATGCCATGCCTCTACATCCCCGAACCCGTCTCTCGTCCAACGTCGCTTGACTCAGCTCCGGGCCTCTCCTATACTCCCTCAACCGTCTCGCAACGATCGGACTCGTCTTGGCAAACACGCGGCAGCGCATCGAGCCTCATCGCACCAAATTACCAGCACCCAATCGACGCGTTCAAGGAAGACGATGTCGTGAAGGAGCTGACGCTTTGTCCGTTTCATGAGGAAGATTGGTTGGAGAGGGATATGCAGGAGAGTGGAAGGGAGAAGGTGGGCTTGGCGCATCGGTTCTTGGTGGAGAAACGACGACTGAGACGATTGAGGAAGCAGATGGAGGAGATGGGGCGCGGAAAGGGTGAGGATAGAAAGAGGAAGCGGGAGGAGGATTCACCAGAACGAAAGTACAAACCCCACTTGTGGCAATTTTAAGTGGTTGGGCGTGAGCTTGGTCCTCTGGATGTAGCCTTGTCTGCTTCGGACAATGGGAATGATAGCATGGTCTCTGCGGGGTAGAATGCACCACCTCAGTTGTGCGACCTCTAAGAGAAATAAAGGATGTGATAATTACCCTTCTTGTTAGATGTGAGACGAAAAACGTGAATGTCCCAAATCACCACTTGACAATTCCCAAACTGACACCTGCAAAACACAACCCTACGAAAAATCGTGAATGCCCCAAAGTGCTCTTGTACCGCCCGTGAATAGGAATGCCTTGCCTTGGTTATCATGTCAAGATTAAAATACCACGACAAGATATCTCCCTCCTCTTTACCCCAATCCTCAGCTTTCCCCGCCAACAAACAAGAAAAATGTGCATCTACACAAACCGCCGCTACAACCCCTGCTGGTGCAGTGACTACTACGTTAAGTTCTCTAACCGCTGCGAAAAGTCCCTCCACTCTGCCTCAGGGGGAACCATGTCCCCAGCCTACTGACCCCTTCATCCTTTCTTCTCTGGAAAAGGAGGAATTCGGCTACTGCGACTGGCACCTTAAAGTAAAGGAAGCGGAGTACCTTGCAAAGGGGATTCCGAATCCTGCATACAACCAAGCGGAAGAAGGGGCGCTGCAAAAGACGGACACGGTTGCGAATACCAGATACTCGGATCCAAGTCCAGAGGGCAACGACAAGCAGGGAGATGGACTGGGGATTCGAACATCAAACACAATCCCACAATCACCGCCTCCAGAAACTTCACATCGACGATCCGACCCAAATCTAGACGTTGTACCAAACTCTTTCCACCTCCCAGCAAAGCAGCTTCAACGCTCCAAAACCTCGGCACAGCGCCACTCTCAACCACCAGACCCAAATCAACAACCCGTTGAAGTTCCCAACCCCTGGCACCCGCAGAATCTTCAGCGCTCCAAAACCTCAGCACAAGTTACAACTGGAGCATCTCACCCCGATCCCCAATTACAACACATCCAACGCCCCAAAACCACCGCCCTCCCTCCCTCTCACGCTCAGAATACGGGTCCCACTCCACAATACATACCCATCACAACCCAGCACCTCCTCCCCTCTAAAACAACCGCCCTATCTCCACTTCGAGGAACAAAACCAGTGCAAGTAGCGATCAGGGACAGCAATGGATTCTTCATATCACCAGAGGCATTGCAGCGGAAAGGGGAAGAGGAGCTCCGGAGAAGGAGTACCGACGCACCACTCTCCCCGCCTCCACCGCTCTCAGATCGAGCATTCCACAGCCCATCGAAGTTCGGGAACTCGGATCCGAGTCTGGCATCACCCCACAGAGCTCGACCTGGCTCGGGTTCTGGTTCGGGTTCGGGAGTGGATGGTGATCCCCTGTCGGATACGCATACTGAGGCTAGGGAAGAAGCGCGGACACCGAGGGAGATCAACCAGCGCACGGGCAAGCGCAACCGTGTCTCCTTCGTGTATGGAAAGCCTGATGTTGCATTGACCGGTGGGATGCCACATGAAACAGATCCCGATCTTTACCCTCGACCTCTCCAACCACAGCCAGCCCAAGACCCGCAGCAAACGGGGGGTGGGGAGGGGGGTTGGAGAGTGAGTGGGGTGCTGAGATGGATGGGTGGGATTGGTCAGGGGCAGGACGTCGAGGATGATGAAGAGCTTAGAACGAACTATGTATCCTCGGACGAGGAGGGAGGAGTGAAGATGGTTGATAGGAATCGGTATGGAGGTGGAGGTACGCACCAACTTCAATCACAAGCACGGCCTCGCCAAGATCCAGCCCCCCTAAGGCGGTCTCCAACGACGGTTGAGAGGAGGAAGAGTGAGAGAAGGGCTAGCTAGAGGTAGGTGGTGTGGATGGAACTATGCAGTGGAAATATGGACCAAACCATTTATCAACTGCGTCGTAATTTAGGTTCTTGCCAGGGATGGACTACTGGGTCCTGTGATGAGGGAAGTGGAGCAAAGTACTTTCGAACGACCTTGCGATGAGCTCGAGTAGCATAGCAATTGATCAGAGTCCTGTCAACAATGCAGCACTCGCTGAGCTGATAACTGATTCAGAGCAGAGAAGAAAACTCGTCGCAACCATGTTGAAACAAGCATCGAAGGCATTCTGATAACGATGCGTGAATGAAGAAGTGACCAAACCATCAATTTCAACCTGAGAAGAAGAAACATCCACACAGTAACAATAACACCACCACCAAGGAAGCCACTTGCTTCTCCACCTCCTCAATATAAACCCAACTCATCATCCCGTTCCTTCCCCCTTCTCTAAACCGCGGCAACCCAAACCCAATCAACAATGTGCAAATACATCGTCCTCTCCTACACCTTCTGCAGCTGCAAATACTGGCTCCTCGCCGACCGGTGCTCCAAAGCTCAGGGCAGCGACAGCGGCTGTCCACTCTTCCCCTACCCAACACCAGAGAAACCAAACGAAGCGAAGGAAGGAAGATGCGAGTTCTGCGAGGATGACTATCTAGAGCTGGAGGCGGGGAGTGAGAGCTGGTTTCTGAGATAGGGAGACGGTCACTTGACATCCACGTGATAACATAATATAACATAACGTGACCTTGTCTCCGCTCAACTACCCTAGGAGAGAGAACGTCGAGGCGCCAGATCGAAACCCTGGCGGCTGGCCACCCGAAGTAACCAAATATCAAACATCGCAAAACTCAATCCCTTTCCCTTTCGCAGAAAGAAGAAGAAAAAACCCCCTCTGCCCCCCCCTCCAGAAAGCGTGACACGACATGACATCACCGCCCGCCTTGTCCTCCCCACCTCCCAAAAATAGCCCTCCCCTCCCCCTTCTGCTGTCTCACTCTCACCTACATGCACAGCACCAAACCCTCGCAGAGCCCCCACAAAAACCTCCTTCTCCCTCTCCTCAGCCGGGCGCAAACCCCCTCTCATTCCATCCTCGAACGCGTGGCATATCCTCGGCCTCGCTTCGCTCTCTGCTTTCCCCTGCAACCTCGACTGCAACTGCCCTGCCAAACCTTACTTCGGCATCCTGGCAACTCAAAGATCTTTTCGGCAGCCGATTGCGCATGAAAAGAAAGAGCAGCTGGTGAGGAATCGTGCTGTGCTGACTTTCGTTTACGGTGTCGCGCAAATGAATGGTGAGCGTATCAAAAAAGGTTTAGGGTGAGGAAGGGTCTGACAGATCAGATCAGTGGACCGACTGCACGATGATGGAATTTATTTGAGATTCCAAAGGTTCGCGAATACGACCCGCTCCCGTATTGTCTTGCGCAGTATTTGCCGGCCTATAGCCGCAAGCTTCGCGGCCGACGAGAGGATGCTTCCTTCCTCCTTTCCTCCCTCAACTGACTAAAAAAAGGTGAACACGTGAAGAAGGAAAGTCGATAATTACTGTACTGTAATAATGTATCATCCACCCTAAGGACTTAGAGGAAACAACGGACCTTCGATTGGCTGCTGAGAGTTGAGGCAACACATCAACTCATCAGCACGATCCCCTCCCCCCCTTTATGAAACGAAAAAAGATCCGTTCGATCGCCGAAGAAGTGACAAAATTAGAAACGAAACATATATTCCGTCGCTGGTAAGGCTGATCTCGCCATCTCGCGAGAAAAGGGTCCACCTCATCACGGCATATATGATCGCTTCGGGACTGACTGCCGGATGAGCGCTCAGCTCTGCTGGGATGCCGACGGTTACTACCGTTGAACCTTTGAGTCCAGACTGGGATGGGGATGGCGACACGTTTGCATGATGCGGAGGGAATGAGGCAATTTGAGGCGTCCCAATGAGGCTGGTTATGCTGCCTCTTCCCCCTGCCTCAGTCCCTGACCCTCACGAGTATTGAACCTTAACCCACAGCGTCCCACATACAGTAATGAAACTTCTTCTTGGCACGTTTTACCTGGCGGGGCGTCTGCTCTCGATGTTGTGAGGTGCTTGATGCACGAGTGGTCGTCTGAAGTTGACGGGTTTGCAGCTTGCTGACACGGGTTGTCTGTTCACCGCGAGATTTGGAGACCCGGCTTCATGTTGATTGTCTCCCAGATAATCAATTCTTGTCAAACGTAGGGGTGGCTGATCAGGACCAGTGGTTCTGGAGATTGGGCCCAGATTCCAAATCTCGTGAGTATCAGAGGCAAATCTCCTCCACCTCGGCCCCTTTCTCGAGAAGTCAGGCGAGGGGAGGGCCAGCAACGGAGCAGCTTGCCAGATCGTGTTGTCCCTCTCATGCCATTTAAGAATCTGCTGAATGCACACATCACGTCCGAGGCGTGAGCAGACCCAGGCTGGCGATCTCCGATTTGCATCGAGATTTGCACACTTGAAACGTGAAACGGCGTCCCAGTGATGCTATTTTGGTGAGGTTTCAGTCCACCTTCAGTCCACTTTTCTCGGGCTGGAAGTGGAAGGGAGCTAGAAGCATGAAAGAAGGGATGAAGAACACTCCACATGCCGATGGGGGGCTTGACGGGCGTGTGCTAAGTCAGCAGCGGGGCCTGGCGAGCGGGCCAATCATGGCCACACGGGGAATGGCTTTTCGTCGGGGACTGATTGCTCCGCTTCGTGTGGAGCCAGCTGTGATTGGCACATTCCTCGGACCCGAGCGGGCTTTTGAGTTTTGGCCTGAGCAGGACGTGGGTGGAGCGTCGAGCTGGGAACTTGGCAGAAGGTGGTCTTTGCCACGCGGCGGGTCGGTCAACGGTGGGAAATGGCGGCCTGTGAGTGGCCAGCGGCACTGCGCCTGGCCCCCTTGCGCTGCTGGTGAGGCAGTGCTGAGTGCATGAGCGCGCAACTTCACGGAGGTAAATTTACAGTAGGGGGCCGAGGGGGCGTCTCAAGAAAAACGAGCATTGAGCACCCAGCGAGTAGAGGAAGAGGAAGAGCGCGCACAATAAAGGCCCCGGCCAGTCCGACTTTCCGAGCTCCTCTGGCACAGCACAAGTATCTCTTCCCTCCCGCCGCCTCCCTCTGTACTCTCTCTCTCCATAAACATCACCAGCTACCTACAACAGGACCATACCGTACCGTATCAACCAACCCCGTCAGCAGAAGATCACCCGTTTCGCAGCGCAATCCCTCCAGCCGCAGCAGTCTTCATCTCCCCTCAGCCAAAGGAATACGAAGTGCCGGTGCATCGTGCTGCGCATCTCGAGTCGTCGGAGCTCGCTTCGTTCGGACACTGGACTTGGCGCTTCCGCAGGCCACGCGTCCTCTAGCCGGGCCTGAGCAGTCTTCAGGCACCCAAATCTCGCTCTCTTGACCTCCGCCGTCCCAGTCCGAACACACTTCTAGTCAACACTCTCCAACGCCCCATCCAGAAACAAAACAACTCGAAAGACTCACCGAGCCTTCACTTTCGATACCTTCACGCACGGCGAGCAACAATGTCGACCTCATCGCAATCCTCAACCTCAATGTCGCACTCAAACTCACAGGGCAGCTGCCTCGATCCCCTGGACTCGTTGCTGGACCTGTCGGAGTACGATAAATTATCCTATCAATCACCCTCCATCTCTCCATCGGCGACCAAGAGCCAATTCGTGGGAAGAGCAGTCTCAAACACACCAGCAACCCTCCCATCGAGTACGCAACAAGACCTCAGCGGTCCCAGTCACAACTATGGCATGTACAAACAACAGACCGGCATTCCCCAAGGCGCCGTCGCCAGCACCTTGGCCGTCAACCAGATGAACCAATACGGGTACGCAGACAGCTATCTCGCTGGCATCGGAGGGGTCGACTTCGGCACTGCTCCAGGGCGAAATGGGTCTTTCAATCAGGATATGGACATGGAATTCGATTCGCCATTGGGAGAACCCGCCTTCTTCTATCCCGAACAATCATCACCGGAGTTCGTCAATCCAAGCGCCATTGGTTCAAGCAGTCTTTCACCTTCTGCTGTTCTCTCTAATCAGACCAGCAATGTCGGTCGTCTCTGGCCTGGCATGCATCAACAGCAAGCTGCCCTTGCAAAGGCCCAAGCCCAACAGAAGCAACAGCAACAAATCATCCAGCAACAGCGGAACAATGCTATGAGTGGGCACCAAAGACAACCATCGCAACAGCGCTCAAGAGGATCTCATCCACCTGCTGATCCTATCGTCGAGGAAAAGATCTCTCAACTCTTGAACTCGATGAGACAGAGCAGCGTCGCTACTGAGGATGGTGAGGGCACCCCAAATGCCAACCACCTGTCACATGTTCAACGTATGCGAAAGGAGGAGGAAGATATGGATGAGGATGAGCGCTTGCTTGCTAGCGAAGAAGGAAAGAAACTCAGCAGCAAGGAGCGACGCCAACTCCGAAACAAGGTTTCCGCTCGCGCCTTCCGTTCAAGGAGGAAGGGTAAGAACTATCACCACACATCTCATCAACACATGCTAACTCATCACAGAATATATCTCTCAACTCGAAGGTGAAATCGCCACCAAGGTGAACGAGAACACCGACCTCCGTTCCCAGAACCGGGCTTTACTAGAAGAGAACACCCGTCTCTCAGACCTTACCCGGATGCTCCTCTCCTCGCCCTCCTTCTCCGGCTTCCTCGATACCCTCGCCTCCAACCCGCAAGCCGCTCAAACCGCCCAAGCAGTCCAACAACCTCAACCCCAACAACAGCAAATCGAGCAACCACAGCGCCAAATCCGAAAAGACGTCAACCCGTACGCGGCTCAACAACAGATGCAGCAGCAACAAATCGGAATGGCCATGATCCCAGAACACAACATGGACTTCTCCCTGCTGGACCTGAACGAGAATGGCGCCTTCTCCTACCAACCACAGGTCTTCTCCGTGCTCAGCTTGCCTGAAGCCGTCATCGACACAGAGATCCTGTCCGGCAAAGGCTCCTCATTCACGCCTCTCGCTTCCGATGACGAGAAGGTCGAGCTGCCAAAGGTAGAGCGCATGCCCGTCTCTGAGCCCTCGAAGGTTGAGCTCCCTGCCGTCGTAGACGAGGAGTTCGATGCTGATCCCGCTTTCGCTCTGTTTGTCTCATCGCCTGCTACCTCCACCGTTAAGTCAGAGCCCGAGCTCGATCTCAGCTTCCTTGCCAACCTGTCTCTCAAGCCTTCGAACTTCGAATTCGTCGTTGTACCAGAGGTCGACGAGGCGACTGCTGATGCTGCGATGCGACGTGTGGAGCGGTTATCAGCTGACATGGATGCATGCTTAGAGAGACTCTCTCGCCTCTCATGTCATCTATAATCTCCCCTCAGCTTCGGCTCGGTTGCATTGTCGTTCTTGCTGCGATTTAGCGTGGGCTCAGGTGGTTGACATGGCGTTTCTGCTTTGCTTCACAATCTACTTGTGTCTCGTCTCTTTTGTTATCACGGGGTTTGTATCATGGAATGGGAAGGAAGTTGGGGTGCAATGATTTTATGAATGAAGGTTAGGAAGTGGAGGAAATATCAATGGATTGAAATCATGGAATGGAATGGAAGGGTTTTATTCGTCGCTTATTATATTATAGAATCGCTTCACCCACAAACAAAGAATGAAAAAACATTATAAAACAGCACTCTATCTTCTGCATCTCATCGTGACATTGTCGTTCATCATCTTCCTTCCGCTTGCGGCACTTGTGCTTCCCTCACACCCACTTGATTTCGATCGTGATCTCGCCCTCGCCCCACTTGTGTGGAATGGAATGGAGTAGCGTGGAGCGATGGCCGGGTTGAAACTCTCAGCATACAAAACACGAGACATCCATCGACCGATCCCCATACCCTCACTCCAAGCAACAGACCGACTCCAAACCGGCTCCACTCCCCTTCGACCCACGCACTACAGCCAGCGCCCCAAAAATACAAATATCCACAGTTCCATGTCCCATCGCATCGGGAACCACGTCGCTGCTATCTGTGAGACTGTATACTATATATACCAGCATTCAGACGACGACGCCTTGCTGGGAAGAAAGGCCGCAGCTCAGAAGGCGGCCAGGACATCGAGCCGTGCTCAATACCTCTGTCCGCCCTCTCGCAACACCGTCTTGCATGAGCTAAACTGAGATGCACTGTCCCCAGTGCCTCAATCACACGCCCACCAGCAGACGACATGCAACAAAGCCGTCTGTCCCTCCGCAGCACCTCGGTCCAGCTACTCGCCACCATCTCTCCCATGAAGCCATCACGTGCCATGGAACAGTAAAGCAAAGACCGCCCTGAGACCACGTCGGTCTACGTATAATAATATACATAACACTTAGCTCTACAGTATTATTTAGCCGGCTTTCTTCCTGCTATCAGGTGGCGGTATATCGGGACGTGGGCCGAAGCCGCTGCGACCCGAACCCGAACCCGAACCCGAGTCGCGCTATCTCTCATCACCGGAGTTCAGCGGGACACCAAAAGGGAATCGAGCGCGAGCCGAGCGCGAAAGCGGTAAAATGTGCAACACACTTAACGTGTGCGGATATTATCTGAGATCTAGAGGACTTTCGAGGAAAGGGGAAGGGGCGGGGAGATGGGTAGCTAAATGGGAATGTTGATGGTGATGAGACGAAACGAAACGAAACGAAACGAAACGAAACGAAACGAAACGAAACGAAACGAAACGAAACGAAACGAAACGAAACGGGGAAACTAGAGGGACTAGGGATAGAGTATGTGATGTGGAATGTAGGGATTGAGGAGGGGGTAAGATTGTTGGATTGCGTTGTGCGAGAGAGCTCGGTTGGACCGCGAGGGAGCTACAAGGGCACCGTGAGAGAATTGTAAGGGGACAAGATGTAATCTGTAGTAATCCCTTTTAGTGTGGAGAACGGCGTGACTAGAAGGCGAAGAGACGGTGAGTAGAAACGCGATATGGGACGAAATTCGAATACGAGGTAACGTAGGAAGAAGAGATGGTGGTGGTGGTGGTGGTGGTGGTTATTTACGTCCGAGAGACCCCCCGAAGGGTATGAGGACGTGCTAAGCTAAGGATCTCGTTGAGAATACAAAAGTCCTATTTACAAAGGAGCCAAAAACCACAAGGAGCGAAAGGAAGGACTCCTTCCCAAATAGCCCCGGGTCGCTTATCCCGCGGTGTTACAGTGCCCTTGCCTTAGAGAGCATCTCATGCCGAAGCGTGTGACCGCCTAGTTACTCTCATTGCATAACTAGTAGGGCCTTTTGACTGCTCGCTTCCCCGACAGTTAGGATGGCAACCAGAATGTGTGTGCTATCCGTAGAGAGTTATCTTAAGCGAGGAAGAGATGGTGGAAAGACAGGGAGTGTAATTGCGATAGAAATCCGAAGCCGCAGGTTAGACCAAATCAGTGCAGTTTCGCAACTGTAGTGCGGTGATATTCAAAGGAAAGTAAGGAGGAGCGTGACCACGGAGATCCTGGAAAGAGGTCACACGAATATCGGGATGATATAGAGAATAAAGGAGAAAACATAGACAAGAAGGTAGGCGCGATACGCAACAGAGTAAGGAATATACGGCGTGATTAGTGTATGTATAGATGTGGTTGACGGTGCTATGAGGTTGTTGTGGCAGAAGCGAGAGGGGAGCGAAAGGGGAGCGAAAGGGGAGCGAAAGGGGAGCGAAAAGGGGATGATCTGATCGAGAAATAATTATTTGCAAAGCTTCAACAAATTACCAAAGCGAAGCAGGAACGAGTTTGTAAACAAACATGCGATATGCAACAAAACCCCAAGTCGTCATCCGACAAGTGAATATATTGCAAAGTTGTCGAATGTCGTCCTTCACTTCGAAAAGGGGAATGGAAGCGAAGCGACTCAGGGGGCCACACGTGACAAGAGTACTCAAAGTAAGGTCGATAAGGTCGACTGTCAAAGGAGTGCGACTTCTGCAATAGACAAGATAAGATGGCTTCGGTCCGTATTCCTGCTATACACAACAAAAATCCCAAGAAAAATCGAAAACATTAGGTGCGGTGCGTCCACCTTCCTCGCCTCCTCCGATCCCACAAAAACAACCATCACTTCCTCCCTCCACCTCCACCTCCACAATCCAACCTCACCACATCGAGCCCCTTACATCGGCACTCCACCGCGACGTGCAACAAAACCCTCATTCGCGATGGCCCTCCACCCCCGAAAAAAGAGACTTCTTCAACGCTGCTTTGCTTAGGTCTCGATTACTACGTCGGCCCCACCTCTAAGCCCAGCGCTCCACCTCTCCACACGGAAACCCACATCCGTCCCGTACGGGCCCAGCTTCCCCGAGCGATGTGCAATAAATAAAAAAGCCCATCAACCAAAACCCCAGTATTGGTTCCAGACCCTGCTTTCCTCTTCCTATCTCTGGGGGTTCCCGAGAAAAAGAAAGGGAGGGATGGGGTTCTTGGCACGTAGCGGCGGCGTGTCTCGGATGGGGGTCTCGCTTGGCGGGAGGGAAAAACACAGATGATGATGAAGAGTGATGGATGGATTAGAGAGGGTTTGGGAGAGGTTGGGGAATCAGAGGGTTTGTGGAGGATTGAGCACTAGGCTATGTTATGAAGAGGTTCTGGGATTCAAGCTTGGATGGTATTCGCACTTGCGGTAAGAGGAAAGTCGGCAATTTGGCTTTTCGTGCGAGAGAAGGAATGGCAGAAAGGAGAAGAGTACACATGCAAGTTCAGTATAGAATGCAGGGTGGGTATCACGGTCGAAATTAGTCTACTGTCTACAATACATACATCTTCATCCTTCAAATACAAGCAAGAAAGTCCATTCGTTAATCATTAATCAGCCCCAAGGCAAGATCTTGCTGATCCAACTCTTCTCGTGCTTCCACATTCCCGAGAAATAATGTTTGACCAGGATATCCGGATTTTTGTGATCCTCTCCCTGGATCACTGCAAATGCTCGTTTCGGAAGCACAAGCACGTCCTTTATCCTCACTGCGGTTTTCAGGTCCCGGAGTTTCTCGAGTTGTGAGTCGGTGCAGTCGAGATATGCGAGCACGGCGTCCGTCCAGACGCTGGGTCCCGTCCAGTTCATGACGTCTGCATCTCCGTTCTTGTCCGCTTGCTGCTTCTTCAGGAACTCAGGTGTTCGCTCTGTGATCCGGGTCAGAGCGTCAAGGAGCACGGGGTGTGAGGGCGCAGAAACTATCGTCCATTGGACGAATTGTGGAGAGCGGGGGAGACCTTTGGTGGTGGCGTCTCCTTCGAGCCCCACGATGAGGGAAGGGGGGCCTTTATTCCCTTCTCTTGATGGACCCATGACTTTCCATGGTAACGCCTTCATCATGTGTACATCCAGGTCATTATACACCCCTCCCCGTCCAAACATGACCATGTATCGACAAAAATCCGCCTTCAGCACTCCAGAGGGAAACAGCTGGAAGGCCTTAGAGTAACTGGCATTGAGCTCCTGTGCCAGCTCCGAACAAGCATCCTCAGTCCAGTACTCTACTTTCCAACCTGACTGCTGCCATGATATGCTGTGGCTATTCGGCTTGAATTTGGGCATCGCGATCATAACATGGTGTATCGCCTTCGGTATCTCAATCTCGAGGGGAGGTAACGATTCGGTTTCTTGGTCTGACTTGGGCGCAGGGTCTCGGCGGATATAAACGATTATTAGGAAGAGGGCGTATATTGGAACCACGATCCGAAGGAAAGCGAGAGGCCGTATCATAATGTGTTTTGGGAGCAGCGAAGTCTGCTGGATGACATTGGTAGACGATGGATGCCAACCAATTCGTAGAAGGGCGGTTTGCCAATGCGTACCCAGAATACCTCAGAACTCGAGCCTCCTAACCCAGGTGTGTTTGTACTACTCTTCTCCCCAAAGCAATTGGACCGAAGCCAGCAGACTTGGACGACGACCCGTCTGCGCAGAGCTGCCCAACACAAGCTGCAGATGTCCGCTCCAATCTTGACGCGTCTGGTTGGCAGACTTTATGAAATCTAAATCGTAATGTCGGCTGGCACTGGCAACCGGGATGACTAGAATCGTTATTGTATCTTCGAATGGCTAGGAGGGAGCTCCCTTATTCGAGGATCTGAAGGAGCACAACAAGAGCTGCTGTCTCTGCATCGGCGATTGCTGTCGTTGAAGGTAGGTCGAGGCGGCAGAAGTGAACGTGAAAGATTGCGGGCTGGTGCTGTGCTCCAACGAGCTCTGCTATGACGCTGTACCACTTGCGCCGGCGAGCATTGAATCGTCCCAAGACACTGGGAGATCAAAAGGGTTGTGCCGTCGATCGGAAAGAGTGAGCAGGCGTCAGTTGAGAGAACTCTCCACCGGACGAGAATGAGCTTGAAGTCGGATGTCGGCTGCCATGCCTCGCGTGTCATCAGCCTTCCCTGATTGGCGCATTGGCGCTTTAGAGTTTCGGGGTCCAAGGAACGGAAAGCCGTACGGAAAGCCGCAGGATGTGCCAACGCGTTTCCCGCTTCCCGCTGCGGAAAGCGAGAAGTGGAAAGCGAACTTCGAGAGTTAAGGGTCGCGCGAGAAGGCTATAATTATAGGCTTCAGATAACTAAATTATAGGGCCACCGCTAAATTAGAGGATAGGGACTAAAAATTTAGTGCTTAACTTTTTCGTGGCTGGTGGTGGGGTGTGGCACAGATTTTTGGGAGTAGTGAACGATGCAACATTTCATTTGCATCCATATCTTACAGTATCATCGTTGATGGCATTTTGTTATTTCTCGCTATCCCCTTGATACAGCAGGAATATTGACCATTACTATCTCACTATGTAACTCCTAGGTCAATTAGACTCCCCAGACACCAGTAAACGCCCGTCGCAAACCGATCATGCGGAGGACTGCCCAGTCAAGCAATTGTAGACTCAAATACCATCTTCCCAGGCTTGTCATAAACCAACCCAATCCACATAAAACGCTTCGCCAATTCCTGCATCTTGTTCCAATCGTCAATCACACACAAGCTAATATTGACGCGCAACAAAGGTTTCAACCACCCATCATCACTTTCATCAAACACCGACACAGACCCAACCATCAGGAGCCAGACCATAAGCTCCGAGGTAACGCGTTCAGACGCGATCCCCACAAGGCAACTTCTGAACATTGAAGTGAAGTGAGGATAAGACATCCCCAAATGCTTCCACTGCAGAAAAACACTGCACAAGAAGGCAACCAGACCAAGGCGAATTGCCTCGTCTTTAGACCCAGTCTCGAAATGCATATAGAGGAGGCGGTACACGACCGAGGCCATGGTGTCCAGGAAGGTTTCCGTGGAGATGCGCAGTTCAGAATCGACGGCGAAGTTGATCACGGAGCAGAAGTCGGAAATGATTGTCCAGGCTTGAGCGAGCTCGTGATCAATGTCCTCAACAAACGTCGCTGAATCATGCTTGGAGTCTGTTTTTCTAGGCTTCGTCAATTCAACGAGTGATACCAAGTCCGGGTATGAAAGGAAAGGGTCTCGGGATGGGTTGTTGAAGAAAATGGGTTTTGAGCCGCCGTGAAGTGCAATACCAATGTCGCACCTGTTGCAGTTAGGACCTTTTCAGAAACCTATCACGCGTGCTGAGTCGTACCTAAGTATTTCGACCAGAAGCTTTGCGTTCTTTCTAAAGGAAGTCACACCTCCTCTCAAGCATACAATTTTGTAGAGACCTTCCATGTGATACCTGGCAGACTTGAAATCGCCGGTTAAATGTGCATGGCCGACGAGACCCATGATAGCAGCCACCGTAGAATCAGAAAGTTTTGCCTGTTCATCATCATTCGCAATCCTCTCGCGAAGAAGCCTAAGTGTCGTGAGAAAGTGCGGCATCGACCGTCGGCTTATATAGGCGGATCCCCCGGACTGCAGTGCGTCGAAATAGAATTGTGCGCCGAAAATCATGGCGTGAAGGTAAGCAGGATCAACTGCTAGAGGTGCTATCCAATTCTCTGCTCTTCTGTCGAAAAACATGCACCTCTCTAGAGGAAACAGCATCTGTTTGGCAATGGAGGACACTGTATTAACGCTAGATGAGCCGTCTTCACAGGAACAGAAATCGCCGGGGTCAACTCACACTGCAGAACGACTTCGATTGTCCCAGGTTCTAGAGCATCAGCAAAACTGATTGTGGACATACCCGACCCAAGTTTGCGGGGAATGGTGAGCGGGAGGACAGGTTTGGGGTGGGTGGCCGTGATGGAGGAGGTCGCGGAGCCAGTAAGGCCCTCATCGGGGTCTGAGGCCGGTGGGGGAGCTGGGTCGGAGCTTGAAGATGACAGCGTTTCCACCATCTTAGTCTTTCGTTTCCGAGGGGGGAGTTTCTTCCCTTGATTCTTCCCGAGCATGACATGGCTTCGAATAAGCTTGCGCAACTCTGGATTAGGTTTCTCCAGTCCATCCGACATCAAAAAATGCAACCCAATTAATCCACGAGAGCTCATATCTAAGACTACGACCGGCGGAAATAGAGGATCGATCCTATCACACTCCGGGACTTGTTCACTTGAGGGCTCGGTGGCAACAGTTATGCAACAAGTCCAAAATCGGCGTACAATGTCAAGAGGGAGTCAGGCTACCAATGTCCACGCGTCGTATGAGTGCCGATATCTTGTCCCAGCGGAAGGAATAAAGTAATGGATAGATAGAGATAGAAAGAGAGAAGAGCGGTGGAAACGCAGTAGACAACAAAAAAAGACGGGAGGAATTGTGGAGAGGTTATATCGAGATTGTATGCCGTTTTGGGTCTAGCCTCACTCAAGTGCATTCAATTGGCTTCAATTGGCCGGGATGTCGGAAACATGACTTCCCCAAACTCCGCCCCCTGCTTACCGAATCCGATTGCGAGTCAAGATCTCAAGAGCCAGCTTGAGATATTTCCGAGAGCGTGTGATAAACTCCTGGAACGGAATTTGCCCTGAAGGCATAGAGTCTAAACCGTGAACGCTATGCTTGAAACAGCATGCAATCTCACGTCGACTGTGAACTCACGGGATGGCGTAGCGCAATGGCTCTCGGATGAGCTGCCTCCATAGATGTCAGTTGAGTTGTGCCTTGAACCCGCGGTATATATAGCAGAGGTATCATGGTCTCCTTCCTTGAATTGTACACTGGAAATTAGCTTTTCAACCAGATTCCTGCCACAAAGCAGAGATCGTAGCACAAAATTCAAGATCCTCACCATGGTTGGCTCAAAAGACCTGCAACCTTCAACAGTCTCTTTCGGAAAAGTCTTCTTCAACAACCAATTTCGGGAAAAGCCACGATGGCCTGCGCCAAACACAAGTCTCTCGGGTAAGACGGCCATCATCACTGGAGGCAACACTGGGCTTGGCTATGAGGCCGCACTTCAGCTCCTCGGGCTCAAATTATCGAAACTGATCCTTGCAGTACGTTCTCTCGAAAGAGGGGGAGTCGCTGCCGCCACTTTCCGCAAGTTGTACCCCAAAGCCACGATCGAGGTCTGGCAATTGAACATGAGTTCGTATCCATCGATACAGGCCTTTGCCAGCCGCGTCGAGACTCAGCTTTCGCGCATCGACATTGTTCTTCTCAACGCCGGGGGGGCGAGGCTCCAGTTCACTCCGAACGAAAGCACGGGTCACGAGGAGACGGTGCAGGTCAACTACCTCTCGACAGTACTGCTTGCCATGCTTTTCCTCCCGATCTTCGGGGCAAAGGGGAAAACGGGCAGCGAGCCAGCACGCTTGACGATCGTCAGCGCTGCGGTGACTCTGGCTGCCAAGTTTCCCAATAAGGAAGCAAATCCTCTGCTGCCGTCTTTTGACGACCCTAAGAACTTTGACCGACAAGAGACCTACAACTCGTCCAAGTTGCTTGCACACATGTGGCTCTGGAAGCTTGTGGAGTTCGTCTCTGCTGACGATGTTATCGTCAACCTCGCGGATCCCGCCTGGTGCAGAGGCACGGAGCTTACTCGAGATGTTAAGGGCCCAATGAAGGCGGGGGTAAAACTTTTTGGAACGCTCGGTAGAACACCGAAGGCGGGCGCCTCGTGCTTTGTCGACGCTATAGTGAATCATGGAAAAGAGTCACATGGTTGCTTCCTCATGAGTTGGCAGATCCATCCGTACGTCGCTTATCCCCTCCGTTTCTCATTTGTTTTCATCCATCGCTAAAGCCCCCACAGATTCGCTGCCTTCTTGTATACGCTTGAGGGCAAAGTGGTGACCGAGCGGGTCTGGGAGGAGACGCTGGCTGAGCTTGATTTCGCGGGTGTTCGTACTATTCTGGAATCGATGAGAGCATGATGGAGACTCGATTTGGGGAGGTATTCTTTTCAATGTATTCAAGAGGATGTTTCCGCTGCGGTTTGAGGACCTGATGCAAAGTCGGATTGATCAACAGTGATGTTCATTGGGCCAAGGACGTTAGCTTCAGATAGATACCTTGAACGCAGACTGTATGGTGCTTTGCCTAGAATCTAAGGTCAATTTCGAATGGCCGCCGCCTTCTCATGCCTGCAAAGCGTTACAGCAGACTGGAAGGGATAAGGACTTCTGTTGACGAGGTAGGTCTGAAAAAGCTCCAATTCGGACATTGAGGATTAAGTAGTTCTAAGCGAGGCTTGGCGTTACTTGCCCCCTGTCAACTTTCGAGCCACGCGTTAACGGCTTTCCCTCAACTGCTGTTCGTTGTGGATGGTTAGTGACCCGTGGGGGGATCCCTGGGACGGGTGGGAATATGTTTTTGGGCACCCCTTCTTTTCAAGGTGATGTATTTGTGGAATCTTGATCGAGGACCGCATCGTGAGGGGTGAGCTGTGCATGTGAAAGAGGTGGTGGATGGGATGAACTGGAAAAGCTTCCATGTGAGAGTGGGTTGGATAGCATTTGGCTCGTGGTAGTTTCATCGTTCGTTCGGTCTTGTGTGTTCGGTTCTGCTCCTTCCTGTCGTTGCTGCATTGTCATCGTTCTAAGCGTCCGTTTTGGGTCTAGCGCCTACCTTCCCTAAAACATCTCCTTTCGAGCTTTATTTCTGCTGTTGCACTTGAAACTTTAAATCCATTCCATGAAAGAATCTTGAATGTACTTACGATCTATTTTAGCGCCTCGCTGTATTCAGTTTGAACCATCAAAGTTGAGGCTCCAAGTGTTCAGCCTTCACTTGCGAGTTTGACGTCGGGTTGTTCTGCCTCATGAAGCTTCATGCCCAGTTCAAGTACAGCCGGCACCTGTTGCAGCACCACTTGCGGCTCCAGGCGAAGGAGTATCTGGAGGTAAATAAACTGGCGCTGACTCTGCCGGAAGTCGTGGCTGTTTAGGGAGATTGTGCAAATGCTAGGTGGACCAATGTTGGATATCTTGAATCCACTTCATTGCTTAGTTACAATTGTTTTAGTTTGGGTCTGGTTCTGCCGTGCTATTTGCCGTGTGCTGTACTTTTGTCTGTCCCTTCTAGCTGTTCAAATTGGTCAATATTCTGCGCCGTAATCTACGGTTTATATGTGTCTTTCTTGCTTTGGAACGTGATATAAGCACTCTCAGCCCAGTTTACACATCGAAGCACCTGTCTCTGAATTAATCTGTTAGTTTCATCAGCTATTGTAAGAACCTTACTACCTGCCGATAGAAGGCCGTGTTTTCTAGAGTTTCCGCTAGGGAAACCCGCGGGTATTAATTTATAAACTTTTGTTCAATCTCCCAAATCACTTTAGAAGGTGTCCATAACTTCTCGGGGCGTCTGACATCTTGGTCGTATAAACTGTCTTCGTTTAGCATTGTGGCTGTGAAAACTTGTTAAATGGAGCAGCTGACGTCAGTTTTATAAACCAGAGAATATCGCTGAGAACATATACTTTGTCGACAATAGAGCAAGCTGTCTATAAATCAACTGAATTCCAATTACCCATTGCTGAAAGTTGGTTCCGTTGTTTTTATCAGTGAATCTATCTCTACTTCACTTCAATGGTAGGTTTAAGTGAACTATTCCTGGACTGGAAAATTCAAGGGTAGCCTCGATTAACATATTGAGCTGCACCACCGCGTAGAGTTATTTCACGCATACCAAAGAGCATGCGTCTCATAGTTGATTGACATTGGATGCGGACGCCGCGTCTCACGCTGATTATACGAGAGACGCAAGTGGTCTAAGTATGGTTCAACTGTACTCCTGGAGACTGCGCTGGTGATTGAGCCTGAGATCGAGAAGAATATCTTCTGCCTAGTTTCAGAACAGTCGGGGAGGCAACAGGCTGCAGTATGCGGGAGTCACGACGCAAAAGTCCGCGCATGTAACCGGCAGATCACATGACCTAGGATGCTAAAGCTCGTGCTCTATGCTTGCTCTTGTTCTCGCTCTCGGCGAGAATCAGCGCCCACAATGAAGACCTACATGAAAGAACAGGACAATAAGTCGTCAGATTGGCTTCAGAAAGTCATCTGATCAGATCGGGACTGGCGGGACCGAACTCTTTATGTCCGGCAATATTTAAATCCGTCACGCCTACGTTGAAGGAACAGGGGGCGGGGATAAGCAGATTGTTTCATTGGACGGAATCCTGGATGCTCAATCTGCGCCGCAACCATCGAAGGGCTGTGTCTCCTTCGGTCAGACTGTTGCTGAAATACCCGCGAAGTAGGGACAATTGAGACTCCGTCCTTTCAAATCCGTATCCATGATGTCCGAGGCTACAGTCCCACCTCGAAAACGACATCGGCCGGCCTTGTCTTGTGTCGAGTGCCGTCGTCGGAAAATTAAATGTGATCGTCGAATGCCGTGTAGCCATTGTATGCAGCTCAAGAGCACGATATGCACGTACCCAGAGACTCATTCAGACGTTGCCAATCGCCGCAATGTCCCCAAACCCTCACCAAACCTTCTTTCTGTCAACCGTGCCCTACAAGGAGCCCAAGCTCTCGGAACAAGCAGCCCATTGCCCAAACTTCCATGTTTGGCCCTCCTTCCAAGACTGACAGATGGCTCACATTCAGAGGAAGGATCTTGGGGCCCCACTCCTATCGGTTCCACGAACGACAGTCCCTCTGAGAAGGATGTTCAAAAGCTCGTCGACCACGCTAGGGAACTCGAGCAACCACCGCCATCATCAGTGTCTCTCAACAAGAATACTGATCAAGTAATGTCAGTACTAGGTGCTAACTTTTCATCTTTTGGGGACGTAATGCTTCAGGTCGGGAGCAATCACCCCAACGGGGTCTTCGAGCCACCTCACCTTATGTCAACTCAAGATCTGAAAAGCGATCCTCATAAGACTCAATTTTTTGGAAGAAGTCACTGGATGAATACTTTCAACATGGTACGTAGCTATATCCACCTGCAGCAGGCTCGTTTAATCAGCATAGTTCTCCCAAAGATGCAGATACGAGGATAAAAACGGCAAGGTTGTAACTGGCTTCGAGACTAACGATGTCCGTGAGATCTTTGAGAAGTGCAAACGAATGACCAAGGCAGCCAAAACAAAGCAGCCAACGGGACTGGACATGGGCAGTACCAATTTCAAGGACCAAGTGCCGCCACGAGAAATGGCAGATCAACTTGTTGATCTATATTTTCGCACATATGAATCTGTTTACAGGATTCTGCACATCCCTTCTTTTAGAAAAGAGTATGTCGACTTTTGGAATTACCCAGAAAGCACAAGCACAATTTTCGTCGTCAAATTGCTCCTTGTTATGGCTATCGGCGCTTGTTTTTGTCAAGGAGAAAGAGAAGAAGACATCCGCAGCAGTGCTCGACAGTGGGTCATTTCTTCCCAATCTTGGGCGTCAGCACTCTTTGATAAGGAACAGCTCAACCTCTCTATAATCCAAGTAAACTGCCTCCTCCTCCTGGCTCGGCAAACAAACTCTGTTGGTGTTGACTTGATTTGGATACCGACAGGCAACCTTCTCCGAATAGCATTTTCAATGGGTTTCCATCGAGATCCAAAGCACTTTCCAAAATTACCCCTCTTCGTGGCGGAGATGCGAAGGAGAATCTGGGCGACGGTGCTGGAGATGACCGTCCAGAATTCAATTGATCTCGGCATGCCGCCATTAATCTCATCCAATGATTTCGACACAGAACCACCATCCAATATTGATGACGAGGACATATCTGAAAGCACAACAGTCATGCCCAATCAAAGACCGAATCACGTCTTCACGCAAACCTCGATCCAAATTTCTCTTTGCAAATCTTTGCGTACCAGACTTGGAATCGTCCACTTTGTAAACAGCTTTCATTTGGAGCCTTCCTACGATGAAGTCTTGCATCTTGGGCAGGAGATCAACAAAGCGTGCAATGATGCCAGTCGTCTTACTCAGTCATATTCCGCCTATCTCCCTCGACCGACGGCATTTCAAACCAGCCTCCTTGACATTCATATACGTCGCTTCGTCCTTGAAGTACACCGCCCGTTCTTTTTGATATCTCAAACCGATCCTCGGTACTACTTTTCAAGAAAAGTGCGCCTTGAGAATGCCCTCAAGATATTTTCCCATTCAGGTGTCGAGGACATGCCGACAGGCCATGGTTCCCAGTGTAGGAACGATTATGAGAGCTTGAAAACCGTTGGAGGCGGACTCTTCAAGACGATTTTCTTCCACGCCATAACCATCGTCATAGTCGAGTACGTATATCTTTTCCCCCCCTGTGACTGTGTCATGATGTCTTGAAAGTCTGAATTCAGCCTGTTCCTGTCCAAAGTTATTTATTCACGTTCCTTAATCGAGTATTACTGACTTGATGTTGTTTAGGCTCATTCTCTTGCTAGACGAAGACATCGCCTCAGGCCTATCACCATCGACCCAAGCCAAAGCTGCCCGCGAGCCGTTGTACGAAGCAATCAAAGACATGTCTAAACTTGCCACTGATAGAGTCAGAATGGGAGAAGACAACTTTAAAGGGCCCGTGTTCTTCAATGCTGCTGCTGTACTGATTCATGCAAAGGCCACCGGAATGCCTCCAGACCAAATTGTCCCTGACGCTGCGAAAAGGAGCGCGAATGAGTGTCTCGAAATCTTGACATCAAGGATGAAGAAAGCAGCTCCGGATGGAGTCACGCTAGAGGGCCAGCTTGAGAGTTCTACCAGTGGAGCGGATCAGACGATGGGGGAGCCGGACTTCGGATTCGATTTGATGATGCCAGATGTTTATATGGGTGGATTTGGGGTGGAGGAAAGCTTTGGCTTTCCAATGGGGGAGTCTTGGCTTTTTACCAGCTGGGAAGCCAATTAGGTGCGTGATTGTATACTTTGCAATCGTGAGAGTAGGTTCGAATGCTGTGTAAAATGGGCTAGGACCAGAAGGCGCTTCACCATCTTTGGCAAGGCAATGGTATCGCCTCTCTATTGTCAATGTAACAATTTAATTAACGAAACTTCACCATCCGGGCATAAATAAGTTGTTCTCAGCGTATATACACTACGTTACTCAGACACATCGTGGGACGACAACCTCCACTACCAGCGATCTCTTCATCCACCACATAATAATTGTTGAAATTCGGCACCGTCCGGTCCCGAAACCCCTCGGGAGTCTCTCCAAGCCCACTAATCCATGCAGCCTAACTGCAATTCGTACAAAATAACCAAGGTCGTCAAGCCACAAAAGCCTTGTCGGGCTCGGAGATAACAGGGGCACGAGATGCAAAGACGGCGGAATTCAATGACCGATGCTGCATATATCTTGCACATGCACCTCAAAAGCCATCACAATTTTCAAAATGCGCCCTCAAAGTTTCTACTGTACGACAATTACTACTCTCCAGTGCTTCTTAGGTCCAGCTCACGATTCGAAATCTAGCTGATATGCATTCGCCTACCATGGAGGACGAAAAGCTTGATCACGCAGAACTTGGAACTCCAACACCTGAAAGCCCCACCGTACAACCGGAAAAGACCCTTGATGAAGCACAGCCACCGAGTCAAGAGATTGTTATACAAGATCACACAACGGCCAGGACAGAGACAAATGAAGAGGAGTGGGTTACCGGGCTCAAACTTGCTGTCATTGTGGCCGCCATCACCATGGCGGCCTTTCTTATGTTGTTGGATGTATCGATTGTTGCCGCAGTCAGTCCCTATCTCCTCTTCCCCATGAATTTATGTTAACAGTTTGGAAGGCAATTCCGAGAATCACGAGTGATTTCCATTCTCTAACGGATATTGGGTGGTATGGGAGTGCGTATCTGTTGGCAAGGTAGGTCGTCTACCCCTCGAAACTCTTCTGCGTCCTCAATCCAAGAGACGCTAATATTACAACACCAGCTGCTCTCTACAGCCAATGGCTGGCAAAATCTATAGCAAATATGACTCCAAGGTGACTCACCCTGCGTCTCAGGTTGAAATTCTGACTGACACCCTTCAAGATCTGCTTTATGGTCTTCTTAGCCCTCTTCGAACTGGGTTCACTCCTTTGCGGAGTTGCCACCTCGTCGAAGATGTTCATCGTCGGAAGAGCTGTGGCTGGGATGGGAGGATCGGGCATTGTCAACGGTGGTTTGACTATGATTGCCAAGTGCATCCCGATGGAGAAGCGAGGAGGTAAAGGCATTTTACTCTCTCATTGATCAGATACTGACGACCTGGTATTTGAAGTGTATATAGGGATCATTATAGGCAGTGAGTGGATCGTTATCCGTTTCTCATCAGTCACCACAGCTAATACTACTCAGCTGCACAGTTAGGAATAATGTTAGGGCCATTGGTGGGAGGCGCGCTCACAGAGTTTGTGACCTGGAGGTGGTGTGAGTGCTGTAATCTACCTTTCTACCACCCCCACTGAGAAGATTTAGGTTTTTATATCAACCTTCCAGCTGGTGGCCTTGTCGCGATTTTCCTTTGCTTGATCCACATACCCAGCCATTCCACCAAGACAACCAGCAAATCCACCTTCAGCTCCACTGCCAGATCTCTCGATTTAATTGGTTTCGTGCTCTTTGCACCAGCTTCAATCATGTTCCTCCTCGCCTTGGAATGGGGCGGCAACGTGTACAGATGGAACAGCGCAACAATCATTGGGCTCTTCTGCGGTGCTTTCGGGACAATCGCTGTATTCTTTATCTGGGAATCTCGAGTAGGTGATGAGGCTATGATTCCTTTGTCAATGATCGAGAAGCGAATCATCGCCTCGAGCTGCCTTGCCATGCTTTTCGCTGCTTCTTGCATGATTACCACGAGTTACTACATGGCACTTTATTTCCAGGCCGACAAGGGAGTTTCACCAATGCTGAGTGGCGTCTACCTCCTGCCTTCCATCCTCACCCAGATGTTCTTTGGCGTTGCTTCTGGAGGTTTAGGTTAGTGTTCTCGACCAGAGGGTTTGATTCATGCTTACCGGAATCAGTCGGTCGTGTGGGCTATTACTTACCGTTCATCATTACCGGTACTATACTCACGTCCATTGGGACTGGCTTGATAAGCACTCTCATATCAACCTCAAGTACCGGGAAGTGGGTAGGATACCAGATCATAGCTGGCGTGGGCCGCGGATTGGCATTCCAAATGGCAAGTTCACTCTCCCCCAGTCTCTTATCTGCTAACCGACCAAGCCAATCCTCGCGATACAAAACAACCTTGGGCCCAAAGATATTCCAGTAGGGATGAGCCTCGTGATGTTTAGTCAAAATATGGGTGCAGCATTGTTCCTTTCATTCGCACAAACAATCTTGTCAACTACCTTAACCCACGAACTGCCCGTCCTCGCCCCAGGTGTGAACGTTCAAGCAGTCATTGCTGCCGGTGCATCTAAATTTCGAGATGTTGTTTCGAAGGCACTTCTCCCGGGTGTTCTGCTCGCGTATGATCGGGCGATCGATCGTGTGTTTTATCTTGCGACTGGATCCGCGGTCGCGGCGTTTGTTGTTTGTTTGGGGATGGGTTGGAAGAGCGTTAAGAAGGCGAAAGTCGTCGAAGCAGAGGCATGAAAGATTGAATGTACTGTACAGAATGAGGCGGAACATCTGACTTGAGGAGTAAGGAGTTTCTTAGAAGGGAATGTTAGGGGTTGATTTCCAATATTTGTAATAACGCAAAAACTCCACTTAAACAACCAGAAGGTCAATAGGAAGCAGGAATGGCAATGTATAGAGTTTAGGTGATGTGGTGTGAAAAGAAGTAGGGAAACCCCAGGAAATAAATGCAACTTCACTCAAAGCATGCCGAGTGATTCGAATTCTCGAGCAGATTTGTGTCGTTAGTAGCTGGTTTGTGTTTCAAAAAATCGTTTAATGATTAAAAGTTTAAAACTGTAAATATTCTGGAAATCCTGGCTTCACCAACCTCCACGGCTTGATTTTTCGATGATCAATTTTTATGGAAAATATAGGAGGTCACTTTTAGCGGCGCTCCTTCAACGCGACCTGAATTTCCACGGCCACGCCCCGACTTAGCCATCAACATCCGCAACACCATCACCACGACACGGCCACAACTGACAACCTTCCATCCCCATGGAGATATTACTCCTACGCCCGGCCAAAGGAACTACGAGAGTTTGAGCGGTTCTGGCCATCAATCGAAGTGCCTGAGGATCGCGAGAGAAACAGATCTTGCGGAGTGTGTCTCAGACAGGCGACCAGACAAGAAGGATATATTCCTTTCACACTTGGCACGGATCCATCTACATACAACATAACTCTCAAAGATCAGTCCCGTGTTACCAAAATGACGCATCAAGACACTCTTGATCAACACATTAAACCAGGCACCCTCCATCTACCAATCGGAAAGGGGCAGTATAAATTGTATGATTTACTTGGTGCCAAAAAGCAGCCAGGTAAACTCAAATCCCACCAACCTCATATATTCAGAGTTTCATGAGTATAGAAGAACGGCGCCTCTTTTTAACAACAGATATCTGAACTACAAAGACTATTAATGTAAGATCTTCCGTTATTCCCTAAACGTTTCCTCGGCAAGGACTTCGAATGTGCCACAACTTGTGAGATCTGAAAAAGAAAAAGAAAACCCCTATTTGAATGCACATACACTACGAGATATTTGGAAGGAAGACTGAGACTATCTCCATCTCTCTATCCAGAACCAGGTATTAACGTATCGAAGTGTATTTGGAATTGAGGTCCAAGGGCTGGGTTCACCACAATGAGCAGGGCTTATCTTGTCGGCTAAAACTTATACCGCACCCTAGCATTACCATTGGGCAAGTTATTTGACGGCCACAGAACATTGGTGATTGGGGGATCTAGGGTGGGGACGGGTCACAAGATATTCATCCTTGGGCTTCTATCAGGCAGCAACGTGGGGATTTTCAGCCTCACGAGAGAACTTCTCCGCATCGACAAGTCCTCGCACCTCAGCCCAACATGGACTATTCAACTCCCCGACCGCCTGTTTACGATATGAAATACCCACCGGAGTACGATCCCACATCGCCTCTTTACGAGATCCCACCGGAGTACGTGAGCGCTTCACTGCCTCCACAACAGCAATATGGGTCGTCGTTTGGCTATTCCCAGCCAGCCGAAAGTATGAGGCACACTCCAACATCTCTAGGATGGCATCAAGGGTCGGAATTCATCAAGTTATATCAGTTCATCGTACCAAAGGGCAAACTACCATACTTTCAGTTGTGTGACAAGTGGGCGCCAACTTACCAGACCCCACCTAGAGTTTATTTGGATGAACCAAAGTAAGTGCGAAATGATTGCTTCTCAATAGTAAATTGTTGCAATGCTGATCTGCACTTCAGAGGTTATAGGAAGAACCAGTTCCCATGCCAGTATCCAGGCACCTGTCGTGAAAAGGTAAACGTCTTTGGGCGTCCCGCCGACCTCGAGCGCCACTACAAGAATGCGCATGTAGATGAAAAAGATAGTTTCCCTTGTGACTATTCAAGATGTGCTCGATCCCAAGACCCTTTTACCCGAAAAGACCACTACAGAGACCACCTTAAGGACTTCCACAAGGAAGACATCGGCCGGGCCAGAGGGTCAAGGGATATGGATAGACAGAAGTGGCAACGAGCCCAGGAGACATGGCTGGCTGAGCGAGCTGTCTCCCCAAAACATTGGCGGTGTGCTAGGTGTCTCGTGAAAAACCCTGTTCCGAGATGGGAATGTCTGTCGTGCAAAGACCCGTGCGAGGAAGATCGAAGAATCCGACGTGAGAGGTTCACCGGAGGGTCCGCCTCTTACCTGAACAGGGATCAAGAATACGCATCGTCATCGCTTTCTTATCCGACCTGCACGACCTGCAAAGGCACATATTGGTTTGCTGAATTGGGGGCTGGTAATCATATTCCGTGCCCAACATGCCAAGGCAGTACTGTTCCTTCTCAGGACTTCGGTTCTTTCGGTGAGACTGCATGGGCGGGTGATATGCCAATCGGAGGGCGAAGAGAGAACACATTCTCGAGCCAAGAAGTCTTAGACAACCCCACCACCCGTAATTCAAAGGAGCCTCTGAGCAATGCAAACAGTGGTGAAAAGCCAAGGTCTGGACCACCGACCACACCTAATCGCTCTGCGGCACCACCCTCCTGCAAACCTGATGTTGGCGAGGAAGAGGATCCCCAAGGAGAGAAAGACGAAGACGCGATCAATCCCGAGGTGCAGCGAAAGGAAGAATTAAGAGCACGTTTGGCGAAATTGAACCGCAATATGGGTATGCAGGGCATGTTCGGTCAAGAGGACCAACGCGAACAGAGGTTCCAGTTAGCCAGCCTACCGAGTGGCCTTACCCAGGAAAATCGGAGAACAGAAACCGGACACGCTGCGGTTCGGGTCCCTGACATCACAGCGGACAAAACGAAGGAGAGCATCGGCAAGGAAGATGTTAGGAAAGAATACGCAGATGCAGGAGTTCAGGTGGACATCATAACTGATCAGACCACCGGGGCACCAGGGAGGAACATGCGAGGAAAGAATATGCAGATGCGGCAATTCAGGTTCGACATTACAGCAGAAGGAAGCAACGCCACTGGCCATCAAAAACCAGATAGTCGTCAAGAGTCTATTTCCCATACTAAGGTGGTTCCAATAGGCGACGGCCCTCGGCCATCTGCGATGTCCCCGGAAATGGTGACTGAGATATTGGGTCTAATTTCCCAGGTTCTCGACGAACGAGATCGACGCCAGGATAAGAGATCGTTCATGGGAGAGAATCATAGAAGCTGACTGTAGTGGAACTGATAAGGAAATCTTGAGCATTGCGAATGTGGCAATGCCCTGCCCACAAGCAACTCATACTGGGCTCGAACAAGACATGACAGACCTCGAAACCCAATCTTCAACCTCCGCAGCCAATTCTAAGGCTGAGCTAGCTCTGCTGGGGATGGCCAATCTGCCACGATTTGCGAAACCTCATCCAGGTTAGTAACAATCCTCACCACAATCTTGCCCAAAGTGCTTTTTCTCTCGAAGGAGTTGAAAAGGCGCCCAACAAAATCAGCCTCCGACCACTCTTCCTGTTCTCTTTCCACCCAGCCCCTGAATTTGTCGTCAGTGTACCTCTCACTGATGCCAAACCCCGCCAACACAGGATCCTCGCGTGGCTTCTCGACCAGCACAAACAGAATCTCTACATTAGGTACTTGAAGGTTGCCAAAGTGAAGAGAACGTTCGAATATTTCTTGCGGCATAAGGAGGAAGCGAACTCGTTCATCGGGATACAATCCATACGCGGCGCCTTCGGCTTTGCAAATCGATGTCTTTTGGCAGGCGTATGGCTCTTTGTCGTGCTTGAAAACCACCACATCGCGGTCCGGTCTCCAGTACAAGCCTTTGCCCACATCTTCAAACTCATCACCGATCTCACAGTCGGTGGGGTCCGCACGTTGCTCGGGAAATTGGGCCCATCCGTCACAGCTCCATCCATCTGATTTCGTTTCCCAGCCCTTGGTGTAGAAGACTTTTGCTGCTTGACGGGACTCGCGGCAGGCGTGTAGAAGTGAAGGTACATTTGGATGTGTAGAGAAGAAGAGATGTTTCCAGGTAGCATTTGAGGGGTAGGCGTCCACCTCGAGGAGTTGAGGGTCGGAAATGGAGACTTGGATGAATTGAGAGTGGCATAGGTGAACTGCGCAACCCCATATCATGCATCGGATTTCGATTGGAAACCTCTTGAATCGAGGGAAGTACTGTAGGACTGTGTTGTTGCGTAATTGAGTCTCCATTGAGGCAGGAGGTATTGTTGATATTTGGTAAAGTTCGAAGATGTGAAATAGTTTTTGCAAGGGGACGCGACGCGTCCGCCTCGGTCCGTCTCGGTCGGAAAGCAGTTCCAGGCGAGTTGTAACCGATTTCCAAGGTCAATGCACACCCCAAGCGAATGCACACCCCAAATTTTCAGCCCACCTCGGACTTAATTAATTAATTATTAAATAACCACACTATTAATCGGTCTAAAATTAAAGATATAGAGTAATTGAACTAGGCGCATTAAGTTGGCTAACCAGGATTTTTTATTTTCTAAGACGTTGAGGTAAAATAATCTCCCTTCCTGATCGGGAAGTCTGCACCACCCCTATAGCTTCAGAATCGTCCTCTTCCACGATTACCGCTTCCTGAGCCCCTAAATTCGATAAAATCGAAGACCCTACCCTCAATATTACTATACGGGACGGTTTGGCTTTCTTAGCAGCATTTCTAGCTGCCGTAGCTGCCTTTCTTGCTGCTGCTCTCTCCAAAACCTCCATTTTATACTTCTCCCTCTTTACTCCATCGTCAATCTCTTTTTGCTTCGCCTTCCTTACCTTCTCTACCTCCTTCTCCTGCTTTTCCAAGGCATCTTTTATCG